CTGAGATACGACCGCTATCCAATAAAATAACAGTCATTGTCCAAAATGGTTTCGGTTTCACAACTTTCATAGTCGCGTCGTCACATGGCCAAAACAAAGTAGCCAGGTAAGTGAAACCGATTAACACAAATCGCAACACTTGTTTTCATCATATCGTTATACAGTGCAATCCACTTATAACGATACCACATATAGCGATATACCGCTTATAACACTCACAAATTAAGAACGAGTTCGACGGGTTGACACACTTGCGAGCGTCAGCGTGAGATCGTAGGATCTACGAAGACTCCCCCGCACACCGCGGGCCACCTGATGTGTATTGCTATAACGCAGAAAATAAACCAAAAAACCAATTGAATTAGGTCTGTATCGCCGTATCACTCAAAACGCCCACAAAACCAAAAGGAACAACGTCATGTTGGCTAGATGGCGATGAAACTGCCGAGCCTCTGAAACAACCAAAATGTTGTTTCAAAAGTTTCGGAAATTTCCGAAACAGTCTGAAACCAAACCTCCGGAGTTTTGGCCCTTCACTAGTTATGACCTTAAGCGGTGAATGTGTGTGCCATCAAGATCCAGCTACTATTGTCCCCTCGGGTTACAGCTATCTCGCGCCTCACGTGCGGGGGCATTGCGGGCAAAACAGCACTTTGGTAGTTTTAGCTTTTTTTCAACATCAGTGCCAAGGATAAAAGAATGTTGTTAAATCTTGAAAAATCAGTCTTCATGTCAGTATCTAGAAAAAAAAATATTTTAGCATACAACTATCACATTGACGGCGTCGGACTTAAAAGAGTAAAAGAGCATAAGTACCTAGGTTTAGTATTTACACCTTACCTACGTTGGAATAGTTACATTGATAAAGTCTGCCTTAAGGCCAACAAAGCACTATGGTGCCTCAGGCAAAACCTTACTAGTGCAACTCCGGAAATAAGAAGCCTGACTTATAGGTAAGACCGATTATTGAGTATGCAAAAATTGTGAGGGGGGGGTCAACGTACTGTAACGAAATGCCATAAATTGGAAAAAAATTTAGCGACTTGCTTCCAGGTTCATCTTCAACGAATTCGGCCAAGCATTTTCTCCTACAAAACTATGTGAACGCGCAAATCTCCCAACTTTGGAATCGAGGACCAAGTGCGAAAGATTGAAATTCTTTTTCCCAATTATACATAACTTTATAAAGATTAACAAATCAGATTACTTCGAAATCAGCACTAACGAATCCTCAAGGCATCGCCATAGCATGTTCATTCGTAATCCATCTGTACGAAATGATTCTTTTAAATTCAGTTTTTTCGCTAGAACCATCAAAGAGTGGAATATGCTGCCCGATTCTGGCTGTCTCGTCAACATCTCTTAATGCCTTTTTAGAAAGTATACATAATATTATCGAATGTGACAGTCGTGAAAAGCCGTAATCGTACAGATACGGACCAAGTTTCTGTTTTCTTGTGAAATGTTAATACCTGTGCTGCTTTCAGTTTTGTAACTTTTTCTTGTGCGCTTTTAAGTGTATGAAGCGGTCTTGTGCAATCCACTGTCTTGTTTAATTACTCTTTGTATAGTGGTTACTTTCATCTTTTATTTTTGTATACCCACTCCTGTAATAACCCAATGGGCTGACAGCATCAATAAATGAATGAATGAATGTTATTCCGACAGATGCACCGGGCCTTTCTGGCAATAATGAAGACCTCTAAAAAAATTTCTCGTATATATGTACACTTAGTCCGCGCTGAGTAAAATATCAACTTTTAAATGTGTGCAGTCTGGAGAATGGGGTAACGCATGTCTAAATATGATCAGTAAGAGCCATAAATATATGTAGAGAACTAGCATATTTTCCAGCATATGAATCGTGTATTTTTTCAAAAATTGTATCCTGTACACAGTGGCGTCATAAGGGGGGGGGGGGGGCGGAGGGGGCGGACTGCCCCGGATGCAGCACACAGGGGGGCGTCGCGGCGGGCCGTGGGGGGGGGGGGGGGACGCGGGGGGCCACTGCCCCAGGTGCCACTGACCCTAGTGACACCACTGCCTGTACAACAATGAGACTTACTATATACAGGGTGTCACAAAAGAAAATTTACACTGTCTTTTTTACTGCAAAAATAAACTAGACATCGCCGAACGCTCATTCTCCACCCAAAGGTAGAGCTAGAGGTCACAACCAGGTGCCAAAGTTTCAGCCTGATCCGATAACTTAATAAAAAAGTTATAAGTGATTTTCTGAAAATTTCAATGGGAAAATGGAGCCTGTTTTTTCCCGTTTTCGGTTTCTGGTGCCATAGAGCCCCATGTGTTGGAAAACTCCGTCGGCCGCCATTTTCCCATTGAAATTTTCAGAAAATCACTTACAACTTTTGATTAAGTTATCGGATCGGGCTGAAACTTTGGCATCTGGTTGTGACCTCTAGCTCTACCTTTGGGCGGAGAATGAGCGTTCGACGATGCCTAGTTTATTTTTGCGGTAAAAAAGACCGTGTAAATTTTCTTTTGTGACACCCTGTGTATGTAGAAATCCGCGTTGCCGAATAAATCCGAAAAACTCCAAAAAACACCTGCCGGTAAAATTTTCGTCAATTCAAATTTATTTGATAAACTCCAAATTTCCAAATCATGGTGTTAAAAAAAAAAAAAAAAAGAAGATAATTTACAAATAAGTTTGGTACAGGGTCAGTCAAGGATCCTTAGTAAAGGCCACTCAGTTTGCTTTCAAATCTTGGACCACTGTTTATCTCCTTATGTTTCATTTGGGACAATGGGTCATTGGACTTATGGACCACAATAAAAGTCACTGTTCCAGTTTTCAGTTTGGACCCTTCTACTTGTGCTTGTTAGAGGGAGGAGGGGTTCTGTTTTATAAGACTGAAAGCTGTCAGCTCGTACATGGCACTGGAGAGCTGAAATCACTTTGGCACTCCATTATGCGCAGCAGGCGGAGTGCTGGAATAGGACGGGAAGGAAACGAGTCCCCCGGCGACTGCATTCAGGAGTTTACTAATGATTTTAAAGTATTGACGTCCATTGAAGTAACAGCTTTGTAAGTTTTATCATGGGACAGTTAGCAATGCTAATGGTAAGGGGGCCAACACCAAATTCAACTGGAGAAATATCATTTGATATGAGCGAGTTCTTATGAACTTGGTGCACCTTTATGTCCGGATATATTTTCCCTGTTTTAAATTCCGAAAATTTCAAATTTAACAAAAATAAACTTGGAAAAACTCCAAATGTAGGGCCAAAAAGAAACAAAACAAAAAAAGCATAGTCAAAAGTTAAAAAAAAAAAATCTTAATTAATGCAAATTCTTTTTTTTTGTGGATAAGTATAAATGTGAATGATTTAGCCGATAGTATTCTTTCAATTATCCGTTTGTACGCTGATGATTGTGTGGTGTATAGGAAGATATCTTGCATTAGTGATTCATTCAACTTTAAAATGACTTGATTACCCTAGAAACATGGTGAAAAAGTGGCAAATGCAAATTAACATCTTAAGAACAAAATTCTTAAACTTCATCACTAAGCGAAGTGCCACAGTGTTTAGCTACTCTCTTTTTAATACGCCCATTGAACATGTGCACATGTACAAATATCTTGGGGTTCATTTCACGTCAAACTTATCATGGGAAGCTCATATTAATTACGTCGTTGTAAAGGCAAACCAAAGCCTCGGTTTTTTGAGACGAGCACTACATATGGCTAATCGGGAGACAAAACTCATAGCTTACACTGCCTTTGTTCGCCCGCAGCTCGAGTATGCATCTACAACATGGAACCCCCACCAGGCTTGCCTAATACAGAAATTAGAGTCGATCCAAAACAGGGCAACTCCGGTTCATTCTTAAAAACTACACAGACACTAGCATTGCTACGCTAAAAAAAGAACTCGGTCTTCCACTGCTTGTGGAAAGAAGGAAACTGACCAGACTAGTTTCATTACACACTTTTTATCATCAAGCCCCTTTAGAGAGAGAATTATACTGTCCTGCGGCTCATCACATTTCTCCTCGTACATACTATTCTCAGAAAGTTCATGTGGTAACACCAAGGACAAACCTTTTTAAATTCTCTCCACTGCAGTTATCACTTTCAGAATGGAACTCTGTGCCAGAACATATTGTTACAATTCAAGACTCATCTGGATTCAGAGCTGCACTTGCTGCTTTTCTCGATATTTAGCAACCTTTAACCCTGTGTTTTTCCTTTCTTTGTTTTTGTTTCTTGTCAAAGCCCCCCCCCCCCTTATGTGAAGCCCTACGGGCACTTTAAGGGAACAATAAATGAAACGAAATGAAACATAATTATGCAAATTTGATGTAGGGGATATGTTTCACATTTTATTCGTTAGCAAGAATATCACAACTACCGTAAAATACCGAAGAAATGCCCACCCCCATTTTATCAAAATATGTGTAAAGCCAACTATGGGCGCTTATTAGGGCGCTTGATGTGTACCTGCCCAAATTTTCGAATTTCAAAAATGTTAATAGTGGGCGCTTGTACAAGTATGGGCGCTTCCTCGGTATTTTACGGTGGCTTGCGCATATATCGTAATAGCGCACACATGCGTGCCTTACCAATGTAGTTTTGCCACGCAGACCGTAAAAGAGATGCTACTAAGAGAGCTGCTATGAAAGGGAACAGACTTTCTCGCTCTTTGGACGCACCCACAAATTTTGGAACACAATATGGTCCCGACGACGGCTAGAACTGAAAGTTTAGGTCCCAAACTACATACTATTCGACAGGTTAAGCCTTACGAAAGGTTGGGGGAGCTGTGAAACTGGAAAGAAGAAAGATTAACAGTTCCCTTTCGTACTGTCGCCAATAGTGCCAATCTTTTGACAAAATAGCCATTGATAGGCTAGACTTACAGACCGGAAAATGGGGTAGATTTTTGCAAATTGACTTTTCTATGTCAAACTCTTTCTGGAGTCTAATGAAAAAATAAGGATGATGATGACTGAGTGTTGCCATGATCTGGTCCAGGGTTTGGCTCAATGCTGCGAGCCATTGGGGCCCAGATTGAGAAGACCACCAACCGGGAGGCCTGCAGGGACCTGAGCGGACGCAGGCTCAGGGACATCAACCACGAGACGCGGTAAGTGCTCTCCTCTCGTTGGTCACTTGGACATTTCCCCTTCTCTGAAGCTTCATTCGTCGTCTTTTCATTCATTTTTTTTATCACGGTTCAACCCTAACGGGGCTGTGACAGGTGTGGATTTCGTGTTCATACGAAATGTATTACAGAACACAAAAAAGACTCAAATCAATACCACAGTTCATATACAACTAAGAAGACAAAGAAAACAATAATTGGAATACTCTACAGTGCTTGCGCTGTCCACAATCTCGGATTGGCGGTGGCCGAACTGTGCGCATAATACCACCGTTGCGGCCCGACATCTGACATTAGTCAGTGTGCGTGGTCTGTGGGAAAGGCAAGTGCAGAACGAGCTATTTGCTGCAACTGGGTACATCGAATTAGTGGGCGTACAGGACACCTGGGTGGGTCTGTTCTACGCAGAGTGCCGAACCATACCCGAACCTGAGCGAAACCATTATTTTTGACTGAACTGGAACAGAGCCTTAACTGAAATCAAACGCTTGATATTGACCCTGAACCGGAACATAACCAGTATCTCATGTTGCGGTTACTGGTTCATTAGAAGACAGCTCAATGAAATCAAATGTAAGTTACTCCCGTTTTTGTGGGTGGTGGTGCAAAACCAGTTAAATAATCCCGGCGATGGTGTCAGCGGTGAAATGTTGCCTAAATAAATGGCAGCAACTCAGAGACAGCTCAATAATAATGAAACAAATCAATAAATAGTTCCATTTCTATGTGCAGCATTATTCGATGTCGGCGAGTAGGCGTGGTAGCACGCATGTCTGTTTGACTATGTCAAGAAGCCAAAAAGCTATTCTTTGTCTGCATGTATTTTACTTCAAAACAATACTGCTTAAAGAAAGAAAAAAACAAACATGTAAAGATCAAAATAAAGAGAAAAATTGACAGCTACCAATATGTGTTTGTTTTGCCGTGGCAAAAACTGGAGGCACCAGTGGAGGGGCAAAGCCACCAAGAGTGCAACACTAGGGCGCTGGGCGAGGGTCGCTTGGACGTTGTTCGTCCAGAACTCTGGACGCTGCTTGAGGAAAAGCTTTTTTTGTGCATGTTTTTCAAATGCAACATGCTGCCTGTTAATATTTTTCTTCTTTTTAGTTTGAATCATCTTTTGACTTCCGTTCGTTGCCTTTTCGTCTTCAGCTCGGTCACTTGAGGCGTTCGTGGCAGGTAGTTTGCGAGTATGCTGGGTGCTAATGTCACGTTGTCACTGTGCATGCTGACCGATTGATTTCACATGCGAGCGCTTAGGTACTGTTTCCGAGCACCTTTACAACCACATAATTTCTGTAAGATGGTGTTTGCAATAGAAATTAACAATCAAAAAACAAAATTGGGCATATTGTGAGCAGTAGCTCGACTTTAGGCAAATGTGAAGCCGTGCCAAATGGACTAGTGAGTGTGGGCACGTGGGCTGGGACGTGAAACAAGGCGAACGAGCTACGCCAGTTCTGAAAGGGCACTGTTCAGATTGTCATCCTTCACAGTGTCCTCTCAGTACTTCCTGGAAACCACCATTGGAGGCCCGAAATAAACCTTCTAGCAGTATGTTTGTTTTGCTGTCCTTGTTTACGCAGCACAGCTTAGAATTACCAGATTTTAACGCAGTATCTGTTTAAGGAGCGGGATACCCCAGGAAAGTGGTACGGAACACCACAGAAACCATTACAAAATTTTTAACACATACCATACTTCAGAGGACAATCTGTGGAAAGAGTGGTCGATTGAGAAGAAAGAATGAAATTCTAAACTCGCCCCAATGGGAATCAAACCCACGACCCCATGATTGTGTGCTTGACATCCTACCATGAGCCACTAAGCGGGTAGACGCAAAGCTAGCCGGCTTTGTCTCTACCGTGCTGGTATCTACAAACTGTTTGATTGCGAATGCCAAACAGTTGGCGGTCGGCATTTCCGCTAGAACAGTTTATAGAAAAAAATGACTATTTATAGAATTCAGATCAATCGAGCATTTTCGGTAGTGTTTTTAATGCAGATGACATCGAGTCGATACATTTCTTTTCATAACGACTTTGAGCTGTGAACTTTTCTTTTTGTTTAGCACAGAAAATACACAACCAGCTGCGGTATAAAATACAGTTTAGAACCGGCTCGTGCTTGGTGAAACCGATTACTGGCCTGTAAGGTTGCCGGTTGTTGCGATCCAGGTGATCAGTCACAGAAATGCCGGCGAAAAAGGCGGGCGGACGCGTGGGTCCTTGCGGCGTCCCTTGTGGCATCTGTTTTGGTTTCCATTGACTGTCTGGCTGCAGAAGGACCTACAGCAGAAGGGGCGTTTGCTGCATCCAGCTCCAGTTGGAGATGAAGCGTTGTTGCAGAGTTGTTGTTCCTGACTTATAAATAATAAAAGGTTAGATGAGACGCATTTGTATTGTCGCGAAAAGACTCATTGTTTGTAAGAGAAAGAAACCAAGAGTGTATATACACAACTACCGTAAAATCCCTTATGATTGCCCTCCCTCAGAGATCACCCATTCCATTTTTCAGCTTAATATTCATAACGTAAAAACTCAGAAAAATCACCCACCCCCTCGATTCGGACATTACACAGTGTCAGTCGGACATAATGGAATACCTGATGGGGATTACATCACCCGTATAATCTGCGGTACTGGTACATGTGACGAGCAAGTTTGCAGGGGGTTCCCGCGTTTTTGTCCGTGATCTTCGCACGCAATATTGTTTCCCGTGGCAAGTTTGTAGCAGGTTTCCGCACATTTATCGCACTGCAAAACGTGGGTCTGCTGCATCCGCAATCTGCGGTATCCTTACCCGTGACACGGGAGTCCACAGCGAATTCCCGTGTGTTTATCGTGTCGTAAAACACGAATTTGCCGTTTAGCGATCTGTGGTATCGGTGCCCATGTCAAGTGGTTTGTAGCAGGCGCCCCGGTGGTTATCATTAAATATTGGATAAAAGTTTGCTCTCTCATCCCAAAAGAAAGCCCACCTCGTGGTTTTCCCCATTTATCTCTTCATTTTGGGTGGGCGTCCTTACGGGATTTTACGGTATGTACGTACAAAATAGGGTCAAAACTACAAGTTGAAGGAAACTGGGTCCAGCTCACGAGTTGGTTGGTAAGGGGCACTGGTTGCTGGCTGAGGTAACCGACATGGGGAGTCAAGTTGGGTGGGCGGAGTGCTTCGTTGTTGAGACCTTCGTGGTAGCGGGGTCTTCCGTAACCGGAAGGATTCGTTTCTGCTGAAAGTCATGTGATGACGGTGTCTGGTCCCCGCTTCCCATGAGGTCGACTCAGTTTCGGGCGTATCGGTGCCAACTCCCCTCGGGAAGTGGAAGACTCCATTGAACCTAGAGGTCTAATGGAGTCTCCCGCTTCCAAGGTCTTCACGCTGCACGGCCTAGTTTGACCGTCTTGTGCTGCTCTTCCTCCCCACGCACACCTCTTTGGTGGCTTCCTTTGGAATTGACAACGACAGTGTGCGCCCGTGTGCAGGCTGAAGCGGTGGGTGGCGCGTCAGGCGGAAGCCCAGCGGGAGCGGCGGCGCCCCCAGGAGGCACCCCGGCACACCTTGGACGACCCCGAGTTCCAGAGGCAGAGGGACCTGCTGCCAGACAGGGTCCAGGAGGCAGTCTCCCACGGTGAGGCTCTCCGTACGCTGAGCCACGGCCGGGCCGGTCGGGTAACCCGGGTTTGCACGCCCGAGCCTGCCCTTTGATGGTCAAATATTTTTTTTCCCTTAAGATGTTTCCCAATAGTCTGGCTATCTTTTCAAAGTAGTAGTTTAAAGGAAAGGTCAATGCGCAGGTTTTTTAATAATTGTCAAGCGGGATCACATACAGAGCTTGCAAGCTGTTTAGGTCTAGAAGCATAAAATAAACAATAATGAAGGCGTAAAGATGTCACCTTTTTCCAATCGGTTTCATTTTTGCGCATCCGCTTCTGCGACATTCCAGTGGCTTCAAAGTGCTAACCGGAGCAACTTTGCAGAGCCTCTCCTTTGGGCAATGAACTCTCATCCTGCAAATTTAATTCTGAAAATTGTTTGAAATCTGAATGAGAAGAGCCAGTACTCCCATTGGCACTACCGCCAGAGTGGCCGGTATGCAACACGAACCTCATGGGGGCGGAATGTCTGATTTTGAAAACTATAAATTGCCCTGCAAGACAAAACACTGCTCAAATATAACGTTTATAGTTCCAAATAGCAACATCTCCCGTAGTGCTTGCAGTATTCGTGTTTAGGCGGGCACTTTCAAATGTGTAATGACCGCCGTAAGTGTACAGCGGCAATTGTCAAAGGATTAAAGAATGCTGTGCACACGGGGGAGCGTTTGGCACATGGACGGATGACTCTGACCTTCTGGAACAATGCCTACCTAAACCAAAAAATCACTTGGGGGGGGGGGGAGGCAGGGGCAGGAACAGGAACACGAGTAAAGCCGAGAAATTTGTGACCTTGGGGCACTCCTTAGGGTACTCTGGGAAGCTTGGTTGGAGAGCCTGTGGCCTAGAGTGAGGATTTTCAAACCAGGTTCCTAGGAACCCGGAGGTTCCTCAGAATGCCCTCGTGCGTTCCCCGAGCTGTCGGATTTACTCTACCGTCCCTCCCAGTCTGAGTGCTACTTTAGTGGACCTAAGCCACCCGCTGATGTACGACCCTGAGGCAAACAAGTCCTTTTGGGTACATTATTGTTTACGAGATTTGTAGGTTTCTGCGCCACTTTATTCCACCAGTGCCAAGTCTCGGAAGGGTTCGTTGGCAGGCAGAGATGGAAAAGTTTGACAATCCCCGGTCTAAGGTATTGGCACTCCATTCCCCAACATTCACAGGGACATTGCCATTCCGTTGCCTAGTGCAGTGCTGGTGCAATTGGCAGTGGTTGCGATTCAAATATGCACATTCCCATGTGTCGCGAAGTTTGGGCAATGTTGTTTTGCTCTCTCAAGGACTTATAACGTTTCTGAAGGACAGCAAACGGTTCCATTTTGTGCTACATAGCCTCGGCAATGTAGCATGGAATGGTCGACGCCGAGTATAGTGATGTAGGGTAAAAGTAGCAATGCCATCCTCGTCGCATATGTTAGGTTTTAACATAACATTTAATGCGTGTCAAGACATGGTTACAAATTGGTTACAAGCGGACCACCTTGGTCTGCCAACAGAACTGACTCCCCCCGCCAGTGCACCACATTTTAACAACATGGGCGCCGCTGGACCAACACCACCAAGCGCTTGTCATAGCTGCGGTGGCGCTACTAGTCGGACCATAAAGTGTGAAACACATATACGACGAAACCGTCCGATCCAACGTCCGATTCGACGTCCGATTGCTGCTCCGACTCCCCGCAAACGATTATCCGAGACACATGCTTCTGACCGAGCTCTCGATGCGTCATTTCGACGGTTCCGATCGGCTCCACCCAGTTCTGTGACCAGTGCGTGTTGCCTGACTTTCTACGATCGCCCTTCTGCTCAATAGAGAAAACTGGCGTAATCTTTCTAGGTTCTAAAACAACACTAAATGGCTCTAAATAAAATATAACTTTGTTTATATATCTCATTAACTCACTCGGAGCTAATTGACTTGCCCATTATTACCTAGGTTACGAGGTTGGAGGAATTCAATGTCAAATGTTGGCAATGGGCTGGGTTGTCAATCTCTTTTGTGCATTGTTCGCGCCGAAGTATGTAGGTCGACGTCGGCTTTGGCGATGTTGCACGTTCAGCTCTGCTGGAGACTCCTTATGCTAGAAAAAAAGAAGCTTCTTCTGCGGGAGCGCAGAAAGAAGCGATGTAATTCCATGAAACCCCCGTCGTCGTCGTCGTCGTCCTCCTCCTCCTCCTCCTCCTCCTCCTCCTCCTCCTCCTCCTCCTCCTCCTCCTCCCCCAACCCCTTCCCAAGTTTAGGCCCTTCGTAAACATATAGAGAGGGTCACAGCCTCTAACCTGTGAAAGGAACATGGGAAACCATTGCTGTTGCACTGTATACGTACGTGGAGATCCCGCCAAGCCTATGCCTCGCGCGACAAACGTCCAACTCGCAAGTCGCGCATTGGCGTTTCTGTACAGTGTTTTCCTTTGGTTCCTAATCGCCGGCCGACTCTCGATCAGCGAAATTATAAGTTTGTTTTCCGGCGCGCGAGAGCTTTTTGCCGGAGCGGTGGCCATTACAGAACGTTGGAAGAGGGACTCACAACCTGATCCTTGCTCCTGAATAGCCCGCTTCCCAAAACGAAACACCCTCATGACGTTCCCACTACCTGCGTCCTCATTGGCTGCAGCTATCCAACCACTGCAACCACCTCTGGATGGTCGGTTGCATGCCGCAGTGCCGTTCGGACGTCACGACACGGCCAAACAAGCCGCGTCCGACCTTCGTATTGCCTGATCAGACGTCGGATCAAACGGTTTCGTCGTATGTGTGTTTTGCGCTTAAAGGCCGGCCCGCAAGCAGAGAGAAGGAACCCGGCCCTCACTTTCCTTCTCGCCACTAAGAAAGGAGGAAATCGCCTCTCATTACCTCCTCGCCATTTTCCGACTTTATTTTTGTTTTTGCCGGCTGCCTGTTTTTTTTTTGTTTTTTTTTTACATGTTTGGGGTGGAGGAGATGAAAGCTTCAAGGATTTGAAAAGATTATCCAGGAGCCAGCCGCCACACCTGCGACAAGGAGCTGAACCAACCGAGTAGCTGTTTTGAGCGAGCTTGGCACTTGCTCTTCCCGACGAGTTGCATTGGCTCTTTTTTAGCATTGGTTTGGAGGACGATTCTTGCTTGGTTGTTAGAGCACACATACCTTGTTCTGCCCAAAGAAGTAGTCATTGAAGTATCAATTTTAATATAAATATGTGATTTGGCATCTTTCGTTCTTTAGGCGGATTCATGGCGACAACGGGGAGTACGAGCGGCGTTTTCTGTATACCAGGGATGGCGCTCTATAGACCAGTGGTTCTGAATCATTATGGTTCGTAAACCGGCAGAGGTGACGGAGGATCCCATCCGTCACCTGGGTCTAGCACTTTTCGGTGTAGAGCGCTTTGCTGTAGGGCATTTCGGTGCGGACTTTTTGGTGCACAGACATTTCAGTGTACGGACTTTTTGCTGCAAAGACTTTTCGGTGTGGGACTTTTCGGTGCCCGGATATTTCGGTGCACGGACATTTTGATGCATGGACATTCCACGCTATGGTTTGCTCGCCGGCATCCCTTTTCCAACGTACGCAGACACGCTTCACATCGTGTTTGCGCGTTGAGTTGATAGAGATAGTCTCCTCACTAAGTTTTTGGCTTTATTATTGGTCCTGCGTGTAGGAAAGGTCCCAAACAACAAGACGTTTGAAGTTGTTTGTGTGTTCAGAACAATTTTGAATATCTTCAAATGCGCCTCCTCCGCGTAATCGCATAGCTCCGATTTTACTAAAAAATTGTGATGACCTCGCACGACAAAACAAAAAAGTAATTATTACTTGTAACTCATTAGGGAATATAGTAGGCGTGTGCTGGTAAAACATAAGTGTAATCAAAACAAATATTGATCCGAATCAAGTAAACAAGCCGAATTTGGTGAATGCTAAATCTATTTTATTTGGTATCAAATGTTTGCTCATTCTTGCACGAAAAAAAAAAAAAAACAGTGACCACGGATCATACACAGTGTATGATCTGTGGTCAACGTCTCCTTCCATGCCGTAATGATGTCGCCGCACGTAAAGAACTGCCTTACAATCGTGCTTATACAGGGCGATTTTTTTTTTTTTAACGACTTGACATTTTTTTTTAAAGGGACGTCAGAGTTACGCAATTGCGGTTTGTGCCTTATCTGTAGTAATCAAAAACACCAAATCATTCATTTTTAAAGAGATGCAACGCACGTGAAGTAGTTCACGGCGTCCTAAAAAGCCTAATTTGGACGCGAATCGTGGTACCGCAATATTTTCGGCCGCCGCGCTCCTCGCCCCTTCTACAGTGGCGTTGTCACAGCGATGCGCATGATTTGTCACTTTGGCTTCATGGCGTTAGGCTGTGGCACGCGGAGATGGATCCCACATAAAATCAGAACTATATTTTCACGCCCAAATTAGGATGACGCCGTATCAGGACGCCGTATAATAGTGTACGCGCGTGACATTTGTTTTACGAATGGATGGTTTGGTGGCTTTCGATTATGGCCAACAACGTCCTAAACACACAATGCCGTTTTCTTTTCTAATTAAAATGTTAATTAGCGAATTTTAGGCAATCGGTTGGTTTTAGTTGCGCTCTTTCTTGAACCTAATCCTCGCCTGGTCGTATAGCTCACCTACACAAACCGCAATGGCGCTAATTTTCACTGGACAACTTAGTGGCTTTCGATTATGCCCAACACCTTTATAAATCAACTATCCCGTTTTCTTTTGTAATCAAAAAGTTCATTAACAAATGTTACGTAATCAGTCGGTTTTTGTTGCGTTCTTTCTTGAACCCAATCTTCGCCTGGACGTATAGCTCACATCCACAAAACGTTAATTTCCACGTTTTTTCTAGTATCCAGTAGGTGAAAAAAAAAACACACACAAAAAAACAACGTTGTATATAAAACAGAGGGCAGTTCTTTTCTGATATAAATAAAGCCAGGGGCACGTGTCTTGCATGCATCTCTTTTTTTTTTTTCGGCCTATAAAAACAAATCCCGTGACATTCGAAATTGAGTTTATGATGGGGCGGGCGCTTTATCACGGGGTATTTTGTCATGCTTCATAAGCTTTATTACTAGTCAGAAGGAAGCCACGCGAGCCGTATCACATTGCAAACAGCTAATTCGGGTGTTTCTCAAGGAGCTCTAGAACTTTCCAATTGACATTTCGGTTATTAATACATTTAAAAAAGTTAGGTACTTACTCCTAAACATTTAATTTATTAGGCATAATTAAAAATACTGCAACTCTCGCAAGACGTCTTCACAAAATATAAAGTTGGTTTCATTGGCGTAAAGTGGCTGCGCTCTAATTTCGCGTTACAGAGATTTGTAAGCGTCTTCTATTTTTATGCTTGGTCTTTAAATATTCGTGAAAAGTATTCGCGACCTTATCTGTCAAGCCGCGTAAGCGGACAGCGCGGCCTCCTCGGCAAGCTGTTCCCTCATCGAAGACGACAGTGAATAAAAGGTACGATCAAAATCTTAATGCCTGAAGAAAGCTCAAGTTTAAAATAATTCTAAGAGTGTCAGTTGATTTTATTTCTACTATATTCAAATTTCAACACTCGTCGCAGGCAGCATGAAAGAAAGCACTGCACTCTTGGCGCAAAAAAGCTATTCGTCATATAGTAAATGCCCCATACGATGCCCACACAAAAGAATTATTTGCTTCACTCAATGTGCTTCCCTTCCAGCACTTATACAATTTTAATCTAATAATGAAATATAAACTTAGCATTAAAAATAACAATTCCACTTTTATCAAGTTGTGTAACCTTAAAAGGCCTCATGATGCATCGTATAATATTAGAAAAAAGGATTCCTGGCTGGTACCCTTTTCCCGTACTAATCATGGGTTAGACAGGCTGCAACACCGCATGCCTAGTTGTCTAAACTCTTTAGAGAAAAGGAACCTTGATATACACACCATTTGTAAAAAAACATTGAAAGAACACTTTTTCACACAGTGAATAATTGTGCAAAAATTTTGTTGTATTTGCTTATATCTTTCCTGTATAGAAGTGTCGGAATACATGTTTTAGTGTGCACGATGTCAGTATTAGTTTATATTTGATGTAAATTGATTACATGTATATTTTTCATAGTTTGAATTTCTGTGTATATGTCTTGTCAATTTTAAACTGTCGGTTTGGTTGTTTCTTATGCCAAGGTAGGGGCAGGAACCCCAACAAGCTACTGTATTGTAGCTTTTTGTTCCTGCCCTGGCATTTTTTGTTCGACAAGGAATGTCAAATAACGAATTTGAATTTGAATTTGAAAAAACCAGTGTCCAGTCAACGGTCCTACACTCAAACACGCATCACAACCCGACCTGTTTGAAAAATGAATGATTTCCAGGACTTTTGGAAGAAAAGGCGAATTTTCTACTGAGCGTGATATTTTGTGGACCCAAATGTCCTGTAGCCGAGATCGGTGGTTCATAGCTTCAGGAAGGCGAAGAACGATGGATGCATTATTTCTCGCGGAAGTACTGTTTTGACGTTGAATTCCACATAAAATTGTATTTGCACAAATTGGGGGTGGCACGATACCGAACACCGAACTTGCTTGATTACTTTTCCTTTAGAGGCAACATAACCAGGCATAATCTACAGATATTGCAGAATTTATTTTAATCGGCGTACAGCGCGAAAGTCAAGTATGGACATAAAGAACACAATAGAGCTCTACATTTCTACTGCATTTGAATGAAAACTTCGTAATACTTGCTGTCTTTTAATAAATGGCATAATATGCTACTATTGCTAGTTGCACTATTTTATGCGAAGAAAATTGTGATTTTGCGGTTCAATCTCTGTGTTTCCCGTTCTCTTTGCTGATACGCAAGATATTTGGCGGTTGTCGAGTTTTCAGTTACATTTGCTGACAGAAACTAAATGCACGTTTAAACACGAAGAAATTTTTTTCAAAGGCTGGAGATAGATGAAATATACCATAAACCGTCTCACTTTTTATGGAAGTTTGTTTTTACTCTTCTTAGTAGCTTCAACGTGGCGGCCGTCACTCTAGAAAACACCTGTAGTACGAACCTATATATTATGCCCCAGAAATGGTCAGATTGTGTCCCTTTGACTGCAATATCTTTGACTTGTATTTACTCATAAATATTACTTTGAAAAATAAATAGTGATACAATCACTCTTCAGTGTGCCCTTGTTAGAACAACCAATTTTCAACTCTCTGGCTGGAGCTCAAAGTTCAGATACAAATACCCACCCTTTTTCCTTCTGCTGTGGTGTTCAAGTTCCGTTCACTCGAGATAATTATGCGGTGTTGTAGCGTATGTGGCCGCATGCGGAAGTATCTGAATGTAAAAGAACTTGTTGTTGGGCTAGTTGGTGTTGACTATCTGCAGCTGCAGAAAAATAGTTAAAAAAAAGGAGAAAAGCGAGCCAGCCCGAACCCTTCCGAGCTCATATCCAGCCTGTTTAACTAATCCCTGTTGTTCGGGATTGACGCAGAGAACCTTGAAGGGTTACAGAGATTTTGTCGGGGGGCCGGTAAGCCCATTAGCACTCGTGCGAGAAGGCCGGAAAAAACGAGGAGGTAAATGGAGGAGGAAAGGGGAGGAGGAAAAAAGAAAAGAGGGGGAATCTTCTGCCACGCCGAAGAAAATTTTGGGCGCCCGCCTTTAAGAAGACTTCTCGCCTGCTTCGGTGGTGCGTGCCCGGTTTTACAAGTGTGACGCTGTCCCCGCAGGCCTGACAGTGGGTGGCAAGCGGCCCAAGACTGGAGGGGGCCCCCCGAAGAAGCGCAGGGCCCCGCTGTGGCTGGGGGCGCCCGAGATGCCCAGCTCAGAGGACAGCGGCGAGGAGGAGGAGTCCGGTGGAGAGGAGGAACCTCAAGAACAGGAAGAGGGAACAGGTGCCTGTTTTTGCTCACTTCTCGCCCGGCAGACTGTGCCCACCTCCGCCGGACGGGGCAGGCGGCTTCGTCTGCTTGCACTTTTATTGGAAGGAGCTGGCTTTGCGCGACTGCCGGCAACGTTATCGGACCGCCTCGGTTGGTGAACTCTGCTTTCGAGCATCGCCTACAAGGGGTCGCAGGCTCCGCACTGGGCGACGTTGCCATTGTTGTCGGTTGCCCTCCTCTGTGCCTTCGGACGAGCTGCTTTCAAAATATATGAGAATGTTATTTGCATAAATGTTTTAAATTTCACTACAGAAAAAAAAACAAAAAATTTTGCATAAAAAGTTGAATTTTAAAAATGCCCTATTTACATCCGCCAACATCTCGAGAGCATTCCCGGAAAGTTTCATTTGTTTACAGTACAAAGTTATTTTCTTATAAATTATTCTCGGTCCACCAATGCTAAAGAAAACGTACAGGTTTGAGCACTTTGAATACGTTTTTCTTCAATCCACTTTTTGATATGAATCCCACCTTAATAAAACTATCCTTTCAGTATGAAACTTTCTAGAGACTTAATATTTGCGGCTTATATGCCGAAATTTTATGAAGCCGGGTTACTCTAAACTTAGATTTTTCAATTTCATGTTCATTATGAAAAATTGTTATTTGTAGAATTTAATAAATGTAAAAAATGTTTTTCATAATCTTTTTTTTTTTTTTTTTTTTACTTGGAAAGTGAATTTTTTCTGGAATTTCTTCTGGTAGTAGGTGGCAACAGGTGTTCCAGTATGCATTTCACCAACCAGAAAATATGTGGTTATGAACACAATTTCTCAACGATAGATTCATTGAGCAGATTCCATGCAAAGCACTGCTTTACTTCGTTCTGGGGGTGTAAAATTGGTTCACAGGGTTGCAATTTTGCATGCCCTCCTTCTATATGGCTACAAACACCGCCTGCAAATATCACGCCAATTAAGCAGTTCATTAGTTTACAATTCCAGGTGTAGTGTCCCCCTTAAGACCTTGCACCGGTGGTTTCTTGTACGTTGCTTCGGGCATGGGAACACATATAAAATCCTCGCATACTAGGGTTGAAAAGAAAAAGCGTCTATAGTTGTGCGGTGCATTTACCGTAGATTCATCTACTCTCACAGAGTCGTCGACGAAGAAATATCCACACATTTTACTGCATATCTCATAACTGTTTCTAGTTTTTGGAAATATTTGACCTTCACCCGCTCAATTTTTGCCTTAAAAATTAATTTCCTGCATTCAAAACATTTCTATACTCCATCTTACCTTAAAACCTAAAGCAGCAAATGCTACGAGCCTGCGGAGCCAATCCAAGGCCGTGCGAGCGTTGCGCAATCTTAAGAGAGGGGGCAGAGTGATAGGCGGAGAGCGTATCACGTGCTACGTTCACGGAGTGGGATTGGCCGAGATGGCTCGTAGCGTCCGCAGCGGCCAGACTTAAGGTGAGACAAAGTACATCCACAAACAAAATGGAGCCAAATTTAAAACAAAATTCGGCACCGCTATTTGTTGGCAGAACTACAAACTAAGCCACAAGGAAGCTCTGGTCGTTGAAATTGGTCGAGTACGCGAACTGGGGAAAGCAGACGAGTTACGCTCGTACAAAACAATTGGGGACGGCTTCACGTCAACGAGCTAGCTCATCCGAAACGGTCGAGGGGCTAAAGTGCAGAGCCGACGATATATGGTCGTTACCTAAAACTTGGAGTTAGCAAACGACGTTCGCTCGATCGGCGATGAAGACGGAGCGTGGCGTCCAATGTCTGGCCTAGACCTCGCTTTCCGATGCTCGGGAGAAGTCCGTCTCGGCCACCGTCACCGAATCCAGTCCAGAAACCGAGTAGAGACTAGTACCTTGCCAGACTAGCCCGCAGTCTCGCCAAACCAGCTGCAATTACTGAAACGGGTAGGGCGTGGGAACGACGGAAGATTGAAATGTGCTTCCTACCGTTCAAATAGGGCGATACGTCGCGCAACGCCTCGAGCTTCGCGAGGCAGGGCAGGGGCGCGTCTTTTGAATGACTCAAGCCTGCACTCAGTGCCTTCAGCCACGGGGGCCCGCAACATATCTCCGATCTACCTGGCGGCAGAGCCAGCCAGGTAGCGCGTGCTCGGGTACTCTTTCTTGATTCCCGTGGCATTGGCATAATAATGGTGTGCATTCTTGTTTTGGGCTCGGCTTTCCCCTAGCTTCGAAGTCAGATGTGCAGAAAGTCTGCAATTGTGACGTTTGGCTTAATACGAATGAAATTGGTAGCATAGGGCGTTTTCACAAAACGTCAATCAGTCGTTTCGCTGTTACTTTGTTTTTTCTAACAAATTTACTAATTTGAAAAATTGCATTGCAACCTGTTGAGCGTGGCGAGACTTATAAGCTTCTATGCTCTACGTGTATGGAGGGTCATGTAAAACTTCAGAATGCTCGTCTTCGACACACGCCGGACAGCTCGCTACAATGGTGGACAAAATTACGTCAGTGAAAACACCCCATATACTGGCAGTTGTGAGGCAGAATGCAGTGCAAAATTTCATCTGTGCACGTGAATTGTTAAGGGGGGACACTACCCAAAAAAGTGAATGTTTGATCCACTTGTGTTATTTAGATGCCATTTACAGGGCTTGTTTCTGTTGGTGCTGAGAACATACCTGCCAAATTTTGTTCACCTGGTGAAGTACAAAAAATATTGCAAATGTTCAAAGATGAAAGTGGGCGTGTCTGCGTAGGAAAACTATCGTTTTGAAATTGCTTGTAAATTTTTCGTTTTCATATGTTATATTGCTTTAAGGCAGTTCAGAGCAGATAACTATGGAGCTAAATTATACCATCTCTCAGGTCAAAAAAGCCACATAATCTCTTTTTTAGATTTCCATCCTTTGTCCAAAGTTTTAGTTCTTGAGCATGAAAGATAACAAAAATAAAAAAATACAAGCTCATAGCTATTTTCCTTTTAAAATTTCACTCAAGAAGAACTCATAAAAACGAATCCAAGTTACGTAATAACAAAACGATAGTTTTCCTAAAGTGAAGTTTATGCCAAAAAGTGGAGCGGAGAAAAATGCGCTCAAAGTGCTCCAGTCTCTACCTTTTCTTTAGCATCGGAGGACCAAAAATAATTTATAAAAAATTAACTATGCACTGTAAACTAATGAAACTTTCTGGGAATACTCTCCAGATGTTGGTGGATGTAAATATGCCATTTTTCAAAACCTACTTTTTTTGCAGAAATTATTTTTTCTGGGTAGTGCCCCCCCCTTAAAGAAAATTATAAGCATTTTAATCAGGAGCACAATGATATTCTTTAGGAAAACTAATGTAATGCCCAACATTTTTCTTTACTCGTTACGCAGCACAATGCCTGGAAAGTGCAACTGTGAAAAGAAAATTTCTAAGAAGTTGTTTATTTTGAGATAAAAAAAAAGTTTCGCTGAAAACTAAAAAAATTTTGCCTTTTTTGCTGTTGACAAAATTTTAACATCTTTTATAAAGGACGTCCACAAACTAAAAAAAAAACATTTGCATTGCCCATTAAATTCCAGTTATGAAAAACAATGAGTGAACCTTTCCTTTTGTCCTGTTATCAAACATAGTTTTCCAACGAGAAATTTATGCAAAAAGGTGGAACAGAGAAAAATATGTTCAAAGTGCTCGAACCTCTGCCTTTCCTTTAGCATCGCTGGACTGAAAATAATTTATATAAATATAACTATGCTGCATAAACAAATTAAACTTTCTGGGAGGACTCTTTACATGTTGGTGGATGTAGATATTCAAGATCGGCCATTTTTGCAGGAATTTGTTTTCTTCTGGGTAGTGTCCCCCCTTAAGGGAACGTAAGCATGACACCTCTGCTCAGCAACAGGTTCCACCCCAGAGTGGGCGGCAATAGTTGAGCTACCCACAAGTCTGACCGACTGCCCATCTCTCCTATGTCCAGCCCCTCTCTATACTCCGTCTCCGGTGGACGAGACTACGCCGATTTTCAGAATGCACGACGCCCCAGATTGCCGCGTTTGGCAGACCCTTGTGGCACTATGCAACAGAACAGCATAATCCCTGCGAACAGAATCGCCACCCACTTCTGCCGGGTAGGGAAAGTGCAAGGAACGCTGCAAGTTTGGTCGGCGACAGGCCGAGAACGGCTAAGAGGAGCTCGCGTTGCTCTGCCTGCAATGCGAGCTTTCTACCTTCGACGTCATCTTATGCATCTTAAGAAGGCATAAGAAGGCATGGTACAAGGCGTCGAGCACATGCTGGAGGCGTTCGAAAGACACGCCCATTCTGTTAGCGTCTAGGGCTGCCTTTGCATCAACTTGTTCACCGTCCTACGAAGTTGAGAGAAGAAAACACCATCACGTGCACACGCGGGTAAATCAACAAAGATTCTGGCGAGGTACACTGCAGTGAGGTACAGTTGCGGGTCGGCAGTGTCCGACCCGCAGCTCCGCCTTTCGTCCTTTCCCCAAGGTGTGCCTCGGCTGCCAGAGGCACTCCAAGTCTACGCATCGCCCATTGGATGGGGAGCACATTCTCATTGCGAAGTTTGTGCCGCAGAAGGCAGGGTTGGGCCTCCACTTTTCCGGTGAAAGTAAAAGTGCTTTTCCTCCGCAGGCAAAAGAACGGACGAGAGCAGCAGTCCCGCCGGAGAAGCCGGAGAGAGCGACCAACCACGGAGGAGCCCGACTCCGCCGCAATAAAGCTGCCACGTTGTCCCCTTCGTGCTTGCATCGTCGTTTACGCGCCTAGGAGGCTCCCACTTTATCCTTCAAAGGCGGCCGCTTGCACGTTCTCAACTGTACAGTTGGCGACGATGAAATGAAACCCCAGCTCATTAGATAGGTGGTGCCCTTAAAGGCCTGTTCACACATACACCGCAGCACCGACCTCTGTGCTATACGAGCTGTCCGCTGCAGGCGACCCTACCTTTTCCTGGTTCCACGCAAAATGCAGCACAGACAGTAGCACTGATCCAGCGCCGACTGCCTTATCTCAGTGCTGAGGCGCCTGTGCGAACCGGCCTTTCCCAATCGCCTGTGATCGTAATCAATCACCTGCGATGAATTTTTAAGCAGCGATTTTTAAGTCCGGTACGAAACCGACAGCGCATTGTGGTTGACAGTTGAGGCTGCTTCCACGGGTCCGACATGTGCTCGCAAACGTGACAGTTCTCGCGAATGCTCCGTCCACTTTTCGAACCCTGCAGTAGTAGTAGGTTTGATGATGAAACCAGAACATGTTGCAGTTCCGAGGACCCGCACTTCACTGTATGTATTAAAAAACTACTTCACCCAATGGCATGCCAGTCACGAGGGTTGACTTGACTTTTCAGTAGCTCAAAATCTTTTTGAGCTAGTACTATCGTAATATCTCGAGAGATGCCCTACCCTTCAAAAGTAGTCCACCCCTATTTTCGGCATGATTTGCTATTTTTCCAGAAATGCTGAAAAACTGCCAACTTCCAGTAATTGCGGGGCCAACGGTGATTTCGGCAAAAAAACGGTGTTACTTCACCACGGCGAGAGACAAGTGAACATTGCTGACTGGAAAGGACATTTGTCTTTGGTTCATCGCCCCTTCCTGAAATAACATTTCAAGGGTCACAATGTCTAAAACACATTTTTTAAACTTTTCTTTTATAACACAGAGAAAGTTAGCCAACTTCTTATTTTCATCCGATTTGCTATCAATTTTACGTGGGCTATCTCTAGGAATAATACGGTAGTTTTTGCAGAGCTTTCTGTTGCAAAAATTAAGAACATTTCATAAATTTCAAATTGATTTGGGTACGTTACTCTTCGAGTTGCAGCCATATGTACCCAGTTCGGAGTAATTTTTTTTAAAAGATTCTGTAACAAGTTAGACATTGTGTTAGAATTCAAGTCTGCTCTGACCATCATTCAAAAGCCAATTTATTCATTTCTATGCATGGTATCCTATTGTAAACCCAAGTTTTTGGGTAAAAAAAAAAAAGATGCCACACAAAACTGACAATTTCTGCATGACCAGGAAAGTGTTTAAGAGGTCATATTCTTTCTAACGTTACAAATAAAATGCTTGAAAATGGATTTTTCTCCTGTCAACTTAAAAAATGGCCAGAATTGAAGAGCAATTTCTGTTTTGTCTAGATTGACAATGTTTGAAACCATCATAAATAACAGGCTGGAATATTGATTAGAAATCAAGTCTAGACATGAAAGACGAAGTATCTGTGAACATTGAAAATAAGTGACATTTTGTTTTGGACCTCAAAAAAGTGTTTGATAGTGTGTGGCACAAAACAACAAAGTTGAGACATGGGGATTTGTGGAATTGCGCAGAAACTAGTAAAAACATAGCACGTGTATATAAGGTACCCCACGTCCCTTGTCAATGCAAGCTGTGGGGTATCCCTTCTGTTTCAGCTGTAGGCACATGTTTACCTTTATGTTCAGTTCATCAATTGTCCTATTAGAGCGCAGCTCTTAGGGGCCCGTTCCCGTCTTGAGCGGCGTCGCCGTCGGCGTAACCAAGGTCATCCCAAGGTCACGTGACTCCCCAAGGTCACGTGACCCCTTCCCCAAGGTCACATGACACCCAAAGTCACGTGGCTCCCCAAGTCACGTGACCCCCGATGACGTCATCAGTGACGTCACTGATAACGTCACCGGCATCCGCATCGTCATCATCACTGATGACACCGGCATCCGCATCGTCATCATCACTGATGACGTCATCAGTGAGTCACCGGCATCCGCATCGTCATCATCACTGATGACGTCACCGGCATTCGCATCGTCGCTGATGACGTCATCAGTGACGTCACTGGCATCCGCATTATCACTGATGACGTCACCGGCATCCGCATCGTCATCATCACTGATGACGTCGCCGGCATCCGCATCGTCATCATCACTGATGACATCACCGGCATTCGCATCGTCATCATCGCTGATGACGTCATCAGTGACGTCACTGATGACGTCACCGGCATCCGCATCGTCACTGATGACGTCACCGGCATTCGCATCGTCATCATCGCTGATGACGTCATCAGTGACGTCACTGATGACATCACCGGTATCCGCATCGTCATCGTCACTGATGACGTCACCGGCATCCGCATCGTCATCATCACTGATGACGTCATCGGTATCCGCATCGTCATCGTTACTGATGACGTCATCAGCATCGTCATCGTCACGTGACCCCCACCCAAGGTCACTTGATCCCCCCAGTACCCTTCCCTACTCCTTCTCAAGAGCTGCGCTCTAATTCGGCGTTACAGGGAGTTGTAAACGGCTTTCACTTTTTTTTATGTGCGCTAAAATATTGAGGTGGGCTAGTTGGTTCAACATGATGAATTAAAAAGCGCTAAGGACAGACACGGACATGAAGTTTAATGTGCGACGATATCCAGTCCTCAAGAAGTAATTATAAGTATGCATATAATTTGATGGTGCCACAAACCACTCTCTGAAAGGGACAGAGACGGGGTATTTATGCTCGTCGAGCTTCTTATTTTGACATGACCTATAAGGGCCCAACAACCCAGAGCACAACTTGCAGCTTGAAATAAGTCTTTCTTCTGCCCGAAAACGGCCAGTCGGGAGTAGACCTTTTGCTAAATTACCCAAGCATCCAAGTGAATGCTGGGAACGTAGGTACATGCGCTGTACATGCTCGCCTTCCTTACACAAGATCCCCAAAAAACCAAAATGAAGCGTTTGTGGAACGCACGTGCAAAATGCCATTTGTTTTGAGATTGCTTTCAACCAGTTAGCTGCAGACGCTAGCACACGCAGCGAGTGTACCCATGTTCCCGGCACTCTTTTTGATGCTCGGGCAATTTGGCAGGTCTAATGGCCGGTTTCAGTCACAGCTCGCTTTTGTTTCCATGGTCACGTGTCATTCCAACTATGTGTACCAGTGTTGCGGAATGGGCGCCCCCATTCGATTCCAATTCCATTCCCGGGAATTAGAGTTTTCGATAATACCATTCCTTTCAACTCCTAGGAATGGGACACTGGGTCCATTCCCACTCCTGGAATGGCTAAATCGTTCCATTCCATTTCTCCAATTCCTAAACGTTAAAAGTGTCACTTGACAGCTACATTCCGTTGCAGGGTTGGGCAGAAATATTCTAAAATGTATTTAGAAATACGAATACTGACATAGATGAAAATAATTGCTAAGATACTGATACTCAAGTCTCAAATATATCTGTAAAAATGTATAGCGATATGTATCGGAAATACATTTTACAAAGATGCAAAAATTCTTTGGAAATACAAATACAAGAATACATTTTAGGGAGGGCAGAAATATAAATCTGATAATGCAAAACAGTTTTCAAATTTCTTTGAGATGCCAACTGAGATGGGGCTTAAAGTTTGAAGTGGAAGTTTTTTGGTTTTTTTTTTGGTCACGAAATCAGTTTTCCGCAGGCTAGCACTTCGCCTTGAAGGTAGTGGTTCCGGACGAAGAGTCCTCAGTGGGTTCAAAAAAGGTTCAGTCAAGGATTGACCGCGCTCCCTTCCCTGGCATCCTGTCCGACTGACCAGTGATGCGAAAAGACTTCGACCTCTAAATAAATTCCATCAAAACATCACCACTTCCCTGTCCAATAAGGGCGCCCCTGTCAGCACTGATCACATGACGTCACGGTGGGATGAACTAGTATTCTTGAATCTGTAGGTGTTGCCTTGAACATGGAACTTTACCCACGCTGCTGTATGAAAAGACAATACCATGGGCGTACCAATCGGGGGGGGGGGGGGGGGGGGGGGCACTTGGTACCCCAGTTTTCACAGTCGGGGGGCAAGGCATGTGTTTTGCCCTCCCCCCCCCCCCCCCCCCCCCTGAAACAGCCGCCACTGGGCAAACACTGGCCGGCAGCATCCAAGGGATACCAAAAGCATCGCCCCCCGGCCTTTGGGGGGGGAGGGTCTGGCTTCCCCCCCCCCCCCCCCCCCCCCACTCAAAAACAAGTTGGTACGCCACTGGAGAATACATACTTTCGTTGCAGGTGACCTTGTTGAAGACCATGCAGGCAGTTGCATTTGAAATTTTTGATAAAAGCTGACCACCTGAAGCATCCTGAAGCACATGTCTTATTTTCTGTTACGGTTGAAAAATCGATACGGTAGCATCCCTGTTGTGGCGGTCCTTCCTGCCGACTCTCCGCCTCCAACGCATGAATGGCAGTCCTCAAGTTTCCCCTAGCATCATTCTAACAGAGACCTCGTGGATTGCGACCTGAGATGGCCGGCACAGGTGCGAGCTCTCCGGGAAACAGCGCGCTCGAGACGAGTCGCAGGTGTACGAAGTCTGGGTCCGCACAGCGAGGCCACGTCTGGCCTCCTTCCTGGGTAGCGGATCACCAGAGTAGCGGGTCACGTTCACGTCTGCTGATGACGTACCCTAGAGCCGTGCAATATTACAGGCGCAGACGCATTTGGATATGTGTTGAACTTTACTGGTGAAAGGCGCCACCGCCCACCCCCCCCCCCCTCCATCCTTTGTTCTTTGCTTTGACGTTTGTTTTTTGTATAGCAATTTTTTTGCGTACAAGTCTGTTAGGGCCTTACGCGGGTTCGCAGTTTCCCGCTCATTTTATTTCTGAACAACCGACTCCCTGACTGGCTCAGTATAACTGAACGTAAAAAAATAAATAAATAATTAAATAAAATATAAAGAAGCTGGCCCAATCCATTCCCATTCCATTCCGGGCCAAAGGCATCTAATTCCATTCCCATTCCATTCCCATTCCATTCCGGGGTCGCGAAAATGCGGAATGATTCCGGAGTCATTCCAACTCCGGAGTGGCAACTCCGCAACACTGATGTGTACCAAACATATTCAAAGTTGTGGGTCGTCCAAAGCATGCATCAATTATTAAAAATACAAACCCCATTTTTGTGACTTTCAAAAAATGTCAATGCGTCGATTGAAGAAAAAAGAATTGTGGAGCCCTCCCACTTTACGTGGAGATGGAGGACCAGCAAAGCTGTTATTTTTACGACATCTAGAACGACCTCAAGGACCGTGCCTAGAGGACGACTTCGAGGATGACTTCTAGACAGACCTTCAGGACATCGTCCAAGAGAACCTCAAGGACAACCTTGAGGACGATGCCACCAGACTGCAAATTTGTGCACTCCCCATCTAGATTTAAGCAGTATGCCATAGAGGTATACTCCAGATTCGTATAGGTACATACCTACATTGCTTTATTTCGCAACATTGCACGCGATGCTTAGGTTTTGTTATTTTCACTTTTGTACACCAAGAGGAGGTCAAACCCCTCTACGGTACCACACTGCAGACACGAAGGAATGCAAAAAGAATGCAATTTTCAAAAATGTTTTTTATTCAACCATTTATTTCTCTATGAATTAATGAGACAGCCGGCAAGAAAACGCGGGTATAATAAAAACGACGTAGGTCGGGGTTCCCGTCTCATTTCTAGGCTCCTCTCGCGCCACTGGTTAACAAGGGGGTCGCCAAACTGACCCAAGTTAGCTCGCTCGGTGGGTGTGGGCAACCGCGCCGCGCTCGGTTTCGAGCCGTTGCGGCAGCCAATCGCACCACCTAGGAACAAAGAAAGAGTAACTCCAAGATGCGGGAGGGGACACCCCCTTTCGAAAGAAAAGCGGCCTGCGAAACAATTTATTCTGTCCCGAAATTCTCAAGGAAGTAGGAACGCCCGTCGACGACGTAAATGCCGCCCGCCAGACGGACTCGTCGTCGTCGCCCCTTCCAAGCACTCCGCAGCACCAGCACCGGGCTGGCTCCCCAAAGGGGACCAAAAAGGGGCCGCGAACGATGCAACGCCGCCCGTAGATCGGAAATAAAAAAAGTGGAAATCCCAACACTTTGCAAGTAGCTTCGTCCCCTCGTTGCGGGCAGTCGGCGACCTGGAGGGCCCCCGACGCGCGCGAGATCTCGAGACGCCGCGCAGCTCGACTCGGCAACGTCTCGGCCGCGTTTCCCTCGCGGGACCTCGTGCGGGGGGGGGTCTCGTTGATGCGGGACACCGGGCTGCGCGTCTCGGCCGGGGTTCTCCAAGCCCCTTCGCCGACGCGTCCGAGGGGGAGCACGCCCTGGAATGGTCGCTCTTGGAAGGCACCTCGCCGTTGGCACCGTCCAGCCACGGCCGCCGAGGGAGGAGACTGTAGTCTGGGGGCGTCGCGTCTCCGGCGGGGTCGCTCGCCCGACGGGAAGACCCCGCTGCCGCGGCTGGCAGGTACACTCGCTTGAGCAGTTCTTCCCCCCTTACAAAAATACCCCCGGACAGTCAAACGCGCTTCAGCTGCTACCGGAAGCGTCTTTGTCGGCTCGACCAACGGAATTAAAAAGCCGCGGTAGCAATATATATATATATATATACTATAATTTTAGCGCACCGACGCTCGGGGATATGATATGCGGTATGAATACGTGTCGTGAAACTTGCGAGGAAACGATAAAACAAATTTTGTCGGAGATTTGAGAACGTGTAAAGGAAAGCTGCCCATGTTTGACGGCAAGGCGAGCGGTGGTGGCAAAGCCAAAGTCTCGCCGAACCCTTCTGCGCGGTTGACCAGTCTAGTTCAGTGCTCGATCGTGATGGGGTCTCCGATTCTGTGGTGTTTGAGATCGCCACCAGACATGGCCCTCCCAGGGGAGCCCAATTATATTTAGTCCCTCGACGAAGACTTCAGATCGGTTAATGCGAGTTGCAGAAAGGAACGGCCGTTGAGGTAACGAATGCCGGCCGTTTCGTTACAAACGGACCGCAGTTGCGCAGACGGCGGCCACTTTCAAAAAGGCACTTTGATTTCCGACCTTGCCGGCGAGAGAGAAGCAATTTAGGGTCCCCGCGTCGCTTACCAGAATCGTGGAGGTGGAAAAGAGATGCGTGGGTTAATAAATGCAATTAGGAATTACCGTCTAACACTTTTAGCTTTCCTCGCAAAAAAAATGCCACCGAGGACCGTGGCTTTTGTTCGATAGCACGTTACAAAAAATTTGCGACGGCAACGAAGGAAGCTCGGCGATGGAGCGGAGCACGTGTGCCCGGCGACTTCCAAAGTGCCTTTTGAAGATGGCCGCCCTAGCAAACCGGTTTCCTTGGCAAACAGATTGCGCCGGCCTCTCGCAGGAAGGAGAACAAGGGGGCGACGTAGAACAGCCCCGTTGGAAGAGGCGCCTGCAGCGAGGTGCGTCGGCAGTGCCATGCTGGCGTCTCCGGCGATGCCGGGGTGGCTGCAGCCGTGTCAGTCACAAGCCTGCAACAAAAGCAACGCCCCCAGCTTAGTCCTTTCGCGCAAACTGCGACTTCCGGCCACCATGCGTTCCTTTCGAATTTCGCGGCTGTCACCCGATTTCTGGATGCTCTTGTACGCTTTTCCCCAGTTAGGAAAATGTTCCCATTCGATCGGCACGAAGACGAGCGCTGCGTCGGTGTGTGGCCGGCGCTAGTTTTCTTCCGTTTTATGGCGCACCGTGCACTCACGAGGGCACCCACCGAACCACTCTGGCATACTTGCCGCGAGGCAGCTAAGTAGCTGCCTCGCCTCAGATACGATCACATGGTTGTGTTGCCGCAGGGTCGATCAAGATCTTGAATTCAGCTCCCGACGTGCCGCTTTCTCTCTAGCCACTAGATAGCGCTGCAGGCGCCGCGTGGCGGGCGAGGGGAAACCTCCTCGCCCATCGATCGAGATATACTCGGTGGGCAGGGGGCGAGAGGCCTCTGAGAACTTCGGACGCTACCGAGCCCAGGCAAGTGTAGGGCGACCAAATCTAGGGTAATCGCGGGACACGAGGCCTGGGGGCCCTCTCTGTGTTTAGCTTTGGGCTTGACGTGCGTTTGTAAACATTTGTAGGAACTCGCGTATCGCCGCCGATTTGCCATTTTCCACGTGGTCCGTCAACAACCCGAGTCCAGCCTGGTTCTTTTACGAGAGCGGGACTCCGCTCCCCGTTTATTGGTATAATAAGACACAATGCTGCAAAACACTTAATCTAAGCTACAAATGCACGCGACATTACACAAATATTTACAAACGCACGTTAAGCCCAAAGCTAAACACTGAGGGCCCCCAGGCCCCGTGTCCCGCAATTACCCTAGATCCAGGTCGCCCTACACATGCCTGGGCTCGGTAGCGTCCAAAGTTCTCAGAGGCCTCTCGCCCCCTGGCCCGCCGAGTATATCTCGATCAATAGGCGAGGAGGTTTATCCTCGCCCGCTACGCGGTGCCTGCAGCGCCATCCAGTGGCTAGGAGACTAAGCGGCACGTCGGGAGCCGAATTCGAGATCCCGATCGACCCTGCGGCGACACGACCATGTGATCGTATCTGAGGCGCGGCAAGTATGCCAGAGTGGTTTGATTGGCGCCCTCGTGAATGCACGGTGTGCCATAGTTTTGAAAGTGCGAAACCAAAAAGGGTGAGGTGCCAGCCATGTAGCAGATTTTGCGTTAAAAAGCGCCACAGGAGCAGCAAAATCGGCAGGATTTAATGGGCTTACGGCCTGCTAAATTTCGTAGGACGCCACCAAATGTTACGTGGACACGTGACTCGACACTACAATCGAGCAACTTGCGGCTTGAAATTATGGTGTCGCGCGACGTAATGCGACGTCGTACAATTGCACCACAACTCAACACTGTGTCGTGACCCCTGTAGAGGCACCAAATGTGGGACCGTTCTACCATTTCCGCCAAAGTTAGTGCAAAATATCCCGTTTCATTTAGTAAGAAAGCTACCGAGACTGTCCAGGCTGTGAATCTGTTCTACAACCATTGTACACGTGAAGGGCGGGCGTACCCAGGGGGAGGGGCCTACTGGCCCTGGCTGGACTGCTGCTGGATCTCGATCTTCTCAACGGTCATGTCCGGGTTCATCATGGTGGCTTCCTGGATGGCCTGGGCCAAGGCCCGGTCGTGGTCGATGGGGTCCCCGTCGCTCTGGATCGTGATCTTCTGCTCCACGCGGGTCTCCACCACCCCGTCACGCTCCATCTTGTACTGCACACACGCACGCTCCCATCAGGCACCTTCCAAAGTATCATTGGTGTGGCACAGACTTTGCGAGAGCCATCATGCACACGCACGTGGGTGGTGACGTTCCGCCTTAATTTCAAGAACGACAAGATATGATGTGCTTAAGCCACGTTCATGTGAATGTGGCTGTACTTAGTCCAGCTGCAAGTGCTGAGCTTTCACCTTTTCCTCGTGGCGCTGAGCAAAGGGCAGCAGATTGCACGGTGCGGGGTTCCACTCCAGCCGAACCGCCTGGCAAATCTCGCGTCTTACGACTGATTGTGCCTACTTACGATTACGTAGAATTAATTAAGTTTGCCTCCTATGTGCTTTCGATGGTTATACACTGCCTGCTACGGGCTCTGCATACTTCAGTGTCCTTGGCCCGCGTGACGCGTCTTTTTGTTGCACTCCAGTGGGATGCTTCTTGCTCGACATCCAGCCCACAAGCACATTCTGCGTTAGAATGTGCGGTTCGAGAGTGCGTTTCATAATTTGAAGCGTTTTGGCGTAATGGTCGACTTCAAATTAATGGGAGTCGGCTGTACCGACCTCGCATGTGGTGATTTGCTGCTCCCCCACATTTATTTTTCGAGAACTTATATGGCACTCAAACTGAAAGCAGTTAAGCCTCGCGAGCCACCTGGACCCACGTGTGCCCGGACGCACAGTAAACTTTCGTTCTTTTGACCTCAATAGGACCTTGAAATTCGGTCGAATTATCCGAATGATTGAATTAAAAAAAAAGGACAGAAAAACGGTTAAAACTAAACTTCCTTTTATTGTCTGAAGTACTCACGGATCGTGTGCTGCCATCTGCGCTTAAAACGCGTGTCCAAAAGCATGCTCCGGAGAGCAGCGCAACTAAACGTCACGTCCCCAAAATATCGCACACTAAGAAAAAAAAAACAACCAAAACAAAACCGAAAAAGTAAGTGTTACGACAGAAAAAGGAAAAGAGGACCCACACTTTCCGATGCGCAAGATGGACCGCACACGATCCTACAGAAAATCGCTTGAAGGCGTGTGCCGAGAAAGCTTTACGAGCCGACTTTGGCGCCAAGCAACCAAACCGTGGGCAAAAAAAAAAAAAAAAAAAAAAAAAAAAAAAAAAGAAAGGGAATTAGCGTTTTTTGGCACGCAAGATGGACCGCGCACAATGCTACAGAAAAGCACTTTGAGAGCGCGCGCTGTCTCTGCGCCCGACCACATGCTACGTCTTCCGCGCTACTCCACGCCAGATTGGTAGCGCTGGCTGGTGTCATTCGCTACGGCCCATCTCAACGGCGTAGAGGAGCAGGCGCATATTTGCGCACGTTCGGCTTTGCAGCAAAGGGCCCCTGTTTCGCTGTATGTTGGTGGTCTTCCTGCCGTGGTGCCATGCAATGTGAGCCCGCGCGCATTCTTTCGGGACAAATTATCCGATGCGGAGTTTTCCCAAGTTAGAACTATCAAACTTTTCCTCCCATAGAAATGCATGGGCGCTCGCCGGGACTTTTGAACACGATTGAATTACACGAAAAGTCGGATTAACCGAGGTCGAACTAACGAAAGTTTCCTGTATGAGCTACGCTTCAGAGTAAAGACACTCGAGTCACCGCACTGCTTGAAATCAGATTTGCTAAATACTGAAGCTCTATTTAGAATTTCAGGAAAGACTTCTCCATTCCCCAGAGACGTTAAGAGTCCAAGACAAAGCAAAACAATATCGCGTAAGCTTCCAGACCCCCTATTAAAGCGAGGGAAATCACATTTTCGAACCACGACTACAGTCGAAGCTCATTATAACAGACCTTGTTACAACAGACATTTGGATATAACATACTGATTTGTGAAGTTCAGTTGGTTTTCCTCTACATAGCATTGACTCAACTTCATATCTGCATACAACATACTCCTTCTACAACAGACCGAAATCTTGGACAAAATCAAGGTCTGTTATAACGAGCTTAGACTGTATTGCCACTTTTACACGCTTTTTGCTAGTTAAGAAAACAGCGGCATCCGCAAGACAACTGGGGAATGGAGTGCCGACACCCTTGGCATGGCCCCGGCTTTTAGATTTGGAGTCTTTCCGTCCTGCTACGAAAAAGTTCTTCTTTGGAACAAAATAAAGCACCAGAGGCATGCTACTGATGTTTGAATTCAATGAATCAAATCGCTCGGAGACCCAAACGAATCAACATGGTTTTGGGGAAACCAGTGGAGAAAGATGCAGGATTTTTTTTAAACATGAATTGGGGCTATTTGGTGAAGACAAGAGGTTTTGTCACCGCAAGACAAACATTTCCAGGCCAGTAAAGGTTGTTTCACACATTTATGTTTCCTTACGACCGAGTTCTTGCAATCTCTCGCGACGAGAGACCACACTGGCATGTTGGCGCCATGCATGAGGTGGCCCTGGAACAGCATTTCACTAAGGCAAATTCGCAGTAATTGTGATATGAAATGTACGTAGCACCTATGAAAAAAAGGTTGTTTATAACATCATATAAAATAGCGCAACAGAAAGACAAGGACAGGATGTATACAGGACAGGCGCTGTCCTGTATACATCTTGTCCTTGTCTTTCTGTTGCGCTATTTTATATGTTTTACTAAGATGAACCAACTAGCCCAACAACGTACCTTACTAGTTTATAACACCGTTAAGTTTTCCAGAAAAAAACAAATGATACGCGAAAAAATGGGTGATACAGTATACAGAAATTGCGCGTCTCATGGCTACCTAACAGACGGCGCCAGTGTGTTTTCTCGTTGCTAGAGATTGGGACGTCGTAAGGCACTCGCTCTTAAGTGATTGCAGATGCGCGAACCAGCCTCGAGTAGTTTGACAGCGAGACGAGTCGTTGGGCGACCCTAGCTCGGACGTCGGTGCGTGGGAAGACGCGTGGCCGGGACTCACCGTGACGGTCTCGACGGTGCGTGTCTTGCTCGAGATGGTCTGGGAGCTGACCACCTCGCCCTCCTGCTCGACGATGTCGTGGGGGGGCACGTCGCTGGTGGTCACCTTGGTGGCGGCATAGGTGGCCCCCGTGGGCGCCCGGTCCGGCCCGGCCCCCTGGTCCACCTGGTAGGCCACCTTGCGCGTCTCCGTGGACACCACTGGCACCGTCGTCGTCATGGTACCCCCCGCTCGGGGCCGACCGGGGCTCATACTTCACCGCCTCCGTCTTCACAATCTGCGCGGTTCCAGATCTCGCTTTGACTTCTGGGATTTAAAGCTGACGAGGGTAGAAAGTTGGGCAAGTTGGTGATTCATAATGACTAAAAAGAGCAACAAAACGACGGGCAGAGAAAAAGACACAGACACAACTACTCAAATGATCGGAATGAAATTTACAGGAGAGATTTAACATAAGATATAGGTGTATTGTGCAAACTTTAAGCTCTCTAGGCCAATTTTACATAGCTCAGTAAGTAGACGTGTCATTCTTTGTTAAGAAATCTGTGATATGCAAATGAACCTATTAAGCACTATTTCAACTGCCTCTATAGACATTTTCATTTTAGTAGTTGCCTAACCGGTGGATAAAGGGTGCTGACGCACTCAGTGCCGTTAGGTTGCTTCAATTTGATTGGTTTCGATTTCAACGTGCACGCGGCTATGTTGCTTTTTACATGGTCTTTACTTAATTTTGTGATGCAATTATCTTCCTTGTAGGACAAAACCAATGAAACAATGGTACTGAGGTGTTTTAGAGCGCAGCTCTTAGGGGCCCGTTCCCGGCTTGAGCGGCGTCGGCGTCGCCGTCGGCGTCGGCGTAACCAAGGTCATCCCAAGGTCACGTGACCCCCAAGGTCACCTCAAGGTCACGTGACCCCACGGTCACGTGGGGTCATCTTGGGACCACGTGACCCCTCGCGGTCACGTGACCCCTTCCAAGGTCATCTCAAGGTCACGTGACCCCCAAGGTCACGTGGTCTCCTCCCCGAGGTCACGTGACCCCCGAGGTCACGTGACCCCTCCCAAGGTCATCTCAAGGTCACGTGACCCCAAGGTGACCCCTACGTGACCCCGAAGGTCACATGACCCCCGAGGTCACGTGGGGGTCACGTGACCTTGAGGTGACCCCCAAGGTCACGTGACCCCCCTCCCCCCCGAAGTCACGTGACACCCCCCCCCCCCGAGGTCACGTGACCCCCCCCCCCCAGAGCATATTAAGGAATGAGGGGAGGAGGAGGAGAAGGAGGAGGGGTCTACCCTCCCCTCAGTACCCTTCACTCCTCCTCCTCAAGAGCTGCGCTCCAATTCGGCGTTACAGGGATTTGTAAACGGCTTTCACTTTTTTTTTAGCCTAAATTGTGGGCTCTTTTTACCAACTCCTTTGATGTATCTAATTATGGTCGGTTGCAAAACGCCTGACTGATGTACAGGGAAGATTACCATCGTCTACGGCCGTACCCAATGACCCTAGTTTCCAGAAAAGACAACTAATGGAGAGACTAACACGTGAATGCAAAGAAGCATATCTACAACTGGAGTAGCAATGTGCTGAATCGGGCAAAACAGATGAACTCACGAGTTTACTACTTACGGTTTGGTTTTCGCGGGCACCCACCTTTAGTGAACTTAGCAGACAAAAAAAGTATCATGTAATGATGCAGATACAATTGATATAAAAAAATAATATTGTCTCGACCTCTATTCCACTAAAACTGAACCTCTATTCGCCATCCACAATCCTGGACTCGGGTGATTGTTATGCAGAGGGCTTTTGTTCGGCGTAAAATATTGCCGACGCAGATACTGGCAAAAATTAAAACAGCGTACGAAAAAAGAAAAAGTGTTGTCATTATTGCGCATGCGCCGAACCCAAACTGCGTTTTGATTTGAAAATAGAAATGTTATTTCTTTGTGCATGCTATTCTAAAACTTGTTACTGTTAAGTTGTCTGTGTCAGTTTCTTACGCGGGAATTCCCTTGAGCTTGTTTTATTTTTTCTGTTGCCGGTTAATGTTACCAGCTCTTCAATTAATGTAAATTCCTAACCTTTGTGAATAAATGAAGTGGATTGAACTGGTCATCTAAAGATAATCAGTAAATCACTAAAATGACCGTCAAAACGGGAGCGAGCAAAGTATACTATTTCATAAACTTCACAAGTAAACTGACCAACCGAATGTTTACAGTGCAAAAAAAAAAGTTTGAGAACCTCATACACATGTAAGTGTGATATTATGAAGAAACAAATCGCCTGATGTTGACGTACCATTATTCCTAGCCTCAGACAAAATACAAGTTAAACGTTCACTGTCTATATCCTCCACGAGTTTCCTCAGATCATCAATAGAAACTGTTTTTGATATACTGTAAATGACTGAATTTTCGCAAAGTCGTAATTTTCGCAAATTCCGCGAATCGCCTACAATTTGCGAAAAATAGGTCCCGCGAACAATTTCGGTAAAATGTAAACACATTGGAATCTATATTTAGTTCTTACTGCGTTGCGAAAATTAGAACCTGCGAGCGAATTATTCCGAAACTTCAGCTTCAACCTAAATTGCGAAATATTGAGCCCGCGCTTTTTACTGAGGATGTTCCGCAACTATTAGTAAACAACCTCAGTTGTCGTAAGGGCATTTGAACCCTAATGATGTCTTAGTTGTCGGGTAGACGTATCAGACTACAGTTTCCGAAGTAAGGCAAGAAAGCATGGTGAAACGCACCGAAAAACACGGATACAACGCATCTGCCAAGGCGTGGAGGGGAGAGCGGAGCAACAAATTGAAGCAACCCAATGGCTGCCGCGTCACGCGATTCCAAGATGGCGGCACCCATGCGGGGAGTATGAAAAGGTCTATATGAAGTGGGGGATGTGGGACTTTGGGCTATCTAGTTTTTATGACTCAAATGTAAATATTTCAGGAACAGTCATCACCTCAAAATATGATATACATATCTGTCCTATGTCAATTTTTGAAAACATTGTTTTTTGTTTTTTTTTCAATTAGGACTTTAATGTAAAGCAAAATAAAGTAGATAGCCCAATTCCCCAGTAAATTTCAGTTCAGGAACACCCTGGTTGTGGTATCAAAATACTTTCACCATCGAACAAAAGATTCCTTCGTACAAAATTTGCAGCAAAAAGTGGAACTGAGAAATATGCATTTGAATATTGAACTTTTTTACTTTGTTACTGCCTCACAATCTGTTGAAAATATTTTATATCAACATAACTATCTGGCATATGGTTATCAAATTTGGCGAAAAGGTGTATAAGTAGTTTCTAAAACAAAAAAAAAAAAAAAAAAAACCTTAAATTTAAAAAAAAAAAAAAAAAAAAGGAATTGAAATTTAGGTTTCTGTTCTCAGGGCTACGAGGTGTCCGGGCCCCGGTGTCCCGAAAGGGGATGTGTCCACTCACAGGCAGCTCGTCGAGGGGCACGGCCACCACCCGCGCGGTGCGGGACACCTGCTGGGACATGATGCGCTGCGGCTGGGCCCCGGCCTCGCCCTCCGGAAGGCGCCCCACCGACACGCTCGTGGCGCTCCACTGCCCCGTGCCCGGGGGACTCCCGGGGTGCGTCGGGATGCGGGACGGCAGCTTGCCGCCCTCCTGCGAGGACGACGCCCGGCGAGGTCAGGCACCCTTCTTGGACCCTCACCCGACACCTCCGGAACCACGACCGTCGCGATAAATGCGCCAATCGGAGACACGTTCCAGGCACTGTACCAACACCCGTCCCAACACCAACGGGCCGCGGCGAAGCGACAGGCGTCTAAACGAGGCCGGCCAAGCCGTCGAAAGGTTGCGTTGGCCTTGTGCACCTCGCGGCGGGAGCACCCTCGATGTAAGGCCAACGGGCAGGCGAGGCCTCGCGAATGTGCGCGCAAATGAGGACGGTTCCTCGACTGCCTCTTACTTGCTGCACCATCTCGGAGTCTGTCCGAAATGCGAGCGAACCTTCGACGCACTCCATGGCAAGGCGGCACCGTTTGAACGGCTCTCTCCTCTCCCGCCGCCACGCTCCTGTGGACCCGGCAGCACACCCAGATGCCGAGGAGCGAGCTCCAAGGGTGCCGACACTGCGCCTTCCTCTCGCCCGCATCTGTCCTCCGGGGCGGGGGTGCTCAAACTTTTTCATCCTGGGAACCTCCATCTGCCCCTACAGAAGGTGGAGGAAACCCTACGGATCTTGGTGTTTATCCGAGAAAGCGGTGGACCTTGCAAAGTGCACATACTAAGGGGTCTTTGGATCATAATTATATATCAAGGGGTAGCTTCACTGAAATAGTACTAAAACTGGGAAGACTGCTTAGGTCCAGGGACAGTCGAGGAAATTTGAGTGCTCGAGAAACCCAAGGGATACTCCGGAGAACCTCCGCGTTCCGCGAAACCCAGTTTCCTTTTTTCATCTATGCACCGTAATATCCAGAGATATAGCCCACCTCAAATCGAAAGCAAATCGGGCGAAAATAAGCAGCAGGCTAACTTCCGATGTGCGACCGAAGTTGAAAAGAAAATGCTAGTTTCAGATACTGTGTGACCTGCAAAACTTGCGATTGCAGGAAGGGGCGACGAACCGAAGATGACTGTACAGGGTGTCACAAAAGAAACTTTACACTGTCTTTTTTACCGCAAAAATAAACTAGGCATCGCCGAATGCTCATTCTCCGCCCAAAGGTAGAGCTAGAGGTCACAACCAGGTGCCAAAGTTTCAGCCTGATCCGTTAACTTAATCAAAAGTTATAAGTGATTTTCTGAAATTTTCAATGGGAAAATGGGGCCCATTTTTGCCCGTTTTCGGTTTCTGGTGCCATAGAGCCCCGTGTGTTTGAAAACACCGTCGGCCGCCATTTTCCCATTGAAATTTTCAGAAAATCACTTATAACTTTTGATTAAGTTATCGGATCGGGCTGAAACTTTGGCATCAGGTTGTGACCTCTAGCTCTACCTTTGGGCGGAGAATGAGTGTTCGGCGATGCCTAGTTTATTTTTGCGGTAAAAAAGACCGTGTAAATTTTCTTTTGTGACACCCTGTACTTCCCAATCAGCAATGCTCCCTTATCTCCCGTCGTGTCTAAGTAACTCCATTTCTGCCAAGGTCACCATTGATCCCTGCAATTACTAGAAGTGGGCTATCTTTCCATGTTTTCAAGAACATCGCACCAAGAAAAGGGGCGGGTTATCTTTCGGTGGTGGGCCGTCTCCGGAATATTAGAGTGTATGCTTTCTTTCGGACGAAAAAGAGTCTGGGGGGGGGGGGGGCTGAGAAAAAAAAAAGACAAGTAGCCTTCCGACGATGTCGCAGCCCCTGGTTACAGCACTCGGAAACAAATTTACACTGCAGTTACTACCGTGCAAAAAGAAACAAATGGAATTGCTCCTTTTGAAATACATTAACGTGGGTAATCAATAACTGCAGATCACGGAGAATTTAGTATGTATTCTACAGTGGATCTTAAAAATGTAAAAACGAAACGTTGGCTCGTGCCATTCCGGCTATGATAGGGTGTTTGTTAAGTACAGTGTTTGCACGATTCTAACGCATTTTCTTTTCCGCCAAAATCGGTGCCCAAAATTACATGAGCTTTGCAATCAAAACCAAAAACTCAAAATAAAAACAATATGCCGTATAAGGTGGCTAGCTCCATTACCACCGCAACCGTTTGTTTGCATTAGCCATTTTGGTATCCGTGCATTCTCTTGCGTCTACGAACTCGTGTCTGCCGTTTTAAGATGGAAAAACAAGAAATTCCACAAGGAGGCTTTTTAAACGAAAGGCCATCACGCTGACAAGAAATGACAACGGAGCAGCACTGCATGGCCTTGCAATCCCAGCGACCCAACGAACTCGCAAAGTGTTGTTTGGAAGACGACCATCCCAGGGGCGACGGGCGCACACTCGTATAAGTGCAAAACCAAGGATTACCTTTGTAAACAGCGAAGAACCATCAACTAGTGCACGCTATGTACTTATTTTTGTGTTGGTGCACGTTTCATAAAATCTGTTCTATGAGGTATACGTTCAATCGACATCATTTTACCTACACGGTAGAATCGGCAGCAATTTACCTTCTGAATATCTGGGAGCTAAACCTGCCTGCGCGTTAGAACTGGAGGTGCGATAGAATCGTGTAAACATGGTGCACATCTGGCACGAGATATGAAAATTGTTGCATACCGTTGTTAGTAGTTCAAATTTTTGCATAATGACTGCATCTTAAACTGTAGTTTCCCCGTGTTTTACGGTAGGTATGGAAGACAAGTGATTGGTCGTGTCTAATTTAATGGAAAATAACGACTAAACATTTGAGAATCGTGATTTGTTATATAGTTAACATTTTGAGTTTTTGAAAAGAGAGGCAACGAATATTGCGCCCTTGGACGGTTTTCAATAAACCGAAAGGCTTTTTTTTTGGCAAGATAAATAATTTGTTTCTATTCGTTTGTGTAGATGTTCACCATACTAGCACGGTACTCTAGACGAGAACAAATAAGTGAATAGCACAATTGTAGTTTGAACCGCATAGGTAATAAGTGTCTGAATCTAGCCAGACACTGTGAGAAGCTACGCCCTGGTGCACGGGCTGTCAAACTGGGTTCCTGGAAACACGGAATCCCTAGAGTGGCCCTGCGAGCTCCCCAAGTCCCCCTCCCTCGCATAATTGAGGGCCATTTCTCTCGAAAAGAGCGGCGGATTCCCGTTCTGTTACAGAGCAGATCGAGACAGTCGGTTGACCCCCTCGAGGATCGGTCGGCGCTTGGTCGCCCACGGGCGAGTGGGGAGTGCGGGGCACCCTTCGAGTGCCGGGCACCCTTCGAGTTCCAGGGCACCCTTCGAGTGCAGGGGACCCTTCGAGCGCGGCGTGCTCCCCAAACCGGTGCATTCCCAGACCGTGCCACCAAACCGGGCAGGCTCACTTACGCTCTCCTGGCGCGCATTAAAATGGCGCGCTATGGGCCCCAGAGGTCTGCGCTGCCACCTCGGTCCGTCTACGGTTTCTTTGCTCTTGAGAAAATGCAGAGAGGAGGCACGAGAGTCCAGTTAGGCTCAGGTCGGCCCCCCAAAACAGACGACGGGGTCGAACTGTCATACGGTCCAGCCCACTCAGAACTAGGGTTTGTGTTTTCGAAGTTCCTTTTTCGACGAAACTGGAAGCGTCCTTTTGGGGTTTTATATTTCCCCGCAGATTCGGCGTTCTCTATTTTCGGTATTGAAAAGAGAGTCGGGCACAAGACGGGTATTTAAAGAGACAAACGTCGAGGAAATGGACAAACGGCCGTGGGCTTCGCCGAGCTCCAGCAAGCGTGGCCACTAACATTCGGAAAATGCCTCGTTGCCGACGAAAGAACAAAACAAAATGGGGGGCGCAGAAAAAAAACAAACAACGAAAGCCTAGTGAGCAGTTTACTGGGGGCTGTGTTTCGGGTGAATGCGATTTAAGGCTGTACGTGAATATTCCTTCCCGCAAAGCTCGAGCCTTTTTTATTCGAGAACTGCAAAAATTCAGTTTTCAGTTTTCCACGATTTCGAGAAAACTGGCTCGGGATGTACTTCTCAGGGTCAACGGTGCACATCGAAAACACAGAACCCTAGTTATAATTGACATTTTGCGTTTGTGGTTTTTATTTCATTTTAAATTCAAATACCTCTTTTGGATTTCACTGACAAAAATACCTTAATATCCCGAGTAATCCCCCACCCCCCTGCCACCTGAAATTCATTAAAAAAAAGCGGGCTGGGCCATGTCTCGGTGGGTAAGCGCAAAAAGTTTAAAAAAAGCTAAAAAAACCCAATGATTCTGTAGATACCTAGCACAGCAACACAAGAGTACATTAAACTTAAAACTCGAATCAGTTACAATGTTTTATGCCAGAAACACTTACGAAAGAATGTTTTACTATCGCAGTTTGTTGGTTGTTTATGCGCTATGAACAGTGCCGATTGTCACACAACTGAAACGTTTGTTCCGCAAAAGCAAGTTTTAACACCGCTATGTTCTCTTCATCAGCAAAAAAAAGAAGAAAAAGTTAACAAGAAAATAGAAAATCAGGCGCAACGAGCAAGTGGACGAAGTCAAATTTGGGGGTTTTACGTGCCAAACCTACGACGGGCATCTGGCACGCCCCAGCGGAGGACTGAGGATTAATTTCGACCACCTGGGGATCTTTTGACGTGCAACCGAAAGCTCGGTTACACGGCGCCTTCTCCGCAATAAGCCTCCGTCATATTGCGGGCACCTCGGTCGGGATTCGAACCCGCCACCTGGGGATCCGTAGGCCGGCGCTCTTGCCTCGGAGCCACCGAGGCGGCTGAGCAAGTGGACGAAAGAAGCGACAAAGAGCGATGCTAGGGAAGCGGGAAAGATGGCGATCACGTTGGCAGATACTTTGGCGAAGGGCCAAGTTGCGGAATTTTGTTGTTTGGTGCATACACGTATGCATCCTGCTATCAACGCTGATTGAGGTGGCCATGCTGCATGGCATGGACGGCACCACGAACACGGAGCTCAAAATGGAACGCTTTACAAACATCTGCATGCACCGTTCCAGCAAGTCTTTATTTACCGTTTAACTTTGTCTCAAACATTTCACAACCTTACCAACCGCGGCCACAACGTTCTGGGAGAAAGAGCGAGTTTGCGGTGACTGTAGTACGGTGGAGATGAACTTGGACCTTACACTCCACGGTTACATTGCGGGATTTGCAGAGTTCGCTCATCTCGCAATCCCTGAAAGGTTTACTGCTTGTGCTCTCTTTCCAGCTTTGTTTTTTCGTCAGAGCAAACTTTTTTGTAAGCAAAACAAAGTTTCATTCCGTTATCTCCATCGTTTTCCTTTCGCACGCATGTAACTACGACTTTAGGGTCGCGGAAATCAGGGAGGAAATGCGTAAACAAAGAGGAAGTGTCTTTCCCTCCTTGGTTTTAGTTTGTCACACACTTCCCTCAACTGTAAGGTCTGCGGCCACGTCATTCGGGTAGGATGAATGTTCGCGGATCGCAAAGTCCGCGTTAGGGTATTTGTAGGGGTGGGCATCACTCGGGTTTTTTTTTTTTTTTTTTTAAATCCATATTTGCCCAAAACAAGGGCTGGGCAATGACTCGGGAATGGGCAATGACTCGAGATATTACGGTACGTTTAATTTTTTTTGTCAGTGATGCGCACATAATACCTCCAGTATCCCGAGATCATAAATGCTTCTCTTTGTCTTCAATCATTAAAGCACTGGGTAAACGCTAACAAACTGCCGTGCTTATCACGGTGCTACCACATTTACGCCTGCAACTGACAAGCCAAGGTAGTTGGTCAATCGGTCAAATACCAGTGACAAAGAAACACTAGCATCAAGCTTCGAAGCACCGCATTCTTTGTGCACTCACAAAACCCCAGTTGCAAAGTGCAAACCTCGTTATTAGCTCCGAAAGAAACTGAAAATGCCCCTCATACGCCAAAACACTGTGGTCCATTTTGGGACAGAAACAAAATCCGCACCCCATCTCCAAAGCCCACCGAACTGGTTGCACAAAACCCAACCACCACTAAAAGAACCAAGTTTACACCCTCAGAAGGCTGTGTGTTGTTTAACCCTCCACTATCATGGCATGGGGCGATGCCAAAGAAAGCAGAGAACTTGATAAAGAAATCACGACGTCCCGGCTCCTTTCCGAGAGAGCCAGCCAGTCACCCCGGCGGGTTTTAGCAGGAGCTCCCCGAATGCCCGGGGGGCACCCACCTTGGTGGGAGAGGTGGGTGGGCCCTTCTTGGTGGGGGACGTGGGGGACCTGGAGGGGACCACCCCGACCACCACGGGCCGGGTGGCCAGGGGGTCTTTCTGGCCCTTCTTGGTGGGGATGCGGGAGGGCGTGGGCTTCTCCTCCCTGTACTCGTCCAGGCTGCTCTCCGAGGAGGCCGAGCCCGAGGAGGAGTCCAGGCCCCCTTCCTTGGGCCCCTTGGGACCCTTGGGTCCCTTGGGGGGGGCCTCCCGGGTCGGGGAGTACGTGAAGGCCAGCCCCTTCGCCTGCCGGGCGGGGGCCTCCGCCCCGGGTGGGCCCCCCCCGGCCCCCGTTCCCTCGGGGCTCACGGGTGGGGTGTAGTTGAAGCCTCCCCGGGTGGGGCTGTAAGGCCGCCGGGGGTCCTGGGGCTCCACTTGGTACGTGTACTCCTTGGTGCAGGGCCCCGCCTGCTTGGTGACGAAGCCCGGCCGCGACCCCGCCGGCCGCGGGGTGCTCGTCGCGGGGGCTGCCCCATCTCCCTCTCGGGCCTTGCCCGTGGGGGGCCAGAAGGGGGCCTCGGGGGCCCCGGGGGCCCCCTTGCGGTAGCCGGCCCCCTCCCCGAGTTCAGCCAACGGCGCCAGCTTTTCCCGGGACCTTGCCAGGGCCAGCCGCGTCACATCCTGGTCCTTGATGCCCTTCTCCGAGAAGCCCTCCAGTCGCGTCTCCGACTTGGTGGGGCGCAGCTGCTCCCGGCGCTCCTCCTCCTCGGCCCCCAGCCGGGACACCAGCGGGCCCGAGCCCTCCTTGAGTCCCTTTGGGACCCCCTTGGCACCCCCGTGGGGAGACTCCTTGCCAGTGACGTACACCTCCCGCGTCACCCCCGTGCCGGGGTCCTCCAGGCGGATCACCCGCACCCCTCCCGTTGGGGACGCCTTCTTCTTGGCCCCGTCGGGAGCGGGCCCGTCCCCTCGAGCCGCCTCGTCCTCCTTCTTGGCCCGGACTGCCTCGTCCTCCTTCTTGGCCGGGGCCCCCTTCTCCGGTGCCGCAGCCGTCTTGCGCTCCTGCGGGTGCCAAAGAGAAGACGGCACAGCGTCAATTCCTCGCCAATGTGAGCGGCGGTTCCTTTCCGGGCCACGGGATGGCGGCACTGGCTCAAATCTGCGAAAGCAAGCACGCGCAAGCGGTGCAACCCTACAGGAAGCAAAGGAAGACAGACTCTCGTTTAACTCGTGGCGGCAAAACTATTCCGACGGATGTCGAGCCTTCGACACCTAAAGGCAATGCTCCGACCAATGTTCCCGCCAAACAACTCTGCTCGGAACCGCGGCGAAATTCTCCGTAGCTGATTAGATTGTGGCGTTTCTTTTTATGAACGCCGAAAAACAAATCGAGCAGCACAAACGGGAGTCGCACCCTGCTGTTCTTACTTCCAGAATAGCGTGGCTTATGCTCTTGCGCTGCCGTCCTTAGGCATTCGTAATGAGCCACAATCCGATTGGTTGCGCAGTGATAATGGAAAGCCTGCGACGAGCCAGTGGTCCCAGCAGAGTCATTTGGCGGAAACATCGGAGCGCCCCCTTAAGGTGTCACGCACTCTCTATTCTTTTACTTTCAAGTATAGACACTCTACAGCAACCTTGCACGGGCGCTGCCATCTCGTTATCGTGTGACCCTGCTGCCATAGCCGACCTCCAGTTTCTCTTTGGTGCAGTGCATTTTCTGCTGTGCCCGTCAGTCCCGGAGCTTAGTTTTCGCTCTTTTTGTTCCTACGTACGTCAAAATGACGTCGTCTTTGTATGCGAATCCAGTTAATTATTTTAATTTATTGCCAAACTTATCTAACACCTTTCTAAATGCGCGAGCATGTATTGCCCCAGTGCACACGGCCGTCTTTGATTTGGACGGTCGAGGATTGAACCGGACTGTAAACCGGTTTCCTGAGGCTGTGGCGTGGTTTTTGCCGTTCTCTTTCACTCTGTTCGTTCGCTCGTTACGTCCACTTTCCCTCTTACGGGAGGGAAACGGTCCTCTGACGTCCTTCCAGCGACGCGTCGTGGGAGAGGGAGAGGAAGACATGGAGGGGCCATGGCACGACGTACGCGACGACGTAAAATTGAGGTGTATCGACGTCCCAGTTTGCGCAAAACCTCCGTCACACAGGGGAACAGACTGGCCCTCCGAAGACAACAGTATGACAACAGTAAGTGTTCCTAAACAGATGTTCTGTAGATGTTAGCAAAATGCAAAGTCTAGTAAACTTCACATAAACACGTTGCAACAAAAATGAACTGTGCCATACTCAATTTGTGAAGGAACAAAAGAGTGGTGCGGTTAACGGCACAGTGCATTCATTAATTCTTACGACGACGCTTTTTCTAGGTCGTCTACTGGACTACCCACCCGAACTGATTATTGCATGATCGTGTGCAGCGTCGACTGCGGAGCTTTTGGGCGCACGGCACACTTGTGTTTCACGATTCACGTGGATTAACAATGAGCGAGCTCATTCTTATCATGCACCCGTAGCTTGTTTTGTTCGACTTTTGCTTTCTGTCATTTTTCTCGGGCTGTTCATGGCTTGGCAAAGTACCATGTGATGTCACTTTTTGCTTCTGTTTACTCAACATAGATATCTGTCCAAGAAATGAACTAAGCAAACATTCAATAAACCTTCTTTTCATTGTGTACCCATCTCTTCCTCTACGCTGCATCTTTCTGGCTCAAATCTTAGAAGCTCCACTTTTCCTGGCTCTCAGGTGCGCATCTCTACAGCTCACAAAACACTCGATGCTGGAACGTCCAGCATATCTCCCACCTTTCTGGCTCTTCCTGCATTCGTCGGGTTGGGCGCAACGCAGTGTCTACAAACTATTTTCGAGCAGCAAGAGTTGAAAACTGCACTTTCCGAGTATCAGTTGGCCTTTCAGGCAATTTCAACCATGTCCAAATGCACCACGAGAAAACATAGTGGAATCTCAACTGCTTCCATTGGCCGAGCACCCAAAGAGCCACTAGATATGTCTTAATTGAAACAATTTTGCTACAGAGTTAGTAGTATACAGTAGAATCTCGATGATATGAATCTCGAGGGATCGCAGAAAATATTTGTACCATCCAAACTCGTATGAACAAAAAACAAGCCCAATAAGAAGATGAAAGCAAAGGGGGGACTACAGTCGCCGACAGATTTTTCGGACACGTCCGATTGTTTGGACACTTTCGCTGAATTGTCGCTCACCCCATAAAGTTAATATATAACACTGACCAAAATTTCAGACGCCATAAAGATTATTGCTCGATATTTCGGACATAATTTGCGTGATTTCCTCAGTTTACAGCCACTAAACAGTCGCCCCGATAGTGCCGCGAGCTTGGTCATTGCCATTTTGGTTGTTGTGATTTTGTCCTAAGGCCTCTATACCACGTCCTATGCAATAAACAAGCAGGGTTGAGGCTATAGTTGGGTTTTCCGGTCAAGCTATAGTTAACACGGCTGCAGTCTGCCCATTCTTTAGGCTCTTTCACTTCTCATTGTCTGCGTTTTTCGGGTGCCACTGCGAGAAGAGCGGCCGTCTGCCGTTCTTGCAGTCTTTGAGCGCTAAAGTTTTTTGCCGATAAGCTTAGTATTGAAGTGAGCTTGGTGGACTAAATGTCTACAAATAGTGCCAAATGGTGCACACTTCAACTTCGCTGTTTGTGCCAACGAAGGTGCCGACCAAGCACAGCACCGCGATTAAACAGATCAACAAACAAGCGAAAAGTGAACAATATGAAGCGGAAGTTGCACGAGAACTTAAAATTGACATCATGCAGGTGAAAAGTGGCCAATACGCAGCAGAATATGTGTGTAAATTTGGTATTTTCGGACCGCTTAATTATTTGAATGATTTCAGGGTTCCCTCCGAATCCGAAAGATAGATCGGTGACTGTACTTGCAATTTATTGGCCACATTCCTGGTCAAAAAAGTCAGTAATGTTTTTCCGAGTCCCTTTTTTTATGTCACCCAGGAGACATCTTCAGAACATGTAAAAACGTACGCACAGGTCATCGCTGACGTCAAAGGCATGCAGTGTTAAAGCAGCCGTCATCAGCGGTTGCTCGTCGTCAGTTCCGTCGCCGCCATCATATCAGCTACTCTACTCTCCTTGCTGTGCCGTCACTTCGTCAATGATTTTCTCAACAGTCCTTAATCCTTAAGTCGCGAGGTTCTCATCTGCGGTAATGCAATTGAAGGCCGATTCCTCAGCAAAAAGTAGGTACCAGTCCTTCATTGTCAAGTTTTGTTCTGGCTCCGGAGACTGTAGGATCTACAAATTCACACTTGCGAAAGCAGTTTGCTACGGCGCTCGCGATAACACGGTCCCAGGACACGGAGAGGAAGTGCAAGGTGTCCAGCAGGCTTATTTGAAGCTCCTCGTCTTGCCGTTCATCTTGGCGAGCAGACGCCGCTCCAGTAGCCCCCTGAAATTGCCCTTTACGTTCCGAATTATGCCGGCGTCTAATGACTGGAAGTGGCTTGTTGTGTTAGCCGGTAGAAACCCCACACAAGCATCTTTTAGGCTGACTTGCTTTGGGTGGGCAGTGCACTGGTCGAGGAACAGTAGGATCTTCCTGCCCTAGCACGACATTTCGTTGTTAAAGTATGTGACAAATTCCTGAAAAAAAGGCTCCCATCACCCCAGACTTCTTGTCTGCCTTATAAATGCGGGGCAAACGGCACTTCGAAACACCTCGGCTTCTCGAATCTGCCGATGATGGTAAGCTTCTTCTTTTCCGAGCCATCGGCATTACAACAAAAAAGAATGGTCACTCTCCGTTTCCTCTCCTCTCCATCCCTGCAAGTCTGGACCTTAAAGCAAAGGCTCTTCTCTGGTTGCACATTGATGAAGACGCCCGCCTCATCAGCGTCAAATATATTACGGACTTCGTAACCAGCAATAGGCAACGGAAGAGTGTCAACCAGTGTGCGATGACAATTTATCCACTTTCTTGCCCTTGCCGCAGACTTGTTTATACGCCAAGCCACGTCTAGCTATAAAACGGTGCATCCAACTGCCCGATGCTTTACATTTCTCAATGCCGAGCGAAATCCCGAAGTCGTCGGCTTTTTCTCTCTGCACCTATCCGTTAATATATTGCCCACCCCCGTCACTTCCTCAAACCACATTAATGGTATTTTTTAGGCTTTTCGTGTTGCAGTCTTCACCTGCTTCACGTTGACACCGAAATGCTGGGTACTTTTCCCTACACATTCTCGCTGACCCACGATGGAGCAAATTGTTGATGGCGCCAGGCCTAGGTCCTTCGCCAAGTCTGTGCATTTTCTTTTAGGGTTCTTGACTACCTTGCTCAGAACTTCCAGCTCCTCTTTGATGGACAGCGCTTTTCTCTTGCGAGACATGTTGAATCGAGTCCCAACTCACGCTGGGCAGATGTGGGATGTCCTTTCGAAAGTTGTTTGAAGAGGATCCCACAGAGTTCAACAGATGTGCACGTTCATTGGCAATCACATGATCAACGCTGATTCCAAATGTCATTTCTCGTGTTCACTTGAGTGATTGAGAGTTACTGAAACCTGTTTAGAATAAAATTAAAGCAGGAGCATTGCAGTAGGTGAATGCGAGTTACTTCAGCAAATCAAATTCTAACCAAGTGACAACACAGATAGTGCAGCAACGCTGGATGTGGGTATGTTTTTGAATTTCGGAATGCAGCTTTGATTATTGTGATAGCACGGCACATAAGTAGAGAGCACAACCTAGAGTAGGTCGTGGTAGAAAGAATGGCAAGAAAAATTGCACAAAAACACCTGCTGCGGTTGTAGGAGCCGCGTGATGCCGCACTAAAGGACGTGTACCGTATTTACTCGCACAATGAACGCACTCGCGTAATGAACGCACCCCCCAAGTCGGCTTTCAAAATTTCGACTTTTTTTTCCCTCGCGTAATAAACGCACCCCCAACTCTGACGTCAAAATTTTGACCCCCTCCCCCCACGCGCGCGAAATGAACGCACTTTTCTATCCTGGTGCAGCGAGGTCGCGAATGCATGGGCAGCGTGGGCGAACAAAACGCCTTGCAAGACGCGTTAAAAAAATTCGCAAAGATCCGACGGAAGCAAGAAAAAAAAACAACATGGAGGAGCTTTTTTTTTTTTTTTTTTTGCACAGCGCAGTTTGGACTTTGGGTTCGCGCGCCGCCGCGCGCAAGGAGAAGCGGAGAAGCGCTCTAAGGGAACGAAACAGCTTGCGAAAGGCGGCAAAAAGAAAAGGAACAAAAAAACCACGGAACTAAGAGAAAACAAAAACAAAGAAAAGCTTTTTTTTTCTTCTTTTTTTTTTTTTTATTGCACAACCCAGTTTGGTTACGGGGGATCGCGCGCCGCGCGCAAGGAGGTAAGAAAGAGGAGCGGAGAAGCCCTCTAAGCAAACGAAACAGCTTGCGAAAGGCGGCAAGAAAAAGAGGAGCTTTTTTTGAGAAAAAAAACAAAAAAAAAAGAGGAGCTTTTTTTTTTTCTTTTTTTGCACAGCGCAGTTTGGTTACCCGGGGTCGCGCGCCGCGCGCAAGGAGATAAGGAAGAGAAGCGGACAGCCAACGCCTAAGCAAACAAAACAGCGGCAAAAAAAACAAAAAAAACCGAAGGAACTAAGAAAACAAAAAAAACAAAGAGGAGTTTTTTTTTTTTTTTTTTGCACAGTTTAGTTTGCTTACGGGGTCGGGCGCCCCGCCGCGCACAAAGAGATAAGTTACTTTGATTTTTCAGGATAAAAGGTCCGTTCATTATGCGAGTAAATAGTAAATACGGACGCAAAAATTTTACTTCGCGTAATGAACGCTCCCCCCAACTTTGCATCGATTTCTCGGAAAAAAAGTGCGTTCATTCTGCGAGTAAATACGGTAAATGTTGTGGATCATCGTTCGTATGATCCAATGCGGCTCGAGAAAGCGTTCACACTATATCGAAGTGTAGTGCATTAGTTTTAAGGGACTTTGGCCAGGGATTTTGAAAGATTTGCATCATCCCAAAATTTAGATGATCCATAATCGTATCATAGAGATTCTACTGCAGTGATGGAAGCGCCATTTGACCTTTTGGAGCAGGCCTTGTAGCAGGCAAAATGTTGTTTTGGAGCAGGTAGTAGCCCTTTTGGAGCAGGGTCCGGCATATGTTGGCATATTACTTGAAAATGAAATAATGCTGAAATTGCTGTATAACGCCCATCTCTATTATTGGAACACAGCGCCTGTCGCCTTTTTAAGACAGGATATATACAATTCAACAAAGTAAACACAAAAAAAATACATTTAAAAAAAAGTTTATCTGCTTTTTAGATAAAAAAAAATACAATTAAATATGTCACACTGAGTTCTGATGGTACAGGATATTTAGTTTTATCAGCCTGACCTTCTTTTAAGATATCTGCAGCAGCATCCAACGACCCTCACTGTTGTGGAATGTTCTAGTTCAGATTAGAGTTGTTTTTCGGGCAGAAGCTTCAAATATTGCCGTATCTGATATTCGCTTCAAAAATTCCGATTCATTTTCGATGTGCTGGCAAAGTCACGATCGGATCACGGCGAGTTAACTTGTTGAGTGCGTTCCTTGGCATGCACCAACGCGCTCAAGAGAAGCGACACCCGCGGAGCAGACACCACAGTCGCGCAGTGCTTTGTGCTCCGAAAAGGACGGTGAGGCTTTACCAGCACTATATCCACAGTTTGGTAAGGAAGTATTCACTGGCGGCCATAGTTGTGTCCGCGACTGCCGAGCGCGTGCTGATGGCGAGCTTCCACGGTTCTTTTTCAACGTGCATTCGACACCATCAGGATTGCTGGTCTTAGCAGCCTATTAGTGTGGGCTCGTTCTGAGCGTGCGCTCTACACAGCACCCACAAATATGGCGCCCAGTGAATACTCCTTATACTTTGTTTCAGCTTCGGTGCGAGCGCAGCCGAAGCACAAGCACGCGCATGGGGCCCGTAACGGTGCCCACACTGCACGAGCCCACGCGCGAGTCAGGAATGCACAGAGCATTGGGCTCGCGCTAGCTTTGACTTCGCTGGTAGCTAGCGCACAGGAACAGGGCGGGCCAACATTAAAGGGGTCATGAAACGATTTTCCTACTTCTTCCTCCTTAGCTTTAATCCTCAACTCAAATGCGAATTGTGAAATCACGTGGTCGTGACATTCTTCGGCACCGGTGCGATGACTCCTAGCTTCCACCGTGGTTTTTATGCACACCATAGAACTTGTCATTCCCCAGGGACAATAAGTTCCGTCAGGGCACTAATTGGCCACAAACGCGAATCCAAATATTCGTCGACGGATTGATTGTTGACGAGCGCAAACGTCCGAGTGACGCAGCTCTCGTGTCCAATGCGTGATCTGGGCTCTGCTGATGTCAGTTTGGCGCCGGTGACGCGCTTTTGGAACCGCGGATGTATCATAGTGAAAAGGCGGAGAGCTTTCGAAGGCAAGATGGTACAAAATAGTCCTCTATATTTTCAAACATTCGTACCGAAAAGCTGGCTTTTGACTTTCTAGCCTCTTTCTTTTGGCCAACTAAACGATATGCGCTCAGTAAAGTCCCAATTTAAAATCATTCATCCCAACCCAAAATTCGTTTCATGGCCCCTTTAAAAACATCCACAAGCTCGGCCCTTTTTTTTGTTTAAATAGGCTGCTCAGTGGGATGGTTCTTCGCTTAGCCTCTGTGGCTTTGGTCTCAGATGTTGCTAACGTTGTTCCTTTCAATGATGATGATCATAATGCGCCCTTGCAGTTTGGGTTTGCGCAACAGTTGCGGCGCGGAAAATACCGCGGTACCGCCACGCGCTCTGATAAGACTTCTATTTTTATTTTTTTTATTGCTATATCTCATCTCGGCGCAGGCATGGCGCAATTCTTCGGTAAAATGACAATTTGGCGCTACATGTAGCAGGATTGCGTCCTTGGCGCAATTGGCGCAGCACTTCCATCGCTGCTACTGTGTTTTTAATAAAGCCAAATAGATCAACTCCTCAAAACCGAAATACGAGCACGGAAGCTCATGGGCGGGAGTCACATGGCTACGCCCGACAGTTTTTTTTCTCAGCTTCTTTGGCGTGTCAAGCAGATGACAAAGTTGCGTGCGCCATATGTCGTGCGATTGTTTAGCACTTACAGTCGCCGACCGTTATTTCAGACTCTGATAATTCAGACTTGTTCGATATTTCGGACCTAAAGGAGGAACCGTGACCTACCTGATAGAAATAGTGCATTTTCACGACCAATGTTTAGTCCAGCTTGAAGTCAGAAAGTTCGATTATTCGGATAAAATCGTCGTGAGCGATCAGCGGGAAACACCACCGAGAGGCGGCCATTTTGAATTCTATGTTGGCTGCAAATGGATGGGCTTGGTTTGGCAGCGCTACTTGGGTACTCCTGAGTCCTATTGCTAGGTGACGCCTATGCTGGCCCCTTTTTTTCCCATTTAGCTGCACTTCATCATCGTCATCCTCATTATCATTTTGCTTTGTTTCCTTCCATCCCTTCGCGCCTCCGGCCCACTTTCGCGTCGCCAGTCGCCATTTTGTGCTCGTAGGTTTGCGCTTCATCTCGTTCGGACAACGCTGGCTTGGAGGTCATGGACCCATCTGTTCTTCTGCTGCTGCGATGTGCCGTTAAGAAGCGCAGAAAGTACTCGACCATAACGCTAGAAAAGATGGCAGCGATTCTCAAGCGAATAGAAAGTTGCCGAACACAAACAGAGGCATAACCTCAAGCAAGGCGCGCAGGAGTAACCTGAAGCCAGGCACTATTTACTGCCTTTTAAGTCCGCTTAGACGTAATACAGGCAAGTTTTTTAATCTGTTGATTTGTCGGACTGCTCTATTATTTGGACATATTTTCGGTCCCTGCGAAGTCCGAATAATCGGTCGGCGACTGTATATTCCTTCCGCTCAATGTTCTGTGCTTGAAGATTGATTGGCCGGTACCAGAAACGACAGTTAGGTAGCAGCCCCACGTCCGTTGCAATGTTGGTTCGTCGTCCAGCCCGCGGTATGTCCCTGGTACGGCATTATATCGAGAAGGACATGTATATGTACTTCCTGAGATCTGTGCAACATTTTTTTTTCTGATCAACACACTTGCAGCTTTTTAGAGGCCACAAAGATGGGGTTCATATTCTTTTCTATTTCTAATATTGAATATGTGCCTTACATGACCCACGACTTTGAATATATTTGGTACACATAGTTAGAACGCCACGTTACCATGGAAAAGAGTGAGCGCGACTGAAACCGCCCAATACTCGACCGGCTCTTTTCGGGCGGAAAGAAAACAAATTTTGAGTCGCAAATTGTGCCCTGGGTAGTTGGCCTCCTATAGGTCGTGTTCAAATAAAAACCTCCGCAAGCATAAACACCCCGTCGTTCGCCCTCATGTACATTAAAAATCTAAGCTTCTAATGAAAATGTAAAAAAAAAAAAGCCTAACGCAACTTATTATTATAATCCACAATTTCCTTTTAACTAATTACAAATTCCCAGGGTTTTCAAGAATTACAAGTAAAATATGGGGTTTTCGAGGCCTCGAAAACCACACATTCAAATTCCAGGGAATTCGAGGTTTTCAAGGACCCGTACAAACCCTGGCTGCCGCTTCTCAAAGCCTGCGACATGCCTTAATGTGCGAACAAGCGTCCCTCCGCACGTAGTGCGGGTGGCATCCCCTCACCTGCGCCTTCGTTTCTGGGTGGCCCAGCTTCTTGGCATCCATGGGCAGCATCACGGCCACGCCCCCCACGGGGATCTGCTTCTGAAAACACAACCACCACTCGCAATTAGTGCCAGCGACACTTGCCCCACGCGTGTGGCCACGACACTGCCCCCTGCACGGCGGAGTTGGCAGTGCATGTGGCTGCCATGCGAAGGAACGGGGTTCGAACCCCACACTCTCCTTCCTCAATGTTTGCCCTTTCGGAAAGTTCCAGCCCATTTTCGGCTGTCGTCGTGCGTTCTGGTTCGGAACATTCCTGAATCTACTGCATGTATAAAAGCAGCGGTAACAAGCTGTGTGTGCAGTGGAGGCAAGGGCAATGCCGGGTGAGGGGAGAAAGCGCAAGCACCAGGAAGGCAGGACAAGACAGGAGAGAAAGGGAGAGCACTAGGAACGTTAGAGAGGAGACGAGGTTTCTTTCCTCCGCCCCAGCTTTCCTGGTGCTTGCCCTTTCTCCCCTCGCCTGGTGTTACGTTTGCCTGTACTGCACGCAACTAGAGAAACGGAGTACAGCAGTGTTTGGGCGTACACATAAAGCCAATGAACTAAGCCCAATAAAAGTTCTCACAAAGGTGTCTTTAGATAGCGCATTTATCATACTCAAACTTCGTAAATAAGAAGTTTTACAATACCGCACGCTAAAGCTTTGCATATGCAAAGAATAGCGTCGTTCCCACTGTGCATGTGTTGAACACTGACCATGTTTTGCGCTTTGCGAGCACTATATTAGCGTACACTATTTTTCGGAAATTGCGCACGCACGCAAAGGGTCTTTGTGCTCCTCCAAGGAGCATTTGTAATGAGAAGTTGGCTAAAGCCAAGACGAGCACAGTTAAAAAATGGCAGCTCCCAGGACTATGGCTGCGGCCGCTTTGGCGTCGTCATGAGCACAACGTCGGCAGCATTCTTGCGACTGCGACTTTCGATCCAGGACGTCATTGCACTTGGTTTGAAAAACCCAGTAAAGTGGGCAACAATCACCAGGACTTGATGCTTGCGACAAACAAACATTTCTCGGCGAAGCTACGATGTGCGAAGGTCAGTACACGAGATCTCTCTTGCCCAGGCAACGCACGCGGACACGACCGGTCGACCGCTCCAGTCGGATTCTCATGTTTAAACAAATCTAAAATGTTACTCTAGACCAGAAAAACTTGTTTTTTCTAAAGTTACAGCATTTCGTGAGTGAAATAAAAATTGCGACTGTATCTTGGTGGCACTGGAAGTGCGAGATGCCTGGGCTTTTGTGTTGCGGCGGAGAAACGCTGTTCTAAAACTCTCTTGCGTAGCGCGCGATAACGCAAGTGCTAAATTTCACGCTAGCGTGCGCTAAAAATGCATACATTGTTTTAACTCTTTAATGCTAATTTAAAAACAAAAATTACGAAAAGAAAAAAACAAAACAAAAGGGTGTTTCTGGTAGGCTTCAGGAACGACAAGAAGTGCCAGTTGCTGAATCGGAAAATTATTATTCAAAGCCAGCAGAGCCAGCAGAGCCAGGTCTCGCGCCCTAAGCTCGTGAGCGCGAATGCATGCCCCGTGCTGTGACGACGCAGTCCTCATCACAGTATTGTAATTGATACTTGCTAGAGAGAACGGCACCTCGACAGAATTTCTGCAATGACGAAGTGTATTCTCTCAACAACTAACAGCTTTTCGAACGAGACTTCGCTTTAACAATTATTTCACAAAGAACTACAAAAAGAAAAAGAAAAAAGAATAGCAAAAAACCAAACAGTGGCTTAGCTCGGCTATGCCAGGATATACGTAGCGTAAGCTTAGGTTCAGCTGGTTATTCTTAGCTTTTCTGGTTGTCTAGGATTAGCTTGATTATCGTGCTTACTGCTGCTTCAATAACACACACACGGTATACCCATTATGTGACTACTTCGGGATCCGATGAGTTAAGCTTCTCCACTCTTCTTATTGCGGAGGAGGCGCCGTGTAACCGAGCTTTCGGTTGCACGTCAAAAGATCCCCAGGTGGTCCAAATTATTCCTCAGTCCTCCACTGGGGCGTGCCAGATGCCCGTCGTTGGTTTGGCCAGCTGTGCGCCGTCTTGTTATGTGTCAAGCAACCAAGCTGCTGCCCAGAACCGGACAGCGCGAGCCATGATCTCAAGCGGGTGCATGCGCGCGGCGCGTGCGTCGGGGACTGACCTAGGCGCCAGACCAGTCCTGCCCGTTCCGTTACTGCTCCTCGCGTGTGCGCAGCACGGCTCTCTAGGAGCCGTGCAAAACTGCTCAACCTCGGCCAGTGTAGCCCACGCTACAAAAGAAAGTTAACAACCCTGCCAGGTGGGCGAGTGACTTCCCTGCTTACACCCGAGACATTGCGGGCCGGAGCACAAAAGAAAATATAGTGCCCTCCACTGTCGTTCTGTCCTTTCCCATTTTGCGTATTACAGTAAAACCTCGTTATAACAAAGTTGAAGGAGCGGTCGTAATTATTTCGTTATAACCATTAGTTTGTTATAGCCAATGTTCATTTCTTCCCACTATTAGCAAGCAAGGGGAATTATGATTGCTTTGTTATATCCATTAGTTTGTTATATCCCGTTTTGTTATAACGAGGTTTTACTGTAGCTCTTTCTCGCGAGAGTTTAAACGTATGCCGCTAACATGCAAATAGCCCCGGAACACTTCCGGTCCTGACCTATGCGGCGGGTTTCGAGGTATTTGCCACATCAAATGTATGCGCTATTTTCGGGAAATGGTCATTTATGCCACTGTCGCGCATAATTTAATCTTACGGTGAAAAAATGACGTGTAAAAAGTTAGAAAATATGTCAGGAACGAAAGATTGCCAGGGCTACTCATTTCATGACGCGAGTTTGTTGCCAAACAAAAAAGGGCGAAGATTCCCACCTTGGGCTCCTTCTTGTCCTTGTCCTGCTCGGCGTCCCTCAGCTTAGCCCCCTGGGCTACCGCCTTGGCAGACAGCCGCGACAGCTGCTCCTGGCCGGGACGCTCCTCGCTCGGAGTCCGACGCGTGGGGGGACCTGGGAAGGGGACACGCCCGTTCACCTGTGCTGCCGGTTGCACCAACTGATGCCCGCCCTCAGTTCTCTGGCCATAGATCCGCAGAACAGACGTTCTTAGATCCGTCGGTCGACAAGCTCCGCGGAAGGGTGTCGTCCGAATACGGCCCTTCTCCGTTGCCCGCACCTGAGCTGGTACGGGCGGATGGCACTTCTGGCGCCACCAGCAGCCCCACCCCTACGGGCGGCAGAGAAGGACCGTTCTTCGACGCCACTCTTTCAGCAAAAACCTTACGTATCCCGTAAAAATCAATAAAAAATCCCATTCCACCGGAGGCAACGTGCATCCAACATTCCACCGGTTCCGTCACTTTTGTCCCTATGAACCGGGCCGATAACAAAGGGAGCGCTACGGAGCGGACTCACCTCAAAAAGACTCCAGGCATTCTAGAAGCTTGTCAACCAACATTCGTATATCACTGTCACGTAGGACGAGAAATGTGGAAACACTGCCTACCCTATTATGGGGACACCCAACAAGCTTTTTTTTCTTCAAGAACACCTGGACAGGGCACGCAAATAAAAGGTAAGTATCCTATCCAGGTACTTACAAAAAAGAAATGTTTTTCGGGGGGTTTGACGTCCCTCTGTGTCTGCGCGAAACTTCCCCGCCACGGCCCGCTCCGTCTCAGAGAGGACGTGCTCTGGGCAGGTTGGAGAAACCCCCCCTTGTCTGTGCCTCGGACAGATTAGGCCCACTTTATCGCGACTGCGGCGACGAATGTGCGCGAAACGAACGACCGACACAAATGACTTTCCGCAATCTCTTACGTACAGTTTTGTACACCAGTCCGTTGCACTTCATTGGGGGCGTACGAGATTTAAAAAATAGCGTGAAAAATTTTTAGAGACTCTCACCAGACTTCTTTTGTAAACAGCATTCAACGACGGGTGCTAAAATTCTAGGCGCGCCGGTGCCAGTGTCGCGCGGCGGGTCCATTCCTGCCAGGCGTCAGGACTTTGGGCTTGGCCCCGTGCTTAACTTGATCCCCACAATTCTAGAGCCCGATACTGTTCCTACTTTTTCCTCGACGTAGCTCTGTTACTTTTACGGCGCATCCTCCGAGGGAATTCGACCCCCCCACTAGTACGGTAAACCGGAGGGCAATATCGTGCAACTCGAAGCCAAGTAGCAGTCCTTCCACCTCGTTCATTGTTTTCTGGGAATGTGTCTTTCTGCAACCCAGTTTGCTCATGCGGGAGATGCTTTGATAACGATTAGTCCGATTTCAGTTTCGTTTGCAGAAAATTAGTTGTAATTCATAAATGCAAGGTGTGAAACAGTTAGCGGACCAGTCTAGTTTTTGTCAGTAACCTAAAATTTCACAAAAAAAAAAAAAAAATAGAGAGCGTCATTTTTGTAAAAATTGAGTAAATATTGTGCCTATAGTTTCACCCCTACAGGTCTGCCTCGGTGCACCGTGACACACTAGCTTCGTTCGATTTAGTTTCACTTCCTACACCGGTGCAAAAAAGTGTAGGGCGGTGTTCTTCCGGTCGTATCTCAATACACATACCAGGAGTACACTGCACAACACTTTTCTGCACCAGTGCAGGAGGTGCAGGTAAACCGAATGAAACTACAGTCAAACCCCGCTTCAACGAACGCTGCTTCAATGAATATTTTTCAGTTCCCCGTCAACGGTCCATAGGATTCAATGCATAAAAATTCTCACAACAGCGTACACTGTTTCTTGTGCCGTTCCTCTTGAACGAAATTTTACAGAGCAATTCGAAGTTCGAAAGTTTAATTTTCTGTGCGAAAAACAAACCTCCAAGCACTTTGGTGCAGTTTGACACATAAAATATGTCTACTATAAAGTTACAATTGCATGTTGAACCACCAAAAACCGCCGCTAATAACCGGAGCTCAGGCGCAATGTTGACTGCGCGTGCAGGCCACCATTATTCTATGGCGACGGCGATGAGACTGGCCTTTCCGGCCTTCCTTCGCTGTTGCACCAATGTTGGTTGCACCCTAGCTCTTGGCTTGATAATCCTCTGCTGCAGACTATCCAAACCTGAAGCTCAGTCGCCTTTTTATTTTTTGTTTTGTCAGTTGTCCTTTTGTCAATACAGTATGCGGGCTTTTGGGACATGGCACCACCAAGCACAACGCGGAATTTTTTATCCTTAAAAGATAGAGCTCGCATCCTGGCCGAAGTTGCAAATGGACAGAAGAAAGCTGTCATCGCGGAAAAGTTATGAATTCCTCCGAGTTATTTGTCAACGATCCTAAAGTTGAAAGATGCAATCGAAAAGGCTTTTGCATCGGGGTATCGGCCAAGCGTGCCTTCGATGACCTACGACTTTGATTATATTTGATGGTTGAACCTTAGAAAACGGCCCGTGACCACGGAGAAGAGAGTGAGCGCGACTCACACCGGCCAGTTCACGATCGGCGGTTTTCGAGCGGAAAGAAACCGAATTTCGAGCCGAAAATTCTGTTCTGAGTAGTTGGGCTCCGATATGTCACGTACAAGTAAAAACCTCGGGGAGCAGAAATACCCTGTCAGTCTCCCTTTAAGCCAAGACTGGTTCACACATCTGCGTTTTCTTGTAACCGCCGACGACGAGAAAACGCGCATCAGGTAGCCCTGGAACTCTCCCCATCTGCGTAGACTACAGGTTTTTCAGCATTTGCGAGGTCTATGCACTACCTATGACGAATGGTCGCTCGTCGGAGTGTCAGAATTATTTCGGGCCCATGGCAAAAGAATGAAGAATAACAAATCATAAAAATATATACGCAGGTGGCAAGAGTTCCAGGGCGAGTCGATAGATGGCACTAGTGTGGCAGTGCGTTCTCTCCCAAGCGGCTGGGAGGAAACAAGACGCACACGGGCGGTCAAAAAACAGACGTTTGAACCAGCCTTTGTCTCCAGAACCCAAATGATGAGCGTTCGCGCTCCAACCATCGCCCAGCACGGTTACGCCCTGTCCAAGCACGATGCTTTTTGTTTTTTTATCATTTCGTGCCGTAGACCAACAGAGTTTGAACAAAAAAGTCACACATACATTGAGCACAAACAAAGTGGCACATACACCGAGCATGACAATGCAGTCTTCGAGCAAACATCACTATTTGAAGCTGCAGGTAATCTCGCTTTATGAACACACAAGCACACAATATTACGTGCAGCATAAGACCAGTTTGCATACCACCCATAGTGGCGAAAACATACGACAATCACAACTCTATCTTTTACTAAAAAAAAAATAAATGCAAAAAGCCAAACACACCAATTTTCCAAACATAAAAAAATGTTGACCTATCTAATGAGACTGAGATAATGCCTTCTAACAACGATACAATATCTGAAGGAGAAAACAGTTTGTGAAGTACTAGATAGTAAACTGCGCTCGCTCATTGTGGGAGGGAAGTATGCAAACTTGGGTAGTGAGCCCCCGGGAGCACTCACCTGCGAGGGTGTGCCTCTTGCTCTCCTCCGAGAGGGCTGGCCTGTCCCTTGGGGGGAAGCCCAGGGCTGTGGGGGGCATGCCGGGCAAGAGGGGGCAGCCCGTTAGAGGGAGGGGGTGTCAAGCACCGCATGCCACAACACTGAGACAAAAAGAGCACCAGGGAGGTGGCACCACATGCCGCCTCACTGGGGCTGTCATTTCCACAGTCACCACTGGTACGTTCCCAAACGCGTCGCCGTTCAACAAAATCCTGCGCTCCGTTCAAAACCGCATCTTCCGCGCTTGCGCGTGATCCAAGTCACGGGCAGGAATCAATGTCAAAATTTCTGTGGTGTATGCTGCGAGCTTGGCCTCTGGAAAGTGTCTAGACACTGGCCAGCAGAAGCCTCTTCGTTTGCCGCAACCGGTAAAAGATCCTATGCTGCTGCACACGTCACTGGCGCACCACCCCCTTTGACATTCCGAACTTGCATGGCACAGCACTGCAGTTGTTGGTTTCTTCTATGCGTTGAATGGCCGTAAACGAGCGCCGAACTCCTAAACTGCCCGGACCACGCGTGTCAACGCAGAGAGACGTGACTGGCGTCCCCCACTATGGTCTTAAAACTCGCTCGAACAAAGGATGCGTGACCTCTGCGAACAGTGGCCGACGGTGAGCGAGGCTGTACCGGTGGCCATTACGGCGTGGCTCTTACAACGACCGTCGCCACCCCTCCGGGAGTTTGGATGCAATGCGGCGCCGCACGACCGCCCCAACCACGTGCTGTTTGCCGTCATGCATTTGGAGTGTTTCATGCTGGTATGCAAATTGCAATATACAATCGTGCAAAAAAAACAAAAACAAAGAAGAGAACCTAGTAAAGCATGCGTGTAGATTTGTGCAATGTTACAGGTACAGCCTGCTGAATTCAAAACAAACCAGTCTGCCGCAATATTGCGGCTGTTTTGTCTTTGTTGGCAATGGGATACTGTGATTCCAATTACTAATCGACCCACCCAGCTCGGATTTTCAAAAACTAAAGATGGGTCGACCTACGATCGTGCAAATATGGTACATGCAGCCTTGAAATCGACCATCATCGCCAATACTAATATATTCGAACGACAGTTGGAACGGTCATTTAGCTTGCCCTTGAGGAGAGCTTCTCCAGCTGAACTAGGGACTGCACCAAGCATGCTTTCCGATCCGGTCCAAAGCTTAACCCCGACTCAGTAACCCAGCATACAAACGACAAGATTTTCAACAAACCTATCTCTTTCTCTAGAGTAGACTTCCGACACATCTGTCGACCAAAACAAGCAACACGGACTTCCCTCTCAAAGCGCCGAAGGCGCTTCCTGCCCAGAAGGTGGGCCACAACAGACTACTGCTGTATCAAGCACTTTGGTGCTGCTAGCTTTACCGACGTCCCCATACTTTCCCTTCCCATAAGGGGCATCGAGCTCATATATGAAGCTAGAGGAAAAGGTTTGGTAGCTTCGAAACGGTGGGCTATAGATGCCGAAGGTCCTGTCTGCTGGCAATGCTTGCAAGGCCTGTGTCTGCTTGTTTCCTCGTTTTATTTTGCACAAAAAGACTGGCGTTCCGCGTCGTATTAAAAGAAAAGGTTGACAAGTGCCCCAACAACTTTAACTCGTCGTGACAGAACACACACACCTAACCTATCGTCTACATTCTTCCTGTCACTCTCTTTTGTGTCCCTTTTCGCAAGCCCACAGACGTCGGCGCCTACGATTTGCCGTGTTCTTTTGCCGTCTTTACCCCCCACCCCTGTGAGGAGCTCCCGAAGGTGGTCTGCGAGGAAGCGGGGCCAGGGACGGATCGAGAGAGGAGAAGCGCTCACTCTGAGAGGAGAAGCGCTTGTTGCTCAGGGTGCGCTCGAAGTGCGGCGGGGGCCGGTCGATGCGAGAGCTCGCCTGGCGCGTCTGGTATTGGGTGCGTCCCGAGTACCGGAACTTGGAGCCGAACCTTGGCAGGAACAGCCGAGGCTTCGGGGCAGGTTCCGGGGACATCAGCCTGCACGGAGGAACCTCGGTCTAACCAATGGGCAGAGCTTTCCGCCCGCCGGAACAAGCGGACTCTGCGATGCCACAAGGTGGAGGTTTTCGTTCTTGGCTACTCCACTTTGCGTGTGTTTGACGAAATGCACTGTTAGAATTTGTTTTATAAACACACTTCCTTATTCACTAAAAATTTTGTTACGCCTGTAATTGATCATTGTGTCCGAGAACCGGTCATCCTTTATCAATCTCCAGAACTGTAACTTAAAAATAACTTTTTAATGCAGAATGTGTTTAATCAGCTGATTTCCACGGAGTTCTGTAACGTTTGGCTGTAACAGCCAGGTGTCACAGATGACTGTAACGAAGAACCAACAGCGAAAAGCGTTATGTCCCTAGAGAACCATATAAAAAGACTTCAGACCCCAGCAGGATTTGAACTCGCGACCTCCAGATTGTGAGCGAAGTGCTTTGCCGACTAAGCTATCCAGGGTCAGTGCTCCGAACACGCAAAAGTGAAGCCCTTGGTGCGAAGTCTTTGGCGCATCATTGTTGAAATGTTTGATTCACATAAAAACAAAAATGCGCCACTGTCTAGCCTGACTCTCCCGGCCTGTGTCAGAAATGAGAGCGAACCTTCGGCAGGCGGTGCCATTCCAGTGATGTGATTGGCCTAAGCCGTTTTGGAGCACATTCTGGTGCAGCCAAAACAAAGTTTTGGAGCAGCAAAACTGGCTTTTGGAGCAGCTAAAACAGTGTTTCGGAGCAGCGAAAGTTGCTTTTAGAGCAGATATTCTTAGAAAAAAAAAAAAAAAAGAAATTCATTTCAAGTGGTGTACAAACGAAGGACACATTGCTCGCCGCAATCAACTAATTATTGTCAAGATAGACAACCTGGGAGTCTTTCAACATGTAACTAAAATGCCAATGACATGACACATTTGCAATGCTTCAGTTAAATGATACAAATATGTCAGACCAAACTGCACATATTAAAATTTATTTTAAAATAACCAGCTTAGTAGTAAATATCAAATCATTAGGTTGACTAGTAATATAATAAATGGAAGCAGTCTCCAACTGCTGAAACAAGTAATTACTGCTGTGCAATGCGAAATTGTTGCGCGGGCCGAGATGGCTGTTCGATCGAAACCATGCCACTCCGCTCAGTCTCCAACTAATTCCCAAAATTGTATGCAAAATCTAGCTATCCAACATACGAAAAAAAAAAGCAGTCCAGCGGCACGTGCTTGCCAAGAGCGCAGGCGAGGAGCAAGCTAAACACAGAAAGAAAAATAACCTGAGTGCATCGATTCAAGACATCGCGAGCCAGGATCAAAAAGTTCTTGGAGCGCTTTGTGCAACGACTGATTTCGGGACAGACAAGCGCGCTGTGCGGGTTCAGCATGCGGACATTGCCTTCTTCGCTTCAGCTCACTTCTCTTCACCAACATCTTTCACGGCCGATTTTTCATGTACCGGAGTAAGTCTTGAAAGAAAGCCCACCGAGAGAAACCTAGGTAATCAATACTTCGACGCAGCAGTCTTTGAGCTAAAGGGATGTTTGTATAGTAGCGTATTAAACAAAAACAGGATTGTTGATGAACATTGCGGCAGTCCTTACGTTTTAGCTCTAGAAAGTGCCATAACTGCAGTGACGTGGTTACGGCAACTTCCGACGTCGTGCTATTATGGTGACTGGCAGGCATAGACCAAATATAGTTTGGCCACGGCCGTTGCTTTTAGGAGCGAGTGCTTCAGCCCAAAAAGTAATCCCCGCCGCGCAAAAACATGGTTTCGTTTCACAGCATGACGGCATGGCTGGTACCCAACACGCTAGCGTCGGAGCGTCCGCACACGCCCACGTCTATCATTGAAATCTTTTTTTTTTTTTTTTTTTTTAAAGACGCGAGAGGAGAGACGGGGGGAAAAGCCATGCAAGACCGGATGAACGATTGATGCAGGGTACCTTGTATCGGACGGCTGCTTACACCACCTAGCTCATGTGTGCTCAATTACGGTATTCAGTTTAGTTTCGGCTTTCATAGGCGACCAGAATTGGTTCTTTGGCGCAGGCTTGGCGCAGATTGCCCATATTTTGGCGAAATGTAGCAGGATGTAGCAGGGTTAGCCCAATGGCGCAATTGGCGCAGCAATCACATCACTGCATTCCCATGCCCTTCTCTTCTTCCCTGGAAGACCTATCACATATTCTGTGCTTACTGGTCTTCGTCAGCATGACCGAGCTTGTACAATTTTTTCCCTTTCGGTTTTAAAGAAACTTGTACTTTCTTAAACAAAAAGGAGTTAAGCAATTGAGTGCACGGGTTTGCAGTGCCTCTCCTAGATAACGCCCGTTGCAGTACTGAATTTCGGTGGCGTTCATTTTTGAGACATAATAGTATTTAAAAGCATCAAAATTCAATTTTGACAAAAGTGGGATGGATGAATGCAAGATCATATATTTTTAAGATTGCAGCAGGTAAGCAAGTTTGAGCTTCTGATTGCTTGTATGGTGCCAGAGGCGCTTACATTAATGAGAAACTCTTCCAGTGCCGTGATGAGTCACAGCATTCTTAGAGTGCCTAATTCAGAGTGAGTCCAAAATTCAATGTCCTAAGGGCAGAGGTGACATCCTGGTAGTTAGACTGTCGATATGTTCAGAACAACTCTCATAGAATTGGAGACGAGATCAGACCGTGGTACCCCCCAGCGGTTGGCTTTAGAACTACACCATGGATGGGGACGACAAATACAATGACTCAGTGCTCGGCTGACATAACTGAACGCGGCGTCAGCGTTCGACTCAAGTTGGTGTTCTCCGGTGAGGGGGGGGGGGGGCTCTTTTGTTACCACTCCAGCCTTCATGAACAATGCAGCATTCATGGAGCCCAGCTCAGCACAAAAGCTGAAGCGGGTCAAGCTTGCATTCTCCGACGACTGCTTTCGAGAGAGATCCGGCACTTAAGTCATTTAATTTATCGTTAGTATTTTTACATTACACTGTGCCCTATGTTCTATTGAAGAAGATGACATGGACATGCCCACAATGCCTGTGGGCATGTGCACAGGCCTTATGTTGGGTAAACACCGAGGTGTGGGGACAACGAGTGGTTCAGAGTGCCCCCTATAGTTCGATCTCCTCGCTAATAGAGCAGAGTTACACAAACTTTTCAGGCCCGTGACCCCTAAAATACTTGTACGCTGTCTGGCAAATCACCTCCCCCCTCCCCCAACCTTTAGTGTAGTGTTAAGATTTTCAGCGGCTCAGCTTTTTTAGGCCCCCGTGACCCCTACTTTGTGCACCTCTGGTACAGAGGGCTCTGCACATACCTTTTGCCCTAGGGACCGTCAAAAAGAAAACGACGGAAATCATTTATCCTTTCTTTTGATGGCCCCAAGGTGTTTGACAAATCAGTTGGATTTTTGGTACCCGCAGGGTGAACCCCTTTACCATAGAGTCTCCCAAACCAATAAAGATTGCCATTGCTGTTATTATTATTCCTTTTTGAGGCATCCTTCTTCAGCTTCCCGAAAGATCCTTGGCTGCGCGCGAGAACAGGGTGCTTGCTGCAAGATGTGCCGAAGACAAACTTTCCTTACGAGATACTCTAAGTTGCACACCCGGGGTGAGCAAGAGTGGTCCACACAGGCCCCAGAAGCACCGACTTCTCGGCTGCAGAACCCGGTACCCCAGAAGTGCCGAGCTCCTCCGGGGTACCGGATACCGCCACCGAAAACCGTTGTCCGCGTTCCCCGAGCGTGCCCACCTGAAGAAGGTATGGTGCTCCACGCAGACCTTCCAGAGGCGCTTGGCGGCCCGGTGGTTGGCCAGCTTGAAGCCGATGGTGCTCTCGAACTGCTCAAACTCCCCCGGGCGAATCTTGATGTAAAAGTTGTTGCGCTTGTAGGAGATCTTGAGGATCTTGGGCCACGCAAAGCGGTTGATGCGCAGCCGGTCCCGGTACACCAGAAGCCCCGAGGAGCAGACGCCCAGCGTGATGTCCACGCCCTCAGAGTCCCTGGCCTGGTGGAGGTCCACCCCGTACATGGCCAGCTTTTTCGCATTCTCCAGGTAGTGCAGCTCCGCCTCCGCCGGGGTCTGGCCCCTGGGCACCCCCCCCACCAGGTCAGAGCCCCGAGGGGGCTGTGCCACACAACTACCCCACCATTGCGCGGGCGCCACTATTTCGTTAGGCCTTATACGTCGTCTCGCAGTAAGCCCGAGTGTAGGGAACGGGTAGGGCACGTACAAAGCACACAGTCGCAGCACACGTACAGAAAGATGACCCAACACTGCAACGTTGTGCTTTTGTCCTCGCTAGATTGGCCCCACCGACTCGCAGCAATGGCTGCACTCAAACTCGCGTTGAAACAAAGCATACTGGAGGGCGGGTGTATAGACCCCTGCCTAGATTTACGTTACACAAGCACTAGAGAGAGTCTAGTTAAATGTGCCGCACCAGTGAACCATTCCCAAGCAAAAGCCTAAAGCAAACGGTGCTCTCCGTGTGCATTCATTGACGCCCTATTTTGATTATTTACTCGGAATCTTTTACAAAAAACGGGTGCGTGTACCTACGTTGGTAGGTACCATCCTTGCACAGAGACAAAAATCTTGTTCAAAAAAGCACTGCAGCACGCTTTGCGAAGGATATTTTATATTAAAGGCACGCTGATCTACAGAAAAAGATTACTGTAATTGACTTAATTTTCCCAAGAACCCAATTTTCGCGAACCACCTACAATTCGCAAAAAATAGGTCCCATGATCAGTTAAGGTAAAATGTAAACACATAGGAATCTATATTGAGATCCCACCGCATAGCCAAAAGTAGAACCCGCGAGTTATTCCAAAACTTCAGCTTTGACCTAAATCGTAAAATATTGAGCTTGTGAAAAATAAGTTGTTTACTATAATTGATGTCTGCATGCCTTAAACCTGGGACACTTCTCGTGTTGTCCCTTTCGAGACATTGAACCGTGCAGTGGCATCTCGACCTTGCACTAAGAAGCAAATGGGACGTTTCCTAAATGACAACTTTTACGTGCTGTCAACATGCGACACCACGAAAAGAGACATTGCTTTCGTCACTTGATCACAGGCGGTGCTAACGTGAAAGAAAAAAATTTGACAGCCTACTTGGGGGTAGCAGGGAGGAAACTGAAACCATGTATAATTAGGGTTCTTCACTTTCAGGTTTTATTTTTGTCAACAACTATTTTATAGGGGTGTGCGAATACTCGAATATACGAATTCGAATCGAATAGAAAGTTCCCGAATATTTCGATTCGCAAATCGAATTGGTAGTATTCGGTTACTCGAATATTCAATATATTCGGCCAAAGACGCGCGGTGGGCGCGGAGGAAACAAAAAAGCAGTTTTTTCTCCCGATGTAAGCGCCGTGATGCTAGACAAACCATGCGAGAAACACCTCTTGGTCCTACCATTCCACAAAAATCTAACGCACAGGTTAGAAAACAGAAAAGTAACGAACGCCACAAACTTTATAGCACGAAGATTTACTCACGATCATAACACAATCCACCCTTGAATCACAACTGAAACATCCCGCTTGCGCCACTTCCAGAGAGGAATTGTTGGGAAGCCGGAATTCCGCGCCAAGCCTAATTCTTTTCACGAGTAAAACTCCTCGTTTCAAATTGAAGCGCCAATGTAAAACACACTTGCCGCACTCGCAGAAATCGGCTAATGCACCACTGCATGATCACAGAAAGAAAACCAACGTTACCACGCCGGCGAAACCAACCGAGTTATCGTCGTCGTTCTTTTGGAACCGCAAATTCTGATTCAGATTCCGAATCAGAACGGCAACTCGGTTGGTTTCGCCGACGTGGTAACGCTGGTTTTCTTTCTGTGATCGTGCAGTGGTGCAGTAGCCGATTTCTGCGAGTGCGGCAAGTGTGTTTTACATCGGCGCTTCAATTTGAAACTAGGGGCTTTACTCGTGAAAAGAATTAGGCTTGGTGCGAAAGAAACGGAACGGAAAAATAGTGTGCCTAGATTTGAGAGGGTTTCCAACAGCTCGATAGCCGCGTTTGAATTACGAACTGCGAGAAAGTGCCGAAAAGGCGAAAGCGTCGGTCAGGTTCGGACAGGCAGGGCAGGCGTCGTCGCTCTTCTGTTTGTTCGCCTTCTTTCCACGCGACAACACAACACATGCGCATTCACGATCAATCTGCGATGGAGCCGTCTCTGTGGTTTCAGTTTCGGTTGCTCCCTCTTTTAAATCAGGGCTCTCTAAAACAGGACATATAAACGGAAAAATGGATGCGTAGCGGCAGTTGGACGGTGACTTGCGCCACCTAACCACATTTTTTTTTTTTTCTTACTTTAGATTATATTGTTTAAGCCAGTTTACCTCGTTGCTGTTTACTCAGATTTAACACCTGTCTATTTATTTATGTGAAATCAAATCCCAGGTGCCATTTTTTTTCCCTTAAAATGGAGACCAACTATCGCCAAATGCCCCTTTTCTGAGATATACAAATATTAAAAAAAAAAGAAGTTGTGGTGTTAGGTTGTGTTTTTAAAGAGAAAAAAAGGCACGCGTGGCTGTAACTTTCTTTTTTTTTTTTTGTGACGTTTAGGGTAGATAGATTATGTTTGCACCATAAAATTGGATCTTTAGTGCCCAACGTTCAACAGCAACTGCTTTTTTTTTTTTTGGAGTGAACTATCCAAGGAATAACTTTTTTCTGTTTTTCCGGCCGAAATTCGTTTTTGCAGACTAGAGTCCCGAAAATAGGGGTGATCCTTTCGGTAACTGCCAAAGCAGGGAAAGGTGAGAAAAGGGGCACCCACTTGTGCTGCTTGTGGAGCTCCATGACCTTGTCCTCGAGCTCGGGGGTCTGGCTGGGGGCGAAGCGGAACTCCGACAGGTAGTTGCGGCCGTGATCATCCGGCTCAAAGTCCCCCAGCTCCGCTTGGACCAGGTACGACCCCAGCAGGGCGTGCGTCACAAACGAGCAGGGCAGCCTGCGGCACACGCATGTCCCACTCACCACCACTCCCATACGTCCTTCCGCCCACGGAGGCCACTCCTCGCGCGCCCGGCAGATGCCCAAGAAAGCTTAGATTGCTGCCGGACACTCGCAAGTGTGTGCACTAGCGCACCTCGTGTAAAGGGGCAACGATTTTAATGACGAAAGAATTCGCAGCTTGTATTCATTATATGGTGTATCTTGGCACAAGTGAGAAAAAGCGTGCCATTTTCCCCCGATATACTGAGATTCCACTGCGTAATCACGAAGGAAAACGCACAGGGTCTCTCATGCTACCCCTCAGACGACTTGAAGGTGAAAGCCCAAGTGCTGATGCGTTAAAGACAGACAGATGATTTACGGATGTGGCGGTACCCCTCTGGCCGTGGCGGAGTGGTACCGTGTCGAACTACTGAATGAAAGGACGCTGGTTTGACGTCAGCTGAGGGACAAGAGCGAAAAGTCTTTTCGGAGGAATGCAGCGCCTCCACCGATTCTGGCACAAGCAACGCCATCTCGTGGTCCAGTGGTGAACCGTGGGTTTTGGTACCTTTCGTGTTGCTGGTTTTCGTACCTTTCGCGTCTCAACGTGTTTTCGCTCAAGAACTTTGAAGGTCGACTAAACGATGAGACACATAGGCTTTCGCCTTAAAAACATATTTGGTGATCCGCAGCCACATGTGAAAGTTACAAGAACCATGGTGCCCCGTCATTGGAAGTACATCGATGTCAACAAAACCAGTCTCTTTCCGCTGCTATACCAGTTGTTCGCCCCGTGGTGGACCACCTTTCGTCTCTATCGCTTGCAGTGACCTTTCGCGACGCTAATCCTCGAAAAGTCGACGATTACGGCGGGAGGAGCCTGAAGAGGAAACCCAACAGGAAAAAAGTTCCCAGTGACGTCATTTGAAAAAATGACCGCATCTCCACGTGGTGAATGATGTTGATTGGAGCGAAGCTCTGGTGGTGCTGATGATACTGATTTTGTTCATAGGCAGTGCTGATGGTGCTGACTTCTTTTTTTATTGCTCATAGGTAGTGCCAAGTTCCGGGTTGCATTTCGATTCATTATTACTGCTTTATGGTCGGTGAAATGCAGAGCCAGTGGTTCTTCTAGCGGATCAGCTTGGATCCGCTAGAAGCCGTGGGAACGCATGTTCACCGCTTAAGGGGGGACACTGGCTAGAGGTCAAACTTTTGAACTACTCAAGTGATCAAAATGAAATTTACAGGGGAGATTTAGCTTCAGATATAGGTGTACTGTGCAAACTTTCAGCTCCCTAGGACAAATTTACATACCTGCGTAAGATGATGTGTCACTTTTCATTAAGAAATGTATGATATGCAAATGAAGCTAATAAGCATCACTTTGACTGCTTGAATAGAAAGTGGGAGATATGGGACCTCAGGCTATCTAGTTTTAATAACTTCAATGCAAATATTTCAGGAAGAGTTATTACCTCAAAATATGAGATGCATATCTGTCCTATGTCAATTTTTGAAAACTTAGTTTTTTATCACTGAGGACTTCAACTTAAAACAAAATAAAGTAGATAGCCCGATTCCCCAGTAAATTTCAGTTCAGAAACATCTTGATTGTGGTACCCAAAAACTTTTACCTTCGAACAAAAGAATCCTTCGTATGAATTTTGCAGCAAAAAGTGGAACTGAGAAAAATGCATCTGAACATTGAACTCCTTTACTTTGTTACTGCCCCACAATGTGTTGAAAATATTTTATATCAATGGAACTATTTGGCGTATGGTTATCAAATTTGGTGTAAGGGTTTATATAACTGAAAACCTTAAAATTTAAAAATAGATTTAAAAAAAAAAAATTAGAATTTAGGCCCATGTCCCCCCTTAAGTCAACGGTTTATGTCAGAAAGAGAATGTGTGGTATGGAATGTGTTTATATACGCATTTGACCACAGCGCCCTCTCGTCTATAAACGTTGAGCCAATGCATGCAAAATTTAAAGCGATTATATATGCATTTGACCGCAGCGCCCTCTCCTGTATAGACGTTGAGCGGCTACACGCAACCTTTCATCCATGACAGAAACCCCAGCTCTTGAGTTACTACCACATCTCAGAGCCCCCTACTCGTCCTGCAGTCGTGGCCGAGTGGTTAAGGCGATGGACTAGAAATCCATTGGGGTCTCCCCGCACAGGTTCGAATCCTGTCGACTGCGCAAACATTTTTTCTTTTTATGTGAGCACGGACGCCGGCCAGACGGACAAGGCTAGACCCTAGGGAGCTTCGCCCCTAATACGGTGAAAGTTGAGGGGTACGCAAATTTTTGATTTGTCTCATTTTTTTAAAAAACTAGCACACGCTTAGTATAGGTTTCAAATCATTGTACAGGTGACACAGACTAACTCTTCTAGTTAGCTGGCCAAAATTTGAAACTCCCAAATTTTTTTTCTCTCTGAAAAAGCCGACAGTGTGTCGTCAACGCATTGTCAGCTTTCTCTTTCACCGGACGACTAGAGAATGCTAGGGTATGCACAGTCTATTTGGGATCTGGTTGGAGCTCGCTAATTACATCAGTTGAAGCCATATGCGACATACTGTCGAGACCGGTTACGGTGAAGTCCACGGGAATCACCTCGCTATATCCGCTATTTCGTTCTAACCGACTTCGGTTAACGAAGTGCAAAAGGGAATGGGAAATTGTGATTGCTTCGCTGTAGCCACTCTTTCGTTATAACTGACTTCGTTATAACTGGTTTCAACAGTATAGGTTAGTTTCTTTTTTTTTTTTTTTTTTCAAATCAACCGTCCAACTTTAAGCATTTCCGCAATGCAAGCCAATATTTCACTCCCACATCTATCAACTCGCAGATAAATCATTTGTCTTAGCTCATTTAAAAAAACTTATGACAAAATAGCTTTGTGCGAAGGACTAATTTCGTGTCCTGTTCTTTGTCTCCTTGCACGTCGATCACCACCTTAAAGCTGACATTCCTCGTACAGTGTAGACCGCATATAATGTATGTCGCGGGAGTCGCAAAAATCCGCACTATAAGCGGTACCGCGTTATAACCAAAACATCAATTTTTCAGGCCAAAATACATGCCATGAGACTACTTACCTTTGTAAAAGAATTTACTTTATGTTAGGTGAAAAATAAAGCTTAGTTTGAGGAAAGTCTTTATTTCACCAGACTAGAACAGTTCTGTCTCAAGTGTGTCACACATTTTGAAAGAAATGAGCGACCTTTGCCTGGCGCAACCTTTTTACAGCGTCGCGGGTTGCGGACGGACGTTGCGAGCGTTCAGGATTGCTAACCCTAATCACTTTTCTCCGGCGATGAAAACGCGTGAAAATTCGCATCCTTTATACGGTACGCGCCAGTAATACCTTCAACTTGAGCACAGGCATGAAATGCTCCAAATAAGAAATCCGGGCGATGTTCGAAAACACAGAAAGCACCACTCTAGTCGAAGTAAACAAACACGACGACACGGGCGTTTCTGCCGTCTTGAGAGTGCCCCCACGACATCGCCGCACGAGTAGGTGGATCTTCGCTTCTAGTACGTGCTGGGTTATCATAACGACACACAACGAAAATTCACAGTCTAGGGTAGCGCTTTTACGCGGAATGATGAGCCTCCATCACGCAATCTACGTCGACGATCAAAACCAACGCCATGTTTGCGGATAGACGCAGCCGGCCCGCGACCGCAGAGGAGGAGAAGCGTTGTAATAGAGGTTGGGGGGGAAAGGAGAGAGCCAATAGTGTGTACGCACTGCCGGCATGCAACGCGCGCGAACACTTCTCCTCGACCTGCGATTGGTCTGTCGTTGCGCTTGTTTCCAACCATCGCAGCGGAGGGACGCACGCACGAGAACGACACGTGCATGCGTCCCTCCGTCGCTATTAGGGATGCCGCAAACTTTTTTCGAATCGAAGTTTCGATGATCGAATCAAGCGGTTCGAAAGGTTCGAAAGATTTCGGTTTTTCGAATTGTCTATATCGTAAAATTCGACGGAGGTCGAATTTTCGAACTTGTTAAGCTAAGAAGTTCGACGCTTTTCGAACCGTCGAACTTATTACGCTAAAAAATTCGATCTTTTTCGAACTTTCGAATTTATTGCGCTGCAAGGTTCGATGCTTGTCGAACTTTCGAACTTGACTGACCAAAAAATTCGATGAATTTCGAACTTTCGAACTTATTTATGAAGAGAATTCGAAAAGTTTCGAACTTTCGAATTCTGAAAAGTCAGAAGTTCGAAGAACTTCGAACTTTTAGGGTAAAAGTTCGACGTTCGTCGAACTTCGAAAGACCGGCGGACGGTTTCATTTGATTTCAAGTAGTGGGGTACATTCGTAATTTTTTTTTCTCGAACTTTTACATGCGGTGCTGCGTTCCTTACGAAAGACAATGTCGTTTATTTCAATGTTCTGGCATGCTTAGGTTTAAAGAAATAAATCCCCGAAGGGGCGAGGAACGACGACGGGTTTTTGACGATTATCGTTTGTGCCAGATTTGAAGCACGCTGCAGCCGGAGCTATTCATGGTAGATAAGTTATACTTTTTTAAGAATGATCTATGTATAGCCTAGGTAAGTGCCGTCTTAAGATGTGATTATTGTTATTCAACGTGAGTTTCCAAGAAATGTCCAAACATGTATCTGCATGCAATTATGACCTAAACTTGATATTTATTTTCGTCTAAGTTGTTTGAGGTATCGCATTGAAATTAACACCACAGACAGTACATATCATTGCCATCTGCAGAATACAAAATAATATATTTATTGTTTTTTCACGTTAAGGAATAAATTAACTCATGGGAGAAGATTTCTAGTAGTGTTCAAGTTCAACACGTCATTAAAAGAAAACTTTTTTTTTTTTTCGCTTCACGTTCCTGGGACGTGTTTCTTTTAGCCTGTACACATTTTGGTAAAAGAAACTTGTTTCGAAGTTCTGAACCTCTGAATATGCAAGAATAGAACACTTCCGACGAATTCTTGATAGTTTTTTTTTTCTCCTGCTTTTTATTCCCGCATTTATTCTTTTTTTTTTCTTTTGTTACTATCGGCACAGGTGTTTAGGTCGAAAAAACAGCTTTGAACTTCCGAACCACTAAGCATGTGACGAGCAGTGCCTTCTGACAACGAGTTTCTAACAATGACCATCTACGCAACCTTTGATGCAGTGAAGAGCGACATTAGCTATACATATGCATAAATAATTTCAGATTAAAATAAGCTTGACCACGCCCTCTTTCCCCGTATTGTTTTCTTTAACAGTCCGAAATATCTGGAAGGGGAAAGGAAACCGAAATCCCCCCCCCCCCCGCTACCCTCTTTCCCCGTTTTTCCTCTTCCGACGCCACTTGTATGGTAAAACGCTCCTCGACCTCGAGTTGTGTCGGCTTTTTGCGAGGCGATTCCTCCGTTCCTGAAAATAAACCTCCAGAACAATTACAAACTTAACTTACTATATGCCAGCGTCATTCGGGTGGCGTTCGATCGGATTACTACCAGCGTGCAGGGGGTGGCGAGGTAGTTGCCAGGTCGCTACAAGGTTTTTCTGAGCCTCAACCAACTGCTCGCCCCTGGCCGTTTCGAACTGGATGAGTCTCGTAAAACAGTCTGTTCGTGTGATCACTACTGCGTGATGCAGGTTAAAGTACCCCCCCCCCCCCCCCCCCCCCCCCCCCGGGCTGGCGGTCACAATTACTGATCTATGGTCACACGTCACTCTGCACTGCCAAATATTCCAGCACCATCCGGGACACTCGTCGTCTCATTTAATTGCCTGACCAACTTCGCAGAATCTAGATATCACACCCTAGCTTTTCTAAACTTGATTTTGTGAAAACCAGTGAGTCGTGAAAACGTTATTTGAAACTGAAACTGTGGAAAAACTTGAAAATCGGACTTCGAACTTTGAAAACTTGGATTAGAAAGAAATTCAAAATCATCGAAGTTTCTTTTTTTTTTTTTTTAATTTAGCGTTAAAAGAGAATCGAAACCTTCGAACTTTTCGAACTTTATGTAAAAAGAAATTCGAAATCATTGAATTGTTCGAACTTCATGTCTATAAAAATTCGAAGCGTTCGAAGTTTTCGAATTTTTTTTACAAAGAATTTCGAAATCTTCGAATTTATCGAACCTGAAGTAAAAAAACATTCGAAATATTCGAATTCAAAATTTTAGAAACCGTGAAAGCTTCGAACTTTTCGAATTCGAAAGTCCGCTGTGGACAAAAGTTGCGAATTTTTCGAAATCGAACCTCGGTCGGTACGAAAATATCGAAATTTTTCGAAATCGAACCTGAGTTAGCTTCGCAAATATCGAAACCTTTCGAAATCGAACCTAGGGTGGTTCGCGACATCCCTAGTCGCTATGGCAACTGCAGCCTCTCTCTTCGCATCTCCCGGTTTCTTCGAGCAACCTCCTTGCCCCGCGAGTGCCGCTCGCGGCTCGCGCCGTTATCTAGCGCCGCAATGGGAAGCGTGCTCGCTGCGCCGGTCAGTCGGCACGGCCGCCGGGCTCTTCCAGAAACCGCACTATAACCGGTATTTCCCTTCGCGCGCCTGCATTTTAAGCGGTATGTAAATACATGGAGTTCTATGGGAGGCGAACTGGTGGTTTAAAAAAGCCGCGTTATACCCGGTCCTGCACTATAAGCGGTTACGTTGTAAGTGGTCTATACTGTACCAATTCTAAAAAAGTTTCATAGATCTTTCGTACCACTCGCATCCCTCGAGCGGAGCCACCTCCCATCCTCCACTGCTTCAACTATTGGTTGCCATCTTTTTAGGGAAGCGGTGGTTAATTCATCGACCTAAATGTTTGCGTTGCGTGCTCTTCCCAGATAAACTTATCCGACCCTTTCCCCACTCCCGACCTGCGAGGCCTGGGGAGTAAATATATGGAGGGAAGGGATGGGCACTCACTTTCCAGAAAGGATGTCGTCCCGGATCTGGAGACACAGCTGATACCTGCAATCCAGAGGCAATGCTCCTTCAGCACTCCACTCTTACAAGCAAGTCACTCAACTGCCAAAAACCAGTGTTATTTGACTGCCTGCATGTGGGCTTGCAGGCCTATACAACAAATGCAGACCTATACAACAAATGGCGAGGCACGTATCAACCACAGGTGAATGCAACCTTTTGGGCGGTTTCATGTAAAAACTGTCCATTTAATAAAAAAAAAATATGTGAAAACATAACAAGCGATACCCCTTTTGAAGGCCCGTAGACAAGAAAAGCTGCAACTCTCGTGCGGCAATGCATTTCCAGTGGCCTTTGACGACTGCGAAGAACCACCATATTTATTCGCACATAGGCCGGCCATTTTCCCACAACCCTTAATCAGGGGTCAATCTACGATCGTAACCAAGAAATGTCGGTTTTTAAGAAGAATTTCCGGGCCAATCAACTCGTCCAAATGCTCTTCCGCATCAGCTGCCAGCTCGCCGGTGCAAAAACAGTTGAGGCTCGATACGCTACCCAATTTTGAAACGCTGGAAACGTAGGCAAAGAATGCATCGAGCACCCACCCTGGGAAACTACTGATAAGAGCGGTGCAGCTGCTTTCAAAAAAGAGGTTCAACCAAACCCCCGCAATGTTCCCCTACTGTTCCAACGGATCGAAGAGGGGCCTGCGCTACCGTGCGATTATCTCCGGCTTTTTGGCGGGCGCGTGCTCGGCACGTCTTGACGCAAGTTGGACGGCGTGTCTAAAGAGGCTCTGCGTGACCGCCTGGCGGGCGGGAGGGCGCACCTGGTGATGTCTTCCTGCAGCTGGGATGGGTCCGGGGGGTAGAACTTCACCTCGAAGGACATCTCCCACGGCCGGCCTGCACAGACGCTGCTCTGAGTCCCTCCCGTCCTCCCGGAGACACCCGACTGGCCACGCCTAGAGCGGCAACACTCCACCGCCATTTTTTAAATTTATTCTTTTTATTTACGAATACCGTTCACCACCAACAGGGACTCAGACGGGCAGAGGTTTCCATAGAAGGTATGATACAAATAACAAAGAACATGCAGGCGAGCTGGTGAACTTGTAACGTCCTGAACGCCCGAGACTTGAGAGCAAAAGTGCGGACAACATATACACAGTCTCTGTGTCTCGTCCACTTTTGTTCCTAAATCTCGGGTGTTCGATGCTTTGATACAACGCAAATTCTCGCATAATATACAAAAGGAAGCAAAAATAGAACCAAAACTATAACGTTAATTAGGCCTACAGTAAACTTATAAAAGCAAAAAAAAAAAAAAGAAACATTTGGCACTTTGATAGTACAAAAATATATCTGAACAGTCAACAGCAATTACCGCTTCCCGTGGCGAGAAAAACAACATACTTAAAAGACCCCCGAAGAGAAAAAAAAAAGAATTTTTTAAACTGTTTGGTTGGAACACGCGTGTCAAAAAATTGACTTTACACAAAAATTTTTTTTTTTAGATTAGTATTTACAAAGAGAGATCTATTTTGAAATCGTGTGCGCAATGTCCACGACGTCACGGGATGGTCACTCGCTCAACGAGATGGTAATTTGCTCTTTCCACCTCACAGTGAAGGCGAAGCCAATCCACTCCACCCCCACAAGCCCCAAATGCTGAGAGAGAAAACAAGTGGAAAGGAGGTGACTACCCACTAAATCGCATCTCGCACCGTCAAAATTGCTCTAAAATTTTTTTTTTTCACGTAAGATTAATTTTTTGACATGCATGTCCCAATCGGAGTGTTTAAAAACACTTTTTATTTTTCTCTTCAGGGAACCTCTAACGGGATACGCATAATACATAAAAGCCTAGTGGAGCAGGCGCAACTGGCACTAGTTGTGACTTGGAAATGCGGACCTCCAGAGCTCTAGATGTGGTGACCAGAAGCTTGGCTGACATCTTTCTAGGGGAATGAGTTGAGCTAGTTGGTTATGATACATTATGGATGGAACCAGCTGAACATTTAAGGAAGGAGACACAGAAAAGACAACCAACGAGTGGTTGTCTTTTCTGTGTCTCCTTCCTTAAATGTTCAGCTAGTTCCACCCATAATAGTCTTTCTAGCTTCGTCGCGGACCGTTTCTAATGTTTCCAGAGGATGGAAAAGCGCTTCCCGCAATTTTGGATGAATTTTCAAAGAAATAGCAAGGGCAGTCTCGAGCAACGAGGTGGTTCGAGTGTCGTTACCCTGAAGCGTGGCTCATCCAGTGCCTCCATTTCCCCTTCGGCCCGCCGTGCCACACTCACGTTTTATCTGCTTTGCGAGGTTCTTCTCCAGGTTCACCCAGTTCTGAAATCACAGGCGGGAATCAGTCCGGACACTCCTCCCCCATTTGCATTTCTTATACCCTGCCTTTGCACGGCCAAATCGACCGTCACGCGTGAACTAAAGCTAAAAAATCTTTGACGCTAGCTATCAAACAAGCTTGACCGTTCCTTCGATGCTGTCATCACTTTAGTAAACTGCGCAACAAACCTAAAATAAAAGTAAGCTTACTTCTCTTTTATTTTTTCTGCTAAAAGATATTCCCATCGACACGCTAATTACAAATATTAAAACGAGTACCCAATTTTCCGATGTATGGTTCGTGGACTCTGCATGTTCAAAAGTTACCATTTTACCCAGAGCAGACTATCTAAAGGTGCGACTATGCAAGGTTTTGTATTTTTTTTAGATTGTTCACTGCGACAAGACATGAAGAATTTTATGAATAACAAAGTATATTAAAGGTGCACTAAAGATGTTTCTGAATCGTCTGTTCTTGGCGACAGCTGATTCTACAAGATCTTAGCATCCCAGAAAACGAAAAATTTGCTTGTGCGACGTCTATTTTCCTATTAAAAATGTGACTGAAGTTCGTGCCATGCCCCTTTCTGAGCGGAAAAATCTGGAGCACAGAATTGAGTGGAGGCACTGGCGGCGTGATGACGGGCGCGCATCAGCCAATTGCAAGCCACCTCTTTCGGAAAGGCAGCTTGCGATTGGCTGATGCATGCCCGTAGTCACAAAATTTACCATTCATGGTCAATACATATATTTTTTTTACTAAGTTTTGCCACACAGCACAAAGAAATAAACAAAAAACGAAAGGAAATTCATTTTATTTAATGCGAAAGCATTATCTATGTTATGGAGCGGAGCTGGCGGCGTCTGTAACCGCAAAAAAACGCGACAGAAATGCCCATTCTCCCATTGGCTGAGCAAATGGCTCCTAGATAGCTATTGGTGGCCACTTCACGAGATCTCGCGCTCGGCCGCCGCTCTCGTGGCAGGCATTGCCAGAAAGGAGGGGGAGGGGTCCTGCGGCCGTTTCACAAGAGCACATGTTTGGCCGCCAATCGCAACCTCAGCAGTAACGAAATGTGGCCGTCCACGCCAGTACACCGCAGATGAACTCAGAGAGCAGAAGAACCAAATTCATGCTTTCGCATTAACAACTCATAAGAAGTGCTTAGGTGTTTTCGGAAGTTTTTAATTATAAGCCATAAAAGGTGGCAAGTGCTTTTTGAAATTTCAAGATATTTCTTATGGTTACTATTAAGTCCACTAGATTGTTTCAATTGTTTATAGAAAACTATGCAAGAGGGACAATTCAAATCTGCTGGTCCTAGGAATAGATGAACGCAGTTGGTAAGAGTTATCCAAGCGACAGGAGCCACGAGGTGCAGGTGTGCTGTGTAGGTTTTTCTGCAAAGGAAAGTAAAGTTTGTGCAGTATTCTTTGGGTGGATATTGGTCCGCACATTTGTGTCCCTGTAGCCTCTTCTGCACTGCCTGCTTTGTTTCTTATGGCGCTTCCTTCCCGGCGGACCGACGCGCAAGGCACGCAACCGGAGGTGGCTTACCCGCGTGTCCTCGGCATCCCGGTAGGTGAGTCCGAAGTAGTCCCGCTCCAGCAGGTTCACATACTCGCAGACACGGTCGAAGACGTCCTCTCCCGTGGCCTTGCGCTGCAAAGAGGACCGAGCCTCCAGGTGGGTCTCGAGCCACCGAAGAAGCTATGCCCGGCTATCTTCACTCATCTGGCACGCACCACCATTTTGATGCTTAATGCAGCGCGGGCAAAAGTGGCAAAAGTTACGATAAAAAATGAAAGCCGAATTAGAGCACAGCTCTTGAGGAGGAGGAGGGAAGGGTACTGAGGGGAGGGTGTATTCCTCCTCCCTTGTGATCCTGCCTGCTACTCCTGAACGAAAGGGTTCCGGTTCGAAGCCAGCCAAAGGAACAAGAGATAAAAGCCTTTAAAAATCATTTTTCGGAGTAATGAGAATTCAGATTCATCCCCCCTGCTCCCCTCCTATTCTGCCCCTCCCCTCACGGGGGTCACGTGATCTCGGGGGGGGGGGGGGGGGGGGGGGATTACTTGACCTCTGGACCTGGGGGGGTCACGTGACCAAAGGGGAGGGGGGGGTCACGTGACCTCACGGCTACGCCGACGGCGACGCTGCTCAAGCCGGAAACGGGCACCCAAGAGCTGCGCTCTAAAAATGAAACTTCTGCAGCTTTAGATGTGGCATCGGGAGACTCAGGCGATGGCATTCTGCTCCTTCGCAAACTGTCCTAACATTCCCGGAGGACAGAAAACTGTTCCCATGATTTCCACTAAAACTTTAAGAGGGGCAGCAATGACTTTAAGCACAAAGATGGAGGAAGCGTAATCGCTACGAAGGGCAGCCCCTTTAGCAGCTCTGGGTGGGTTCACACAGCCACGGGCGTCGCCCACGCACATTCCCAAAAGTGGCACATCTCCACAACTGTGAAAGAGGGTTTGAGTTCTTCCGACGAACTCCTGGCCACCAGCGAGACATCCCAGGCCTTAGGGGGCGCTAAACTATTTTCTGCTATCATTTTGTGGTTTGTGAAGAGTTCACCTCATCATGCGCTTTTTGGCACAGTTTCTATGGTTTAATGTCAGACATAGTTTCTCGCGCCCCTTAATTGATGGTGCAAGGTTATCATTTTCAAAGTTTGAATTTCATATCTGTTTAGTTTTGGTATAGTAGCCACAATCAGCCTAGTTAGCTGCTATAAAAATAGTCGCTATCATCTTGTATTTAATTCACCTTGAAATTTTTTGTTTTCAGTATGGCAGCCAAAACTAGTATAATTTCACTTGCAATGCAAAACTGGGCTGCACTGCCAATTCAAAAATGACATCAAATGGGCAGTGTGGCGAGGCGGAATGGACCTTTTTCCAGTAAGGAGTGCCCCATGACGGTTTCGCCGCCTACTACAAATGGAGGGCAACCGGACTCGCCTTCTCCCATAGGAACAGATTAGTGTCGCAAGAAAACAGTGCCCCCCAAAAATGGCGAAAAGGCGGTCATGGTCAAGTGAAAAGGGTGTGCGCGTGCGCAGACGCTTACTGGAAAAAGGTCCATTCTTAAATTCCATGGATAATGCTGGTGACAGTGACGACGAAGTTGACTATGTTTTGCTCATCGAGTGATGAAGACGGCAGCGGTGACTCTCTTGATTTCTAACTTTTTTCTAAGAAATTATTTCAATGCTTAGCACGCTCAACTGGGTAGTGAGTTAATAAATAATAATGCCCCATAAAATTCGTCACATCGCATAAAGGTGTTCTTGAATATATTTTTCGCATATTTATACCGTGTTTTAAAGCTTTTAGAGTGTTACATAAGTAAAACAACTTTCACGCAATATTTCCTAGAAAAATTGTTAAAATACCGTCTTATCAGCTTGAAAAAAATCTGAGGAATGCTGTCAGAAAGTTTATTTCCTGTAACTAGAGTATTTGTTTCTTGAAAAAATTATTTTTTACATGCCGTCACCATCTAAATTGGCTTGTCTGCGCACGACGCCGACGAGCGTGGACGAGCAACACTCCATAACGTAGCCATGTTAGAGAGTTGAGTCTAATCATACTCCCTTGTACAGCATCGCAGAGCACAGTGAAATGGCGCATGTTGTATCGCGAGCGCCCGGTTCCTGTCGCTAGGACGTCGTTCTGCACTAAAATGCAGTTAAGTAGAGGCGTGCGTACGGGCCCTTGAGGCTCGTTCAAACTTGCAGAATCGCAGGTTAATCCGCGGAGAAATTGATGCCGGAGGTGGAATCCCCTTGCTGGTGACGTAATATATTTGATCATAGAAGCAATCGGTCCAAAACCGATTTTTCCTGAGCAGAATAAGTTTCCACGCCGTCACAGCCAATCGGAATGCACAAAGAAAATGGCGCTTGCCGGCGTCACATCCTGGAAAAGTCGCCCGAGTTGTTGGGGTTGTGGGGTTCCGCCGGAGTTGTCAAAGTACCCAAGTAGTGCAAATGGTGCTGTCCTGCCGTGTCGCTGTGTCGACAGAAATGCTGATCGAGACTCAATTATTCAGCCCAGTTCGACAAGAGGCATCTGAGCAACGAAGACAGTGCCCACAAAGAAGATAGCGGAATAAAATTGGCGCGAATGGTACGTACACACCCCGTCTCCGTTTGCTTGGTATTTTATTATTGCTTTCTCGGATTGGCGAGAGAACATTAGGCATTTTCTCGGCACAGCGGGTTCGCATTAATTGCAAGGGGAAGTATGCGAGAGCATTTTTTCTATCACCATTCGAGCCATGTGCATTCTGCTCCAATATCTGCGAAAGACCGGAGCCGTGCGAACACAGTGGGTGGCAACAAACGCGAACGGTGCCATCTTTTTCTGCCTAGTGAATTCGATCGGCGACGAGAGAGTTTTTCGCAAGTGTGAATGCAGCCTTCGTCCCACCGCCATGGTTGCCTGGAAAGAGTCTCCAATCGGCCTGTTTACCTTCCCATCTCACCCATGTGTCCAAAGTGGTACCAAGGTGGCAAAAAATTGGTTACAGCAGCCGGCAGACCAGTGGATGCGAAATCTTCCAGCTCCCGAAGCTTCCACGGACCGTCCAGCTAGAGAGTCCCCCGCAGCAGCACAACATTCTGCCACCACCGAAATCACGGTTGGCAATAGCCTAACAGTTGTACCGTGTCACCAGGCGGAAACAGAGCGATCACGTTTGAGGACTCGGTAAAAATGCCACTACAGCCCGAGAGTCGTAAGTACCATCCAGAAAATGCACTCACGTCCACCTGGCACTCGTAGTCAGACCCGTCCAACAGGTGGACACGGCAGGCCGTGCTGGCCCGTCCCCTGAGCACGCCCGAGCGCCGGGACTTGCTCGAGGGACTGGACTCAGGGGGCCCATTCTCCGGGGACTTCTCCTCCTTCTCTTGCGCCATGGCCTCCCCGTAGAGGCGCTCTGCTCACCCTGCGAGAGATTGCAAAAGGTCGGCTCGGGCCCTGCAGTCAGAGGCCCCCTTCTGGAACGACCTCGCTCTGGAGCAAACGATTCGCATGTCCAAAAAACCTACCCACATCCGTCGTCACTCTCTCTGCGTTACTGCACGACGTGACCCGAGGGAATGACTCGGACCTGCTAGAGCGGGGGTCAGCAGCCCGCGAGGCAGTATTATGCGGCCTCCGAGAAGCTAGTAAAAAATTCCCCCCCTCCCCTCCCTCCCCCCGCACATACACCACAAGACGAAAGGTACAAAAGGTATAATTGGTTGCAAATCTGGTGTAATGGAACCTGTTAATTTTTAAATGGCACGCCTCAGGTCTAGTTCACTATTCACATCCATTGTATTACCTATCGGCAATTGCTGTATATCGAGGTAATGCATTGGGAATCGGTAATTAAGGCTTGTCGTATTTAGCATAAACTTTCTGCAATCACGACTTGCACCGTGGTTCATTTCAAGAGTTTTGTTGCACACAGAGGCTTACTATGGGGACGGCCAGCACTACACAAAAACGGCAAGAATTTTGCAGTTTTTTTTTTTACCTACGTGAAAACGTCTTTGCAGAGCCTTCCTGGTCCCGATTGGCTGTGTGACTTGACATTGTTGGCTGTTATCTCGGATCTCCCTAATGACCGAGACTTAAGATTAGTCTCCGGCCGATTTTTCGAACGCCCATAATTCGGACTTTTTCAGTATTTCGGACCCAAAGGAGGAACCACGACCTACCCAGATAGAAATAGTGCATATTCACAACTGATGAAGTCCGACAGCTCAATTTTTCTGACAAAATCGTCGCGAGCAATCAGTGGGAAACTCCACCGAGAAGCCGCCATTTAAGATTCTACCATAAAATCCTGAGAAATGCCCCAACCTCTGAAAGATAAACCACCCCCATTACTGGCTTCATTTGCTATTTTCTTCTAAAAATCAAAAGATAGCCCATTCCTAGTAATCATAGTGTTCGGATCAGTGATGACCTTGGTGCAAATGCGTCTAGTTAGCTATGACGGGATATAAACGAACATTGCTGACTGGGAAGTACAGTCATCTTTGCTTCGTTGCCCCTTGCTGCGATAACAAGCTTGACAGACATTGCACACCAAAAGTTAGCCCACTCCTTATTTTCAAACAATTTTCTCTGAATTTTAGGTAGGCTTTCTCTCGGGATTTTACGACATGGCTCGGCAGCGCTACTTCAGTACTGCTAAGCCCTACCGCTATGTGATGCTATGCTATGACTTCTTTTTTCTCTAGCTGCATATCATTATCATAATTAGTTACCATTTTGCATTGTTCATTTGTCATTCTGCAGTTGTGGACTCGTGCCTCTCTCCCGTCTCGGGGAATCATGTTTTCAGATTACCCTGGCTTGGACGTCATGGCCCCATCTGTTCTTCTGCTGCCACAAAGCGTCGCTAAGAAGCACAGAAGGCAGCGATTCTCAAGCTAATAGAAAGCGGCCGACCACAAGCGGAGGAATAACCTAAAGCAAGGCACTATTGATGACTTTTTAAGCCCACTTAAATGTAATAAAGGCAAGTTTTCTAATCTGCAAAGTTTTTGGGCGTTTTTTCGGTCCCTGCGAAGTCCGAACAATCGGTAGACAACTGTATAAAGACATGAAAAACCTGTGGTGGTAAGCTCATAGACGCTAACGTTTTTGAGCTGAACCTCGAGGTCTCCCGACACCAAAAATCTCTATCATAAAAAATTATATAATTTTCCCTTGTGAAGAATTTTGTAGGAGGAACGAGTAGACTGTTCTACGAAAAACTATCTGTATGATAGTACTCTATATGAATAGGGTCGGAGTCGGGATTCCTGGTTTTGCAATATACTCGAACGACATCAACATTTTTCAAAATTCGCTCAAGACAGACCTTCACCAAGTTCACGAGGCTTACGAGATAAAATTTGCTGATCAGCTGATCACAAAACAGATAACAATTTGTAGGATGGGTTTCCAGCAAACGATCTCGTCAGGTTTTGCCCTGGTATTCCCGAATCAAAGTTTTAAAATCTCGAAAGCTCGCAGCAGCTTTGATTTCAAGGTCCTTACATAATGTACATCGGCAAGCATATTTTTTTAAAGATGAGACCGTAAAGTCCAACATGTGTTTGTGAATGAACAATAAGCTAGCATCTCCAAAAAGCTTTACAGCTGTCCGTTTTTAGCTTTAATGTGAATGTTTGCATCCTGTCGAGCAATACTAAATACCAAAACTCCCACTGAGAGGGGTCTCGAGCAATCTTAAGTTATGTCTGCCTAAATAAAAAAAAACATTTACAAAACAAGAATTGACGGCAACAGAAGGTACTCACGCAACTGAAATTTTATTTGATAAGCATTAACCTTACAACAGTTCTACAAAAAAAAAGAAGAAAAATTGCATGTTTTTTTTTTGTTTTAAGAACAAAGGCTCCTTATCAATCGAGGCCAAGGAAAGCTCGCTGACAAACTAATTATCACCCCTCGTTTCAATCCCATATGCTTAACAAATTTCAGATTTTTTTTTTCTTTTTTGCCGCATTGTTTTATGATCGCGGTGTCGGGAAAAAGTGCAATGCTCACACCCCGGCTGCAGTGGACTGCTAAGTGCCGCGGGAGCAACATTTTTGCGCGTCACTTTAAGCTCGGGGCAATTTTTACTCTAATTTGCGCCCCCTTCCCACCCCATCCCCGCCCCCTCCGTCTTCAGTCCGGCCTGCTTCCTCCCCAATTTTCAGCGACTCGGCACGCTGCAACAAAAGGCTGCCGACCCCCCGCGCTGGAGTAAAGGCCCATTTGGACATACGCTGAGGCACTACCTCGGCGCCGGAAATAGTGCCGATCTTGCCGAGGCAGCGCCGCATCCCTGCTATGTTACGTCGATGTCGGCGCTGCATCGATGCCGTTTGTAAAGTTAATTTGGAACAGAGGCATAGGTGCGACCTGGCCTCGTGACTCGGCCAAAGGAACAGACCCCGTGCTTCCCACACTCTGCGCAGCGGGCAGTTTTGGCGGCAAAGCGCTCGGACGGCGGCCGAAGGCGTCCGTCCGCCAGCCTCCCGGGCTACCCGTTTCGGAGGGTTTGACACCAAACTAAGCGTAGCAGGGATGCCAGATTCCGTCGGCTTCCCAGACTTGCGATGACCTACGCCGAATTCTCCCCTGCCACTTGGGCGCACACCAAGGCCCATCTTTTTGCCCCTAGTTCCTTCGAATGCTCCTCTTCCCTCTCCTTCCTGACGGCACCTGCTTGGCTCATTCGATGTGGCGGCCTATGCCGGCACAGAAAAGTGTGGGGCAGTGTACTTCCGGTGTAGACTCGTAAATTGAATGCGACGGAGTGCACACGGTGGAGCTGGCACAGGAAGCGTTTGTAGCAACAGTTCCTTGGGACAAAACCACCTTTTTCTGACGGATGGCGCCAGACCTTCCGAAACTCGCAGACTATCGAATGCGGCTTTGGACCACCGTATGCTTTACCCTCGCCAAATAAGATTACTTTAATAGCACGTTTTATGCACAAGCGCAATGCATGTGCACCTAATCGGTGGCATTTTAGACTGTGGGAAGCGTCGAGGTCTTGCCTGAGCCATAAAAAGGCACGCAAGCTCTATGCACAAAGTATTGTATTTTCCGGTCAATTAGTCGCACCCCCCCCACTTTTAGCACCTCTCTAAATAAGTTAGTATATAAGACGCACCTGTGTATAAAACGCACCGCCGAAAATTTTGGAAAAAAAAAAAAGTGTCTTATACACCGGAAAATACGGTACGTAGGTGTAACATTGTAGGTGTAGTGGGAGGGAGTCTTGGGGCCCGCCCTTTTTTCTAGATGATGTGCTTGTAATTTCATAAAATATGTGGCTGTATGCGGACAATCACATTTTATGCCAAGATTCGCGTGGAGACCACAATTCTCGACTTCTACGGTGTGATCAAAACCGAATATTAGTCCCTTCGGATTTTATACACAATAACTACCCAAAAAAACTTAGCACTGAGGCAGCGTCCCTCAGAATGCTTTTGGCCCCTAAATTTGGGAGTTTTACATGCCAAACCAACGACAGGCATCTGGCACGCCCCAGCGGAGGACTGAGGATTAATTTCGACCGCCTGGGGATCTTCGACCGCCTGGGGATCTTGATGTGCAACCGAAAGCTCGATTACATGGTGCCTTCTCCGCAATAAGCCTCCGTCAGATTGCGGGCACCTCGGCCGGGATTCGAACCCGCCACATGGGGATCCGTAGGCCGGCGCTCTCGCCTCTGAGCCACCAAGGTGGCGCTCTTGGCCTCTAAAATAAAACAATCAAGTAACATTTCTATGTCCCAAGGCCAGCAGCATCTTGCATTTTTGGCATCACTGTGCTTAAAAGATACTGGTCGACCCAACAGGGACTGTCATGCTTTCCTAGAGTCTGGCCAGTTCTAGAATGTGCTTGCATTATATGGGACCTACATATGCAAATCAGGAAAAATTAAATGGAAAATTCAAAATGAAAGATATGAATCACGCAACTACAACTGTGAAAGATATTTCAAAGGAAGGCTGTTACTGGGACGGAAGCCCTCACAACGTAAGTGCAAATATCTACGTATGAGGTATGCACATAGTGTTCGTCACGGCAGTGCCAGTCTAGACAAATCTAGATATATGCAGCTCCTTGTGCGAGAAGCCCACACAAATTAGGTTTCTGTCAATATTCGGATTAACATGCTATTGTGACACTCTCTGCGACAGTTGAAGCAAAACAGCGAACGAGACTGACAGACCAACATCTAATCCAGCCGCTCCATCCAGATTGCAGCCACTTCATACAAAGCGAATTTCAAGGCGCTTGATTCACGAATGCCTACGCACAAAAATAAACGGAATAAGCAATAGCTATATAAGTAGAACAATTTGCCGTGGAACCAGCTAAAAATTAATGAAATTAAAGTCTTTCACATTTTTGTTTTGCTCTTTGATAAAATGCCCTTATTTTAAGGCGCTTTGCACACGTCAGTCAGCCTGGCAATCCCAGACCTAAGGCTTCAGCACAAAATTCCAAGCAGTCTGGAAAAGTGCAATTACAAAAGTGACTAATCATTTGGGACGTTGCCGTCGGCAGACGCCGGGGACGAAAGGGGTGCGACAATGATAAAGCAAGATTTCACACCATTCGTCTGAGCTGGCACGTCTCGAGCCCAATAGGAACTTTTCCTCAATGGGAACGTCCCCGTCAAGTAAAGACCTCAAAAAACTGAATCCAGCTTGATTCTGTAGAGCAACACCAGTGGCCACACACCAGCCCCGCAGAGCTCGCAGGAAACGTACGCCGTGACAATCTTCGGGGAATTCGGTGCCTTTTCCTCGTGGATCAAGCTCTCCAAAAATTCACAACTGCACGACACAAGCTTAACTTATCCCTTCTAAAACACAACGAAGGTTATGGTTGATCTTGACCATGGGCTACAAATCTCGGAGCAGAATGGGGCGGTGGAGACAAACATTTAAACACTAATTAATGAATTTGAGGTAATTACGGTAGTCCGCCAACTATTGCATCATCCTCAGAATAGAGAATAAGTTCTCTATTCCGAATTCCTCTTTCTTGAATATATATTTTGAGCCTAGGACAGCATCACCTTACGACGTACAGCAGTGGACGCTACCAACCATCAAAGCCAATCCAAAACTGCGACCGCATTCCGCGACTATATGCACCGTGTGCCGCTGCTCCTCTCCCGAAAGTGACGAGAAACTCGCGGGGCAATGGACTGGCTAGGACAGCTCGTGGTGTCCCTGCAGTTTGTCACAGGTCAAACGAATAGGGAGCAGGGGCGGCCAGACTGGCTCTCTAGAGCATTGCCCCCGGGACCTGGCAAAACTCAAAAAAAAGAATATGGGCAGCCAAAAACCACACTCATTTAGAGGAAAAAACTTCGCAGTAAGCAATTGGTTAAAAACAAAACAGTATGCGATTACTGGCTCTAGTACTGTGGCCGGCGTTGTGAACAAGCATGTGAATATAAAACACATGCGTCACGAAGACCAACAGATCGCATTAGAATGCCATCCTGCGGTTAGCTGAGTTCTTCGCTTCTCCCTGCATGCTTTGCGGGGAGCCAGGGACATTAGTTTTGCACAAAAACAATGAGCCAAGCCATGTTCCCCTCGAGGGTCTTGGCTACCTTCCCATTAGTCTTGTTTTACTGCACTATGACCAGCTCCATTTAGTCCTACAATGGCTATGATGAATCGAGCAAGTTTGTTCACATTTATGGAAGCCTCCAACTGTCAGAGTTTTGAGGGGTAAATCATTGTCGCGATGAATGAAATCTGTAGAGATTTCAGCCAAATTATGGCGTATCATGCGGAACAATAACCTACGATTTTATCCAATGCCACAATGAAGGTATGTTTAAATATCAACCTAGACTGCTGCCCCAAGCACCTACTCTCTAGGTGGCTGTTGGGAAAATAATAGGGTTGCTTGCAGCCCTTGGACGATGTTGGCCACTCTCGCTGTGCACGGCGAGCGAGTGTTCCAAATGCATCTTTGACGGAACCCAAGAAAGGGCACGCCAATTCAAGGGCAACATAGAGAAGCTGCAAGGTGATGAGGCGGCTCAGCCATCGTTGGTCGAGGGCAAACAAAAGCATGTGGGTGTGTTTGGCGAGTGAACAAAGGCATAAGGTATGCGAGGGACAAACAAACTTGCATGCTGTATAGATTTCGAGCTGCTACATTGAGTGAAATCAAACTACCAGTTGGTTTAATACAAATGATACTTCCTCGTAGAACACGACCACACTGTACGACATCAACAAGGACGTGTATATGTGGGAACTAATTGCGGTACGCACTCAGCGGTGGTTCAGTCAGGCAAAGGTTTTGAGAAATTTTCGGAGCAAAAAGAAGAAAAATCATGGTTTGCAGCACTTGCATGTCCAATAAGTTCCCATTTTGGGGCAGAAATCAAAATTGAGGAGTGTGGCATCGCTTGTAATGTTTCACTGCATTCGGCAAGGTTTAGCATCGAGCTTGTTTCGTTCGATTTCATTTGCATTTCCACGCCGTGTACATTTTTCATCTCTTTAATGCGATTGGAGAGAGCACGCACAGATGGGGAGGGATTGCCCCGTCTAGGTCGAGGGCCGGTACTTTCACCGCACCCACGTTTAATGCTAGGAGTGTAAAAGCAACAATCCGAACTAGACTGAACTCAGCTGCTGAGACGGGCCTGCAGCAGTCATACAAACGTTTTACACGGATGATTAGCCTCTGGTCAGTGCCACCGCCCAAACACGGCAGTCCCTGTATAAAAGGGCCATAACACTATTTCCTTACTTTCATCATGCTAAGGAGGAATGCTCGACGCATACACTACACTCCGTTTCCCCTTACGACGGACCGCAGCAAATGCTACGAGCCCATCCCGGCCAAATCCAGTGTTAAGAATGCATTGCACGTGTCTAGTGCTCTCTGCGCCCCTCCCAAAGGTTCCGCGACACTCGTGGGGTACTGATTGGGCTCTGATGTCCGTATCATGCGCTGCTGTCCATCATAAGGTGAAACGGAGTACAGCAGTTGTGCAAGAAATGGGAGAAAAACAAAAGGTATTCACTCCCTCGGTATGCAGTCGGAAGAAGCGGCACTGTGGCCCAGCGCACGCTAAGGGCCGCTAGTGTTCGGCAGAGCCACTGCTTGAACTTGCTTTCCCCGTCGCTGCGGCGGTTGGAGACGAGCCCTGGCCTCAATGTTACAACTGCGCCCAACATGTGCCACCGCAGCAATAGTAGAAGAGCGAAAGTCAGAAGCTCGTGCGGTGCTCGTGTTCAACCCACGAATCGCACAAGGCTACCCTCACTCTGGGGTGATCCCCGTAACGATGCCAAAATCGTTATCTCCACAAATGCATTAACATAATTTAAGGAAATGTCGTAGAAAAAGGAGGTCCCCATCCATCCTTGAAATTGCACTGAGAGAAAGACGGCTCAGTGGTATTTCATCCAAATATGATGTCGCATTTTTTAATGCGTAACAAAAGCCCAATAAAGCTTCATGGACTCTTTAAAGAGCCTCCAATACTTTAAAAGTCTTTTGTTTTGTTTTTCTTTTGCACGAAGAGGAATGCAGTGTCTCGACACTGCACAGTCTTTTGTTATAGAGTCGTGCATTTAATGAGAAACAAATCCGAACTGCAACCGGACGAATTCGGAGAGTGTCGAGGTGTCTCGCTCCCAGTGGTTTTTACAGCGAAGCTGTTTATGGCGTCGGCCATGCCTACGTTCGCACCGCCTTCTCTTTGTCGTCGTTCCAAGTGCTTGCATGCCTAGTTTCCTTTCCTTCCGCACTCCGGGGGTCCCATCGTGTGTGTCTAGTTCCCTCCGGATAGTCACAATGACCACCAATCGTAACAATAAATGTGTTTGTACCTTTGTTCAAAATTCTGTGTCTTGTCTGTGTCGTGTGCTACACAGCTTCTCTGGTCATCCACCTTCACAGAGTAGAATGGCTCATGATTTTTATTAATCATATCAGTGAAAACTCGCTTTAGGTCACCCATTTGCTCTCAAATACTGCAAGCTGTGCGCAGTCTTCGAACCGAGAGTATGAGCATGGGCAGCTCCGCGTAGACAGTTCCCGGCCAGAGGTGTGGGCCCAATTTGAGCTGCGTGTGTTTACTCCTCAATGTTTGTGGTTGGCCAGGTGGTGTTCCTGTGGAAATCTAGACAAATGGCGGTGGTCGTGTAAGCAACTCGCACTGCTACACGCGCGGAAGCACTGGCAAGAAAACGAGGTAGTCTCCTCAAAGTTCCCAGAGATACCTCGAGTGGGCCTCCGACCGAAAAGCGGCAATTTTCGCTCTTTGGGTAATCTTCCTGGTCCGAGAATATCTACACCAAACACCGGAACCGCGGTGATATGGATCCCCAAAGGTTGTTTTTGTGCACACCGTTCATTATCTCTCGGGAGCTCCTCCAAAGAGGCCTTTCCTCTAGACCACTCCAAAGAGAGAAAGGGAACGAAATACCGGTAGCCTTTCTCGCCCGATGTGCCAACCGAGTCGATGCTGGCAGTACGAGCATGCTGCCCCGAACGACGCTTGCAATGAACCAGCGCATCATCGGCAGGGACGCTGAATTTACGGAGCTCGCTCCTGCAGCTTCTGTTTCGCAAGTGAAACTGAGTAAGGCGGTAGTTCTTCAAATGGCGCGGTACTTTGTCCGTTTCGGTAGCACCGGGTCAAGCCCGGGGAGGGCAAGCGGGTGCTGGCCAAGTGGCCAGCCGCCCAGGAAGCCTGACACAGCCGGACGGAAGAGCGGGCACGACACGCCCTGCAAGAGTGGCTGCTGCCTCGACGCCATGTATCGCATCCGATGCGGAACTGGGTCAGCTGTGCAATCGCGGAGGACCCGACGCCTGTCAAGTGATCGGGGTCAACGTTTCGCCGATCGATGGAGGCGAGGTGCGGCAGGCTGTGGCCGAAGCGGTCGACGTGCCAGGCGACGTCCGCCGGAATGCTCCAACAGGTCGGAGCCGAGCAGCCCCGCGCACCGGAAGTCTGCTGGACGGTGCGCGCGGACACCGCGGCCGCTCACTCACAGCAATCGGCGAACGGCCCGTGCGTCGGATGCCCCCCGGTGATAAAATTCCGCGCGCCGGACACCTCAGACGAAGCGCGTCCGCGACATCCGACCGTGCCAGGTTCCCTTTGGGCGTCGCCGATGCCCCCTCCCCGCTCATTTTCCCGCACAACATGGCGCAGCTAAGCCTCGGAGTCGGCTCCGTTACGGAGCCTCGGGCAGGCTCTGCCGGCCGTGCCAACCGGACCAGGACGCTGGGCAACTCACCAGGCGCTGACCACGACGAGCCCGCTTTAATCCGACGCTCCAACGGGGCCGGAGAGACGTTTCGCGAATGCTTCGACGGACACTCGACTCGCACAACACGGACCAACCCACCGACGCCCCGGCAGCTCTAGCGGCGGATCCGCTCACCCGCTCTCATCAAATAGTTTTGAGTGCGCATGCGCCAGATTGTGTCCATCCGCGCTGTTTTTTTATTGGCCGGCGTTGGGTCGACCCGGTCGACGCAACGCTAAACGTTGCGTCGACCCAAAACGTCATATCCGGTTTTTTACAACGCATGGGTCGCAAAGCTTTTACATATTATATTGCTAATAAACTATTTTAATGTCAATATGTTATTAACTCATTACAAACCCATTAGTTTTTCAACAAAACAATATTGTTACTCTGATGTCATATCCGGCTTTAGATTAATTTAAAATACAAATGGGTCGCTTGTGTTATATACTTGCACTTGTTTGAAATTTGTTTTAATTATTATCTATTAAGTTAGTAAGGCAAACCCATGCCATCAATGACCAGGATCAAAAATCGCTGCCACCTCGCGCTCCGGTTCAAGAGTACGCACACATGTTTACAAATGGCGGCGCTATGGCAAGTCAGCTGTCGGGACTATTCGGTTATTTAGAGAATTTCATGTAGTTCTTAACGAATTAATGTATCAGTCAGCCCATGTATGCATCTTGATAATATAGCCAAGCCTGCATAACCTTCGCGATCCTAACTATCGCTGTTCACCAGAGCAGCACTGACCCCAGCGCGTCCTCCCCGCTCGCCGAAAACCGCTGAGCCACAAGCATGCAAGATCACGCTGGACGCTCACGCGATGCCAGAAAATCACTGAAGGTGGAAGCCTCGCCGGCCTCGCGCCGAAAGCAATGTGTTCCCCATGCCTGCGAGCGAGCTGAGAAACACAAGTACGAGAATATTGTCTTGAGCAGCGTTTACACTGCACGAGAGCGCTTGCACACCAGGCCACCTCGGAGTGTAGAGCTTTTCGTTGCTTTGGCCTCTCCCTCCGTCGTCCTTGCATATCTCACGACGATAACAATGTCTTGCCTAAGCGTACCAGTGGTACGATCTCGGGAAGAACAGACCACTCTATTGAAGCCCAGTTACACGAGCATCCCAGCGGTTTCTGGGAAGAAGAGGCAGGGAAACATCCCCCTGCCTCCTCATCCCAGAAATATATATGCACTACATCAATAAGAGTGAATACAGAGTTACTTCTCTTGTGTTCCCCTTGTCTTTTTTTTTTTTTTGTGTTGTGTTTTTTAATGGGAGAATGTGCAAGTGTAAAGTGCTTGGCATTGATTTTCCGAAGCAAATGTAGATGTGATGGATGCCTCGGGAAGAACTAAGGATTCATTTGAACCACTTCACTTCGGTTTTCTTTTCACATGCATGAAAGACCTCTATTACACAGTAAGTAAAGCTACTGGTAGATTAAGCTGCACATTTTGCCTCTTTAGTTACCTATCTATGATGCTGGCCTTGAAGGTGCACTTATGTAAGCATTGACAATATTTTCATCTGTGTTGTACCCTGGAACCCAGCATGCTTACACTGAGCTTACAAAAAAAAAAAATGGGAGGGCGGCTATTATACTGTTAGCAACAACTGTAATCAGCCTTACTGAGAGCAACATGGTTGTTTATTTCTTTATTCTGTATTACCCTGTCAAGGTATTACAGTTGGAAAAGTAAAAGTTAAAAAAAGAAAAAAGAAAATTCTTCTTTTACCTGCACCAGAAAACTTAAAATGCAAATTTGCAGGAATAATTTATTCGAGGCACCAAACATGATAACCACTGGGGGACCAGTCAGGCAATACGCATGCACGACCAAATGTCTGACTGGTCCTACGACATACCAGAAAGATTGTCGAACCTCATCAGGTGCCACCCACTCGCTGCATCGTGTATTCACGCATAGGCGTAGACTACGGGGGGTCATCGGGGCTCGGTCCCCCCTAATGAGATCCGGGGGACTCCGTCCCCCCCAGGCCCGGGCCATGATCCTTACCGAGACGCTGTTTCTAGTAGTGGCATGTAAACAAAATAATGCCCACGTTGCCTTTATTGACAAAATGCATGAAACATAGAATCCCTGCGTGCTTCTGGGGGGGGGGGGGGGGGGGGGGGGTGCTTTTCCACTTGAGCGGAAAACACCTCCCTCCCCAAGAAGATGGAAAGTTTACGCCGCTGCATGCATGTGAGTCTGTGATTGTTGGTGTCTGATCGGGTTCAGCAGTCTTTTTGGCATGTCAAACAACCAGTCGGATGTTGAGTCGTGTATGGCCTGCCCGGGCCCCCAGTGTTTACCACATAAAATGTGGCATTTCGCAGTCATTAATACGCGGGAAGCAGCTGTCCAAGCGTAAATGTAAAACTCAAAAAATAAAAAAAGAAGTCATTGTTTTTTTGTTGTTGTTTTTTTTTAGTAAAGGACTCTGACAACCGATATGACTGCAATATGCAAAAGTGGACAAATGACGAGAAAAAAACTTTCAGCCTCTCCACTGTGGTGAAGAAGGAAAACCAGCGGAGCTGAACAATGAAAAGTAACGGCTGGCCGCAAGTCAGCAAGCCAAAGTGGAAAGGCTGCCGCCACCCATGAACGACGGCGGCAACCAGATAGGTGGCTTGCCGCCGTCGCTCATAGATGGTGGTAGGTGCCCAGAGTTTGGTGTCTTCATTTCTTTGCGAGGGACGCGATCCTGGGGAAACCAGCCCTTAACAGCTCCGCTGTAAAAGTGGTTCCAGCAGGGCATAGAGAAGCTGCCACACAAGTGACGCAAGGGCATTCAGCTCCTGTGGGAGTCTGTCAAGGTGGACATGCGTGCCTACATCTAGGTGACCGGTATCTGCAGCAGAAAACAAAATTGTGAATCCAAATAGTATGCTTCTGGTAATTGGCTCTAGATCATGTGGCCACTTGTTCTGTCTGTGGGTTGGGGTGAACGCTGCTAGTTTTTCTGAAACATTTTCCACGACTGCCATTACATGAAGAGAAAAAAAGTGGGACTGGGCGTCGATTAAAAATTTTAACCCGATTGACAACCTTCATTCAATTAATTAATTGGTCTCGTTCATAACTCAGAATTACATATATATATATATATATTTTTTTTTTTTTTGCCTTTGCTTAATATGTGACAAACGGTGCAATATACAATTTTATTACAAATCATCGTCGATATGTTGTTCTGTACAGTTCAGAGACACTCACACTCGCAGGTTATTACTTCAGCTGCTTGAGGCAAGGAAGTTTGTTGGTATTCTCCGGCAACAGCGGCCACCTTTGATTGTTCACAATAGTCTCTGCTGCACTAAACGGACACTCGCATGGCATTGAAGTGGCCGGGACACGTGTAAACTTCTGCACTTGTCTGGATTTACAAGTCTCGTCTTTACAGTTTACTTTAGGTTAAAATGTCACTGAAAATATGCCCTTCATATAGGTGTACTCATCCACATCTGCGTGGTGAAAGCATTTAATTTTTACTTTTGGTCTGTCAAAATTTTACCAATCAACCGGTTAAAAAAATTAATCGTGATTAAAGCATTAGGTGGTAAGTTAATCGACCAATTGCCCAGCCCTAGAAAGAACCAATGTGTGTTTCATATAGGTTATGAACATTAAATAATAAGTTACAAACATACAAAGAGGAGGGAAAAGAGTGTAAAGGTATGTCACTGGGGACAGTGCCTCTTCTGACCAAGACATGTGCCCCCCCATGCAAGGCTCCATTTCCCAACAATTCCTTCACAGCAAAGTTTTAGTTTATTCGCACGTAACAGTCTAACCGACTACCTCCCGAAATAAGGGAAATCTGACAATAATTCGCAGTTGGGCTGCAACTCTGTACACTGAAGCCACCTGAGCAGGTTTCATCATAGGCCAGCATGCTGTCTCAATGTCACCAGGGCAGTAAGTAAACAGGAACTGAAGACAGACTCAGATATGCAAAAAAAAGAGTAGTCGAGAAGATTTTGACGAGCGTGTTGGAACAGATGTAACAGTAAGAAAGCACAAAACGAACAGAAGGACGAAACAGACCTGTACAAGCTTTCAGTTTACAACAACATATATTTGTTGCCAGCAAACTCTGCACCAACAAACGTTGGTGGGGAAGGGGGGAAGGAGCGAGAGGGAGAAGAAAAGGAGAAGGGTGCACGAGGGGAGAGAAGGAGAAGGGAAGATAGCATTTTCGCATACGGAACGTTGTAAAATCGGTATACTGGTTTTACGAGGCAGAACATGTACTAATCTCTGCAATGGAAATAAAAATATTGCACCACAATATCATGACAATTGTGCAAAGCCAAAGTGACTGTTTATTTTGTCTTCTACATCCACAGCCATTTCTTTCCACTAAAGGGTCTCGACAACTGAGGTCTTCCTGCATCTTGCACATGTTCTCAGTAGACGACAGCTTAAAATGCTGCAGTCTACCGACAAAAATTGTATTCATGCTATCAATCAATCATGGTTTTATTGCGTGTTTCCAGGCAACTCTTAGACCAATAAAAAGAAAACCAACATTGTCACATCCTAATTAGCATACATAAGACTTTTTTTTTTTTACATTGAAAAAGGAGCAGAGAAGTCAAGGTATGTATTGTCACATTTATTATATGCCTGCTGAATCCTAGACAAAGGAGTTTCACAATGCAAATTACAAGAATGAAAAGGTGCCCTAAGCCTGGTTTGACATTAAGGAACATTGAATAAAATCTTACTACCGTCAAATACCGGGCAAGCGCCCACTCAAAATTTAGAGATAAACGCGAAAGAATGGGGGATGGGCACTTGTCCGATCATCAATTTTACATATAAATGTACTGTGCATATTTTTTCTATCTTAAAAATTTGGATATGGGCGCTTAATATGGAACGGGCGGATGCACGGTATTCTATGGTAAGTAGAAATAAGAGATTTACAGCATTACTCAATTTGTAAAGAAACACCATATCACAAAGTAGTCACCTTATGGAAAGAGGTGAAAGTTGCCAAAAGATATGAATAACCATAATAAAATTGTTGTCCAATATGGCAATCATACATAGGCCTGACAAATCGTCACTGGACATATTCCAACTTAAAGGGGCCCTGCAATCATATTCAAGCGTCTACCTTTTTTGCGGTTTCCACGTCTCTTGGGGTTCGGGCAAGCCAGCGGGCACGGAGAGAGTA